GGTTGCTCTGGGAGCTAGTGACTGGTGTCAGCGGAGCTGAGAGAGGGGATGAGGTGGAGTCTCTAGAGTTTAGCTCTGGGTTGCTCTTCTCCGCTGAAGTTTGATGAGCTGAGATGAATGCTCTTCTGCCAGCTTCGCGTATTGAGTGTAGCTGACGGCGGGAGATGTGTTCTATACGTCCAGAGACTATTTTGGGCCTCGCTGGACAGTCAGTGCTGAGAGTGGGATGGGGGCCAAGGCAGTTGCAGCAGCGAGCTGGTGTTTGACATCCGCCTGAGTGTGCGGGACTGCTGCACTTCTCGCAACGTAGGGGTCGCGCACAGTTTCTTTCTGTGTGGAAGCCGTGACATCTTGTGCAAATTGGGATCTTTGGCGATTTCTTGATTTTGTTAACCATCACCGGGCGACTGAAAAGGCGGAGTTTGTTTGGAAAGAGGTGCGCTCCAGAGGTTCGTACTCCAACCCAGGCGTACCCTTCATGCAGATTGGGGTCCATGGACTTCTTTGTCCAGTGACAACGGGTGATTGGAGCCTGGTGGGCGGCGCCTCGAATCTCAGAAAGAAGCATCTCTTCTGACACTGGAATCAGAGTGATATTCTGTCCTTCGAAGCTGTGTGTCGACTTCTTGATTGGACCGACTACAAAGGTGGTCCAGGATTCCTGTCGCTCAATAAGACAGTCACCTACAGCAGCTTTCAGCTTATCTGCATGTTCAAGAATGGAGGCTGCCTTCGCTGGGGAGGGGGCAGCCACGGTGATTCCCGATGGGCAGTGCCATACATCAGTGATCCAGGTCGGATCAGGGATCATGGCGCGTACTTGTTCACGAATAGCTTGGGGGTCTAGGTCACGAGCAGCGTGTGCTGCAGGTAGCCTAATCATGACTCATTTGTCTTCCTGTCCTTGGTGCAGGGGGCGGTTGGCCCGCTGTACCTGCTTCTTGTGAGGTTGTCCCGTTGCTGGAACGGCCTGGGGGGGATTGTTTGAGGGGATTGCCTTAGCTGTCGCGGCGGTAGCATACGTCAACGTAGGCTTTGATTCGGCGGTGAGGCCTTTAATGGCTTTGGCTATGCCGTGTCCCATGGCTTGCCTTAGTACGGCAGTCTGGCGTGGTAGAGAGTTCTCATAAGTGCAGAGTATCGGGTCCAGTACCGCAGATAGCTTATTGCATAGCTCAAGCACTGCAGCTAGCTCTGCAGAGGAGGAGTTGTTGGCATGACTCAGCAGAGCATTGAGCTTATAATTCGCTGTGGAAGAGGAGTTCTTCGCGGTTAGCGGGACTGCTTGAGTGCAGTCGGTCACATTCTCGATGGATTCTCCTCCTGGTGAGAGGGCCGGGCGGGGATTGAAGTCGATATTGATTTGATGTAGTTGAGCTGTGGTGGCTGTTGTAGTGTCCGACGCGTCCTGGGACATGGTGTTTTGGGGCTGGGGGGGGTCGTCCGGGGGTTTTAGCGGAGCAGAGGAGATTGCGCGGGCTCTCTTCTTTTTAGAGCGAAGAGGAGCCTTGGTGATAGCAATGTTGCTGTTGTTTTGGCTCATCGCGGCGAAACTGTTTGTTGAACATTGCCCTGTGTGTGTGTGTTTATTTAACGCCCGGTTAGTCCACGTGCCTTATGGACACGTGATCTAGTAGAGTCCGCGTCGAACTATAGGGCGGGTAGAGCTGCGCCCGTAGGCGACTACCTATCTAGTAGCTATCTTACAAATGAGGCAAAAGGGTTGCGTATTGCTGCACCGGCAGAGCCCATGGGTCGGTTGCCATAGAGCAGAGGTTTTGAGAGGTTTTAGGTTTTTGGGAGGGAGGTAGGGGAGGCGGATAGAAAGGAAGGCAAGGAAGGAAAGAAAGAGGAGGAAAGAGAGGAAGGAGGAGGAGGTGGTGAGGAAGACAGGGGCAAGACAGAGGAGAGGATGGTCTGTGGGATCTGATCTGGAGGTGCGCAACGGCGCATTGGACAGATATTCTGATAGAAGGCTGTTTCTCTTAGCCAGTTATTGAATTCTAGGGCCCCACGCGAGGTTGCCAGTGTCTCGCGGAGATTGTAGAGAGGCCGGCACTGCTTTGCTGCTTTTCTTGCAAGAGTGCAATAGTAGAAATGTTCTGGGGTTTTGCTATGTCCGCACCGGCAGTAGCACTCTGCATCTTCATGCTTAAGGTGGCTGTGGTAGGCTGCAAAGTCTCCATGACCTGATCGGGCGGCATAGAGCTTTCCTAATGTGAAGCGTGAAAGTTTTACCTCTGTTGAGGCTCTCTTTAGTGGGATCTCCAGCTCCATATAGCGTTTGGGCTGATTTTTGGCCCAGTAGTTCTCAAAGGCCCGTGTGGTTTGTTCCATAGTGTGCCGCTTTATATAAGCTAGAGTGCCTATGCTGTCGGGTTGAGGTACCATGCTTGCACTTGCTGCCTGCGCTGCGGCTGCTTTGGCTTCAAGATCTGCCTTTTCATTACCAGCCACGCCTGCGTGGCCTGGGACCCATCTAATGACCACCCTGCTCTGGGTGGCCAATGGGAGCCTATCCCTGCTCTGCCAGGCCTTTATGGCTTTCAGAAACTGCACGAAGACCTGCTGGCTAGAGGTGTTTGGCACGGATCCAAGGGCTCATGCTACCTCCAAATTGTCTAGGCAAATGTAGACGTTGCTGGCAAACTTCGCCTGAGGCGAGGTGGTGGCTTCCTTTAGGCCCTGCAGGGCTGCCATTGCCTCTGCATCAAAGACCTCTGCTTTATCCATTGGCAGGTTTCCTGTGGAGATTAGACGGTGTTCGCTACCCCAGCATATAGCCCATCCTGCACCAGTCGCGCGCTGAGGGCGCTCTATCTGTGAACCATCAGTAAAGACCACCAGATCCAGGGGATTGCGTTGTTGTAGCCAGCTCTTAAAGTCTTGTGCTGCCTGTTCCTTTGTGCGGCCTGCCTCATACCCAATCTGCAGATCTTCTTTCCTGGGAAATCTCATCCAAGGGGGCGTAAGTAAAGGGTCATATGCTTCTATCCCACCAGCATGACTGGACGCTCTAGACAGACGTGTGGTATAGGGCTTGGTGGTAGCTACTTTATTAGAGCGCCTCACTAGCGGGTGCCTCTTGTCAAGCTTTTTGATTCTTACTGCAAATACAGCACGCCGGTTGTCTAGTGTCTCTTTCATTGGCATGATTCCTAGCTCACGGTGTAGAGCTGAAATGGGTGTGGTCTTGTAGACTGGCAGTGCCCCTCGCAAAGCATCTCTAAGGGCTAGATCTAGCTTTCTGACTAGGCAATCCATTCAATTGGAGATTTCCTTTCCCTTCTCCATTCATGTGGCTCCAGGCCACCAGGCCTCTGCTCCATAGCAGAGCACAGAGAGCACACAGGCCTGAATGGATTGTCTAAGCAGTTGTACTGGGGCGCCTCTTGCCGTGTTGCTTAGTGCCTGTATGCCATTAGACACCTGTCGTGCCTTAGCCGCCATGGTCTCCATGTGTTTCTTGAAGCTCAGTTTTCTATCTAGCCAGATTCCTAGATATCTTATGGAGCTTTTCACTGCATTTGCTGTAATAGAGTGAGTGCCAGATGTTGTTTCAAGATCAATTGAGGGATTTGAAAGAATTCTGCGCCATGTGAAGTGTGCTATCTCGGTTTTGGCAAAATCAAATGTTAGCCCTTCTTTGCTGGCCCAATCATTTAGCAACTTGAAATCCTTCTGGAGAGTAACAACATTCCCTTCAAGAGTGGTTCCAGCACTAAGCAGTCCTAGATCATCTGCGTAGCCTGAGCGTGCACGTCTTCTTTGTATAGTTCCTAGAAAGAACAGAGGCTGAATAAACAGCATGAATAGAATAGGTGAGACTGGCAGGGCCTCCATGTCTTGCAAGCTTCTAGGAATGATGGCAATGCCTGTGGGGATGGCTTGAACTGCTGTGATGGCTGCTGCCAAAGGCCCCGGGAGTTCAGCCTTCAGCTTTCTAAGAGTAGCAATTGGGCTTGCTTTGCGAGCTAGATGATCTGAAGGCAGGCGCGCGAGGATTCGTGGTGTTTTTCCTTCTCTGGGGTTATCCCTAAGCAGGGGTTTCTGCAGTATGGTTGCTGGTGTTTTTGTTACATTGGTGCTGTCTGCAGCTGTCTTTGCGTAGGTAGGAGCTCTTGCATCATTTGCACCAGTGGAGCCAGCAGGCTTGATTGTGGTGGACTGCTTAGCTGTTTCTAGACTTCCATTGTACCAGTCCTTGACTAACGCCTTCACGGCGGCTCCAAGGGCCAGTGCCCTTGATAGGCCTTTTGCCTTCATGACATCTAGGTCTTCTTCAATCCGATCAAGCATATTTGCAGCAGCTAGTGCTTCTGCATGGGATTTCTGTGCCTCAGCCTCGTGGGCGGCTAGGAGATCGCTAGCCATCGGGCCACGTAGGTTGAGACGTATTGGTGCGACATTTCTGCTCTTTGAGCTGCCTGCTGGTGTAGGGGAGCTTGGAGGCTCCATATCATTCAGTTCACATGTGCGGCGGGCGATTGGGGTGAGGAGATGGGGTCTCTTGGGTGGACGGCGTATGGGGGAGCAAATGCGCGTCAAGGCTCGGGACGCGTTCGGTGGTGTTGGGGGGCTGGGCGCGCTGGCGGCGCTGCGTCGGCACGCCATCAGGCTTGCTGCCTGAGGGGATGGGAGAGAGCTTATAGGGATGTGATCGGATGAAAGGGGGTGCTGGGTCCTGCCTGGATTATAACAACCCACATGGTCGCTTGGTCACATGATGAGGATTAGGCCTAATCAGGTGACCCGCATGGTCGCTTGGTCACGTGATGAGGATTAGGCCTAATCGGGCGCCGAGCTTAATCCGACGTCGAGTCTAACCAGGCGCCGGGCCTCGGTCGGGCTCAGTCGGGCGCTGAGCCTTAAGACCGGGTTGCAATTACCCTTTTCGACCCAGTGGCCTTACACCGTTGAGCAGTCCGGATGGAAGCCTGTTCTAACAGAGCCCATTCTACGCCATCACATTACCCCCCTTTTGAGGCTCAGGCATGCCCTCATGCCCGTAAGAAATCATCTGCTTCATCTGCTAGGTAGTCATCCTTTTCCCAAGCCTCCAGCCAATTGCTTAGTCGTTTTGGGTCCTGCCTTCATTGGATTAGCTGCATGGAACTCTCGAACCAGATGTGGTGATCCTTTTAGATTTGGAGCTGGATACCCATGTCGAATCATCATCAAATCCTAGCCACTTTACCCGGTATTGAAGTTTTCCCCGGGAGATGCGGCTCGCGAGCACCTTCTCAACCTCCCATTCATTTCACCTTCTATCTTGACTGGATCCGGGGTCACATTCACTTGTCCTGGTAAAGGATTGTCCGCAGCTTTTCTTAGCTTGTCAGGGGAGAATACTGGGTGAATCTTCATGCTGTCAGGTAGTTCTAGCTTGTAGCTGTTGCCAATCTTCTCGATAATCTCAAAAGGGCCTTCACTTTGGTCTGCATGCTTTCTGCTGGGTCGCTGTATTCTATAGTTCTTGAAGGATAGAAAAACCTTGCCCCCAACCCCAAAGTTTAGCTCGCGACGGTGCTTGCTGGCTTGTGACTTCATGATTCCTTGTGCTTTTTCCACATTGTCAGCCGCCAGCTTCCAGATTTCCTCCATTTGAATGACTTGTTGTCGGGCATCTTCTCATTTGAGCTTCTCCTCTATAGGTAGTGTCCTTGGCAGTGGCTCCCAATCAAAAGACATTCGAGGTTCATATCCATTGGCAGTCAGAAAGGGTGTCATTCCAGTTTATTCATTCATCAGGGCTCCAGCTGCATGGTCTATCATTGTCCCTCGTTATCAGACGTCGATGATCAAACTTGGCGTTCTCCAGCTTGTTGACATCCTCATAGATCCCCTGCAGGTGTTCAAACACTTCCTCTGCAGTTTCAAACCTCTCAGGGTGGTCATTCCTCATTCTTGGGGCCAGATGCCTTGCTGCTTTGCCCTTCAGTTCGGTTTTTCAATGTGGGCGATCTGACTTTCTTCTGTGGGGAAATGACCAGCGTCCATTGCCAGCTTGCGCCTCATTCGTGAGAGCCAGTTTTAGAATATTGGTTCCTTTCCATCAGTGACGTGCTTGGGATCATCAAGCTTTGCCGATCGTTGCACCCGCTGTGTGTCCACCAGTCTGATTTGTGAGGCCAAGGAGTTCACAGTCTGCTGTAGGGCGTTCCGATCCTCTACCAGACTGTCCACCTGCTGGTCCAGATCATTCACTTGTCTTCACTGGTTGTCTCGCTCCAATTGGAGTCTTCCTATGTGGTTCCTAGCTCCATCCATGAGACCAGCCAGATCCTTATATGTTTCCTTCCATATCTCGCTAACATCAGAGTTGTCATCGTTGGAATCTTGTTTCTAGGCTGAGGTTCATTTGGCCAGTTTGACGACGGCAGGGCATAGGAAAATGTGGACAGATATGGCAGTTTTCAACCCAATGATCATTAGATCAAGAGCATGAAGTTGAATCTGATTTAGATTCATAGGATCATGGTGAGAAGAGTGATCAGATCAAGCAGAGCGAGCAGGGCGATCGGAGCGGGGCGATCAGCTGAGACTGCTGAGAAGCATGTGGCAAAAATGAATAGGAGGAAGAACTAGAAGCTAACTGCTGGATAACGCGCAGGAATTCCTTGTAGGTCCGAGGTAGGTTTAACGGCTGAGCTAGACGGTTGCGGATTGACATACATACTGAGGCCCTGGCGGAATTGAGAGATCTTTGAAGAATCTGGCCACTCCTGGGCTCTGGCCTCATAGAGAATTCATTCAAACTTAGCAATATAGGCTGCCAGGGATTCATTTGAGGTCTGGCAGTGAGGGCTTCGGACGGGATTGATCGTGAGGCTTCTTGGATAGCACCCCAATTTCCTGGCGAAGAGCAGCAAGAGAAGCTTCCATAATGAAGGTAGGGAAAGCAGAGAACAAAAATTCACGCAGGTTTGAGCACTCAGCACGGTCGTAACCACTGAGAAGCTCACATAGACCTGGACGTGGACGTAGATATGGACATGGACATAGACATAGACACAAGGGGTTTGAGCACTCAGCACGGTCGCAACCACTGAGGAGCTCACATGGACATAGACAAATAAGGCCTGCCTACTCAATCTCCAGGGCTTTTGAGAAAGAGGAGTTTAGTATTATGTCATCGCTCAACTAGAAGCATGAATGATAACTAGACAAAAGCTCAATTCATCTATCTAACTAGGTAGCTGCGACAAGAATACTAAACTGGGGATTAGAATGTGGGAATGAAACGAGCAGGCGAATTTAAATAAGTGGTTGGGGATCGGAACGGATCAACATTCGGAGCGGAGCGGATCAACATTAATCCATATTACCAGCGACTGCGCCGTACCACTTTAATATTTATTAATGATAAATTAAGTAAATACTATAGTTATTTGATTTTAAAATTTATTCTCCAGAGCAGTTTTTATTTTTTCTATATAGTTAATTAGAAACTTTATTCTCAGTTCAGTTATAAATAAATAAATATATTTAACTGACTGATAAAGCATTTTTTTGCTTTATTTTTATCAATATCAGTATTTAATAAACAGTTTACTAAGATATAATTTAAATTTTAACTAAATCGCAGAAATTATATTTATCTGAACTTGTGCAGTCTTTAATTGTTCTTAAATAAAATTTGAAATAGTCATATTCAAGTTTCAATTATATAATAGAAAGTTTTTTTTTACATTTTATTGAATTTTTTTAATTTAATTTTATTTCATATCTTGCATTTTGAATTTTTCCTTTTCTCACAGCTCAATTCAGTTATTGAGATATAATTCTCTGATCATTTTCTTAATATAAAATTAAAAAATAATTATTTTTATTATATTTTAAGTTTTTGTGTCACTTTTTATTATTAAATCTGCATTCTTACTTTTTAAAATATTTACATAAACTGATATTCAAGATTAATAAATTTGAATATAAATTCTTTAAGAACAAATTTATAAGCTAATATAATGTCTTTTGAATGTTAAATAACTCAGCATTGAAAATTTCATATTTTTCTTAAAAAATTTCAAGAATATAACTCATATTCAAAGTCTATTTTAAAGTATATCAAAATTAAATCTAATTTTAAATATTCTTTTTACATTTTGATTCATTTGAATATATTATTAAATAACTTTTTTTTGTTGATTTTTTGTAGTTTTTAAATATATATATATTTTATCTTTTCTAAGAAGTTCATTTATAGAAATATTTATTAATGAACTTAATTATTTCTTCAAAAATAAAGCTCATTGTGATGTATATTTTTTCTACATTTAGACTTAATAATTGATTTTAATCATTGCATATAATCTATAGAGCTGAAAAGATGAAATTTTTCAAGAATTGTTATAATGTTCATTTTAATCTAAAAACTTATTTTTATTCAGATTGTTATTGAATATATCTAACTGTAACTACATGGTTTAAGTGATATTTATTAGTTAGATTAGTAAAATAGTTAAATTCTAGTTTAACTAGATAGATGTCATAGTTATTGACTGAATACATCTTAAATGAAGAATAATAATAATTATAATAATAATCATAATAATAATATAAATTAATTTTTTAATAATTTATAATTTTAAACTCAGTTGGAAATAAAAAAAAAATTAAAAAAATTATTATAAAAATAAATAAATAACTTTTAGATAAATTGAAAAATAATTAATAATAAATAAATTTTTAAATTTAATAATTAAGTTTTAATAATATTTTAAAAGTCAGTATAGATATGAAAAATGATCAAGATATTCATCAATGATGCTCTGATATATGATATTATTAAATTCTACAATAGACAGATTGAGGAAATATCTGCATTTTACAACATCATTTAACCATACAGTTTGCAGTATAGTGCAGACAAGGTGCTAGATAACAGCAGTAAGTTTTGATCAAAGGTCACTTATCATTTTTTATTGTGCAGAGCATGTTAGTGAAGTTGTTCACAGTTTGATCTTCTAGCACTCAGATCTCTGTATGTTTCTCAAGTGCTCTCTCGACAGAAAGGGTGGACATGGATGTTCACATCATCATTCAGGGTCTGGAGGTGGAGGAACATATCATGTGTACTACATGCCAGATGCTCAGCTCTGTCAATCTGCACTGGCTGCAGGAACTGACCATAACTCAGTCAAGGTCGGTCGACCAGTAGCCTCACATTCATGAGCTCATCCGGAAATGCGAATCTTCTCAGCAGACCCCTTGAGCAGACCCCCAAGAAGCACAAGGGGACTGTCAAGTATGAGCTCCACATGAAGAGCAGCTGTGAGCTGGCAGGGCGCACACCAGTGAGCGAGAGACAACCTCCTATATGACATAAAGGAAAAATTTAACTTCGAGGGGTCCCTGTGTGAGATAAAGAGACAGCTGTCTAGGATTGAGTTCTCAAAGGAGTTTGATGAGTCTTGGAGCATCAATGAGAATGTCCCGCCCCTGCAGCAATGAATGATCTCAGTGCTTCTCATCCCGCCCTGTGAGATGTTGCGGGATGAGATGCGTTGACACAGAAAGGATCAACGCGGTTGTTGCAGCATACTGCCTCTTTGAGGGAGGGGATACGTGCCGACTGCCGCACGACAAGAGACCTACCGCCCAGGTACTTACAAAAGGTCGCGGATGGAGGAGGTGGTCGTTGCGTCCATCTCCCGGCGAGAGTAAGATCGCATCAGGGGCGGTGATGAAGGGCTATCAGCCACTCTCCTGCTTCATCTGTGTGGATATATTCTCGACCCACAGTTGAGTGACCAAGCACTCCAGCCTGAAGTCACAATCAGGTGCCTGTGCTGTGATGTGGTCCTCAGGAACAAGATGGACCTTCAGAGCCACGCCTACCACGTCTACAGAACAGTTAGTCCAGCTAATTTGTAGTCCTCAGGCCACTTTATGAGAGACAAACTAAGGCCATCGATAATGGCAGGGCCGGTCTCAAAGATACATTTCAGCAGTGTCAGGGAGCATAGATAGAGTAGAGAACTGGTTTCTGATCTAGTGTTGGCATGGTTTTACCAAGAAGTGACTGCAATCTGGGATCATGTTCTGTCTTCAGTATAGCCAATTCATCTTGTTTTATATTCTTTTCTTTTCTTTTCTTTTTCTGCTTGAATGCAAGTGCTGAAGTCAGCAATCTGCAGATACGCTCTGACCTTACCCTATTGGAAGCAGTGAATGTGTGCTTCCGTAGACGTACAACCATATACATATAAAATGTTTGGCCATAGAATTGAAGAAGTCCATGTAAATTAAGATTATGCTCAGATGCAAGCTGCTATCTAAAGGTTGGCCCCCATCATCCCTTTTCTACTGTCGCTGGGTGACGAGCTTACGAGCGGGGCTCACCACGGGATCCAGCATCGTAGTTTAATCCGGTGGCTAACTTAGTTACCGTAGGACTAACTAATATTAAGAAATTGAATGCTTGTGGCTGACTTGACTAGTTAGTTAACTACCTCTTTTTGGTGGGATATTTGAAAACCCCCTCTGTCTTTCCCACGAAGACTACTTCTGTTCTGTCCCCGCAACGTTCTCATATCACTAACTGTCTGCCATTTGAACATTCCACAATACGACGCAGTTCCTCTCCTCTATGTATGAAGAAGCGCTTTTTATCTTCCAATCTAGCTGTGACTTACTCCGAGAAATGAGCTAAACTCACGTCCCAGGCATTTACTAACCTTGAGTGCTGTTCCAAGTTTACATTCTTCCTCCAAATGAGTGCCCGGATACAATTTGCAATAACGAGACTTAGTGAAAAGGTGGAAGAAAAGCGAAATGAAATAAAAAGGATAATTGCTAGGGATGCTGAGTCTTATGAAGGGGACAATAAGCAGTATAACATGAAGGACACCAATGAAATACTGAAAGACATGATAAGCGAAATGGGGTTTAAGGTAACTAAGGGTTATCTTACGCTTGATTTTATTTCGATCAATCTTCTTATTTGGATTTGCTAATAAAACTCATAACTGCCTTACTAGGATATGGACTGGACAATGTGGCTCTTTACTAAATCAACCACAATCATCAATAACTCACGGTCAATGTATCTGATTCCGATATATACTCTATCTGGGAAACCAGAGATTGTTCCGGGTGGTGCGCTGTTAGAAGGGTGTTCCATACATATCACAGATGAACCTTGGCTGCGACCGAAAGCTGTCATTGTGTTCATATTTCCACCTTCGAGGTCGCAGCATCCTAGGTATTCTCCTGGACACCTGAATCCCTAGATCGGTTGACTACGGGTCTTTGGTGGGTTGAAAACTGCTGGTGGCCGTTGTTATCTGCCGTTATTTATCACGTTGTCTTGTCTAAGTGCTTGTCTGTTCACTTCTTCTGTAGGTTTCGCAGGTCTCGCTTGGTATCATGGCGGGGATTTAATGCTGCATTACAGCATGCTGCCCAAAGCCAGCAGTGTCAGAATTTTCGTCTGATCTGGGCATCCGGAAGTTGGTCGCTGGGATCAGGAAGTCGAGGTTTTGCCCCAAATTTGTTGGGTGGAATCTTTCGTCTGCCGTGGGGATATTTCGTTGCGCGGCCCCTTTTTCCTCTCCCAACCTGTTCTCTGCGTGGTTGTCTTTGCATATTTCTGTTCATATCAATTTGTGTTGATCCGGTGCCTTGCAATGGTTCCTGAATTCGCGGTGAAGAAGCAGCCATTTAGAGCACCCAGTTCAAGCGACGGAGAATCGAATTCTGTTAAGTGTTAGTTAGGTGTAATTATAGTGTGTCTAATACCCCTGACCTTGCTAGAAATGTAGCCTGCGATCAGTCGTGCACCCCCCGCACAGGCGACACCATTGAAATTGCCGATGTACTATATGAAGCAAGTAATTGTCAAAACCGGTGCATTGGGTAAACCACATCAAATCGCCGCTTCAGCTAAAGCGAACAAGTGTGTATCCCTGTTCTTGATGTGATGCTTCTTGGACACCGTTCGGTTGGCAGGAAATCCAGCAATGCCCAGACGCGCTGAAAGACCGCAGTTGCAACTAAATCAGTGCCTACCCTAGCAGTTGCCTCTCAAATGCCTCTCTCCTTCAGCAAAATTATGCGTCAGGCTTCTCAGCGGGATTCTCTTCTCCCATCTGTGTTGGTGTGCGTCCATAGCACAATGCTTCGTCGGATGGACTAAGTCGTGATAAACCATTCGAAGCACGATTAAACAGCCAGCTCCCAATCTTTGGCTAGAGGATCATATCTCTGTCCTGGATTATCCCACTCGTTCACATTCTGTCTAGTATTTGTTTACATCATCTCCAATTCAGGCCAGACTCGATGATAGTGTTGACGAATATACCACAGAAATAACGGCAATTGCTGTTCTTCAACACTTCTTGGAGGCGATACAATGTGATCACAAGAAAACGTCCAACGAATCTGGTCCACTTCACCACGCTCTTGGAGTCCTGATATGAGGTTGTAGAGATTAATAATAGGACTCGGGAGAAAACGGGAGTGCAAGTTAGTATCTTGCTGAAGAAACATGGAGGCATCAATCTTCCAAATGTTTTCACATGGTTCGACAGCGGCAGAGAATATATAATCTCCACTGAGCTCTTTAATACAGCAGAAAAGCCGCGATGTTGGCTGGCAGTGGTTTTGCTTCTTATCCGCGCTGGTGGGTTTTCCCAAAAAGTCATCAAGGGAATCCAAAAACAGTGGATGGGTGTAAGGCCCAACTCTGTCATTCTAAAGGAACTCTTGTCATGATCACCGCTTCATTTTCAAACACGATATCCTCAATCCTTCTTTGACCTCTAATGCAAGATGCCCCGCTAATTCTTTGCTCGCCTGGAGAACTGCTTGCGATCTTAACTGGAGCCTTGAAGCGTGCAAGTTGGGTCACTCCTCCGGAAACCCTTAGGTTTGGGACTTGGAAGTTTTACAGCAGGGGAAATTACACATTTGGCCGGTTTCACGCTTCCTGTTAGAGATGGATAGGAAGCTTAGGCTGGGGTGGAGCAGTAAGGCGTATAACTACATGATATTGCTAATGTTCGAGAATAATCTAGCTCTCTACGAGGCCCGAGATGAGTTAAAAATCGGTGTGGTTATGAGTGCCACGTGACCAGGCCCCTGAACCCTAGCATCCCTTTAGCTTGTGACTAGAAGAGAGAGCCGATCGCCCAACTTTCAGCATAACGAACCACTGCCATCTTCCATCGCCATTACACTCGGTGATAGTGCACTGACAAGCCAATGAATAATGCTGACTTCTTGGTGATTTGAATCAGCCTGGGAATGGGAAATTCGTGATGCGTGGAACATGCGATGTTTGCGCAATGATACCTTACCATGGCTCATTCCGATCTTGTCGATCAAGCTTTTCCTTTGTCCGATCTCATACGGCTTTAACGTTAGTGTCTGTAGAATTGAATGACCGACCGATCCGACTTCGAACTCTATATAGAATAAATTAAAATTGGAGGAACGGAAAAAGCTGAGCGTTGAGCCATTGGACACCACTCCTGGAAATCATGAGAGTATATAAGAGGAAGAGAGTAAATCATGATTCACGATCTCAAGAAGTTTGCAACGAAAGAAGATACTCTTACATCGTACACGGCCGGTGATGCCATATTCCTCCTAACCTGCAAGTCAGCTATGTTGAATATGTAAACTACCAAGGCAACGGTATCCAGCATCACTGAAGCTCCCGAAACAATACACACATCCCCCTTCTCTCGTCCAGATTTCCCTACAATTCCTTCTTGGAAGTCCCCTTGTTTCTGGACAACGCAGCACCAACAACCTGCCCCTGGATTTCTTCCCACCCTTGCTTCAACACCCATATCGGCAAGAACACCCACAAAATGTTGAAAAACACCAGGTAAAGCCATAGAAATATCGGATCGCCCGTATTCAACGACTGACTCCCAGTCAGCCACTCCGGCGCAAACGTCATGAATCCACCATACAGCTCTGCAACCGCCAGTCCGGCCGCCACAAACCACATCCGAAACTGGCACTTTGCCCATTGCGCCGTCGACAATGAAGAGGAAGACGACGATTTGTAAACGAGATAGCAAATATACGTCGCCGCCGGCCCGCCCAGAAAAACGGTAAGAAGCTCCAGGGATACAATGCCTGCATCCGCCCCCAACCACCGACTATCCGCTTTCCCGTATTCTTGCCACAGACGAGCCATAGGGCCCGTGCCGTACGCCGCTCCATACAGGTGCTGCGGGTGGTTGAGGAAGGGGGAATTGCGGATATGCCTTGCGGTGGCGCTGTCGATGGTCGTGTACGTGAAGAAGCAGTTGTAGAGAAAGGACCCCTCGACAATGAAATGCGTGAGCGCGTCATACGCGTGCCAACAGAAGAGGATGCGGTGGCATTTGGCACGGGTTGATGGAATGAGGAGGATGGTGAGGAGGCCGGCGATGGGGAGGAGGGAGAGAGTCACGGCTACACAGAGGATGGTGGGGACGTCGGCGGTGAAGCTGCCGCTGGCGATGAGGGTGGTGGACATTTTGTGGAGTTGCTTGCAGTGGAAGTGTGCGTTTTGACGTGGAGCTCAGCTGCAAATGGGGTTATCTAGGAAATCATCCGTGGGCATAATATTAATTTTAGACAAGCTCGGAGCAAATCACTGCTGATATCTGAGATGTAGAGGTAACTAGAACAAGGCAAACACGGAAAACGCTGCATCCTTTGGAATCCCGTCGCTTGGCCGCTAGAGGCGTCGCGTTTTTCCTCTCAGAGTCCCAGGACCGAAAATGAGAACATGGCACGCACAGAATAGGGGACGGAGATTTTTCCCATGCGGCAACCATCAACCAAGAGCCTGCGAACAGTAACCAATGCTCACGGATCGTCTTCGGAGTTCGATCCGATTAGATTCTTATTTAAAGTTCTGACCCGCCAAACCCTGGAATGCGCCAAGTCACGTACCTTGATTTTTAGGTGAGGGTCCGTCCTTGCAAAGGCCCTATTCGTTTAGCTGAACCCCGACGCCTGGTGGTAGGGGCTTCTAGCTATGAGTTGGGGTTCACCCAATTATAATCTGAGGAGGATGCTGAGGTTTAATTTTTTGGTAATAATTCTCGTGTTTTTGGCACAATTTCATTTTATCGTGCCAGAACTTCCTGCGACCAAATCAACTGGACGGTTTAACTTCATTGAAACTGTGTTGAACCAGCGTAATTAGTTATTATGCGTATATCTTTATAAAATTGAATAACATTAGATATTCATTGATCTTCCCTCAGGAAAACATCGTACGACAGTTATTTGCTATTAAAACATTTTCATAAAACATCATTGTTGATTATAGAAACAGACCGTCTGACGATACCTTCTCGTGATGGAGAAAAAAAAAAAAACATCAACATCTCATAGTCTCATTATTTGCCCCATCATTCCCCCCCCTGAACAACACCCCTTGGCTCCAAGCCGGCCATCTCCCTTATATCCCTTACATACCCACCAGGAAACAAGCCCTTCTGCCCCGCATAACACCCCCACATCCAGTCATCGTTAATATTCTCCGCCTCCGTAATCTCCGCACCGCGAGGGAAGAGAATCTCATCCGTCACATCCAGGTCAGGGTAATAGGACCAGAGTGCCACCAGACGCAGCCCAATGCCACCCGACGGTGGGAATTGCGTGGAAAATGGCGTTTCGGCCGTGGGCTCCGTGGGAGTCGTAGGCGAGGAGTTTGACCAGGCTGCTCGTGACCGTGAAATGCGTCGACGGTGCGTCGTGCTGGTGCTCATCCCTTCGTCTTTCCACATCCAGTCTCCGGAATCTTGGCGCGTGGGCTTGGGGAATGAGGCGCTGGGATGGGTACTTGGGTTTGCATTTGCTGTTCCCACCAATTCATCTCTCAGCGCATGTCCTCCTACAATGTCTTTGACAACAACTCGTCTCTGGCCGTCCGCGTGGTCCTCAAACCCGACGATCAGCATTCGATGGCCCTGTAAGCATCTCCGCCAGCCGTTCGGCCCATTGTCTTTGCTGATTTTACCGTTGGCTCTGAGTTTCAGGTAGCAATTTGTACATAGGTCATAGTCTCCAATGTTGCATGTTGTGCAGTGGAAGCGGCTTGTCGAGGGAGGAATCGGGTAGGAGCAATTGTTACATTGTGTAGAAAACGTCAGTGGACGGTAACGGTCGCTGCCAATTGCGATGGTAGATCCTAATATATGGCTGGATGCGGTTCCTGGTGGCTGGCTAGTGGCAGATGGGGATGTCCATATACGTGACTGCGCAAGATCCGCCTCACGAACACGGGCAATTGGCAGGAGTGCATGTGTGCAGCAATTGCCTTGATTGACACAGCTGTTACAAAACCCCCATTCTCCCTCATTGCAAGTGCTGCATATCCAAAAACAGTCGTCTGCAAATGACTGGCACATATCGCAAAACAAGCCACTCTGGAACCTTTTCACAGGGTCGTCACTAGTTCGTCTTCGGGAGCTTCTGGGCCGAGTGTGGGCTGCATCTCCTTGTGGGCGCAAATATTTCCGTGATTGCAAAACATGCGGCCGTTCCCGGACTACCGAAACCCTTGTTGGGTATTTTTCTTCAAATAGAGCCTGAGCACTGTCCCCGAATCCGAACCAGTGCAGGCATCCTCGGCCTAAACGGTAACATAGTAAACACAGATTGTAATTGCCATCGCCGCATCGAGTGCACGACTTGTAAACTTCATATTGAATGTTCCGTTTATCGCATCGATTGCAGGATATAGACGGCTCGGAGAAGAGACTTTCATTTGAGTGAGTTGCTGGATCGCTTCGAGATGATGTCGGTCGGGAGGATGAAGACCTAGAAGGGGAGGGTATGGTAGCATCGCGTCCGTCAATTAATGGAAGGCGTTCACTCGATTGAGGGACAGACATAGATGGGGGCGTTGCGACTAGTTGACTAGAAGATCCTATCTGGGGGCTTGTAGTTGTAATGGAAGATGTTGAGTTTGGGGTTCCTACTACTTGCCGACGATCTGTGGACCTTATGCCAGTCTGGAGAGCCCTCTGCTCAGATTCACCACTCTGTCTAGGGGATGAGAGTGGTAATTCTGTCCGATGGCGGACAGGCTCTGAAGAGGAATTGGCATGGGAAGAACGTCTAGTAGATAGATCGTTCGAGTGCCTTGCCGTTGGCTGTATAAGAGCTTCAGCCGAAGAGGCAGCAGTTCTTGGAGATGGAGAGGTTGCTCTACGCCTCACACCTCGATCAGAGGAACTTCGCTGTTGGTGATTGGACGACCTGGTTCTCGGCATGGGCGCCTCAAGTAAATGTGGTCGAGATACCGGTGGGCGCTCGTTATCGCTATTTGACCTGGGTTGTCGGTTTCTAGGATGGCGTGAACCCCCTTCACCTTCGCTATGTGTGCTTTGATGAGCAATAGACCGGCGAAGGTGTCTCTTTCGATACGCTTCTGCGATACGTTCACTGAGCTCATCTTCCTGCTCAGTATCCAGGCTCCGTATATCTATCCCATCCAAGAGGCCTTCGTCTATGATCTGTCTGAGTATTTCCTCTTCAATCACAGACTCTCCATCTGAAGTATCTAACAAAGATCGTAAGCTGGCCTGGTGTTCAATTCGCCTCGTATTTGAAGTCTGGACAGGGGATGACCACTCTTGGCTGGCAGCATGCCACGCATGCCGTCTCCGCCCCTGCGCTTCTTCCTGACGGCCTGCTTCTCGATTCCCTGAAGTTCGACTGCGGGTACGGGATGGTGAAGTTCGAGAAGCAGATGCCACACGAGTATGTCTTCGGTCTGCATCCCTAAGACTCATCTGTCTGAAGTCTTCTAGCAATCTACGATCCTCTTCGTTCCCTTCTGAGTCAGACATGCGAGCAGCATTGGGGGGTCTGACCGGTAGAATAGTTTCCCCAGGCTTGTATTTCCATTCTAACTCCTTTCTCTCTTCAGCGCCCCTGGCTCTATGTGGATTTGACTCTAGAAATAAGTCAAGAAGTGTGGTAACTTTGGCATCATGTCTAGTGTCTCGGATTGCGGCTCGACATGACGGGCAGGTGGCTTGGGCGCTTTTGCTGGAGCTAGGTGGATGTGATACTTGCCACGAGAACCATTCTTTCAGGCACACGCCACAGAAGGTATGAAGACAGTCGAGCAGGGTTAATGGTTGATATAGAATGTCTGTGCATATCTGCGGCAAATTAGATCACTGTACTACCAAGTGCGTGCGCATAATAAGACGCAGGAAAGATATATCTCAAACTCGAGGACCGAGTTTGAATTTTCTCCTTACCGAACAAGATAATTCCGCTTCCAAGTTCACCAACCCGGCTCCTGTGGATTTTTCGTCTTGCATTTTCGATGCTAGCCTGAGCAGTGAGGGGCAGATTTGAATATATGGCAGGGTAGCAAGGACCGGGAGTAGAATAAGCCTGTAAACTTAATAACAGCGCTTTTATGACAGACGGTAAGACTTAAAGATGATTTCTACAGAGTCATGACATGGCAGAGATACCGCGTCTGTTGTTGTTGCTGGTTGGTTCGTCTTGCGCCTGAGCCCAGCAAGCGAATTGGATGTGGAAGAAGTTCGCGTGAGGCTGACCAACATCGACCAACGACGGATAACTAAATAGTTTTAAAATGTCACGGTCTGACTTTTCGTTTCTCTCTTAAACAGTGCATTCAGCTTCAGATAATTCTCCATCTCTGAGTATCGGTAATTGAAGGAGTTTTCCACGACAGGTTACCGCTTGCTTAATAAAAGTTATTGGTCCATAGCAGCCCAGCGCCCGCCATGTCAATTAACTGCGTGCGTCACTGACAGTGAAAGTGCCGCCGCAATCAACCTTGCCTGACGGCGACAGTCATTTAGCAGAGCCTGAATCCAGGTTCTCATGGCACTCTCCATAAAATGCTGGAGGAGGGAGTCCTTGAAGCACCGCATGAGCTAACTTGGACTGGAGAAAAAGCTTGAAATGCTCTTGGCTAGGTAAAGATCATACATTTAAACATCACAGAACCGCGGGTCAAAGCATTGATAATGTATCTAAGCTCAGGAACAAAAACCCAAATTCTACAACTATATTCATGTTGCCGTTTTGAATGTACACGCTCTTCACGGTAGCAGCAGCCCTGATAAGCGAGGCTCTTCAGGAGTGATACAATCCCACAAGAGCTCTCTTGACCGTTCGTCAACTGAAGTACGACCACATGGGAGTCTGAGGCCACGCCAATTCAGGTACGATAAATCTTCTATGCAAATTTGAAGCTTTAATCGCGATCATGATAAATTATCACCCATATTATGATCTTACGAGTGCCTACCTTTCCAACAATCTGAAAGGCACCCAGTTCATTTCTGAATTGCCTGTCAGTCGGAGCCCCACTCAGCGCAAACACATTCCCAACAACCCACAACCGGGGCAAGGTCTGCAGATGAGGAGGGGTCTCGACTGATATCTCGCCGCCCTCGAAAGCGCTGGTGAACCTTGAGATAAATATTTGGTCAAAGACCCACAGCATCCTGGCACGATTGACGATCGAGAAGATTATCTGAGATACAAGGCAAAGGCAGGTCGTGGAGAACTACTTTAACCGAGGCAAATCAAAATTGGGGTCTATCAGCAGGAACATGTCGTATAGTGAATGCAGCCTCGAAAGTGAAAGAGAAAGGAGCTGTGTCAGAAAAACCCAATGCAAATGAACTGTTGAGCGTTGGGCCTAGAGCAAAGTCGAAATCTGCGGATGCAATATTGGGAAGTGGCCTTTCCGGCTTGCATTTACAAGTCTTAACGGCCCTTTGGCCGAATCAACACCAGGACCATCAAAAAAAAGCTGCAACTTGGGGGATATGCCCAGCAAGGTGAAGGGATCTACTTGGGAAAACAACAATTACTGCTAATAGGACTCTAGAAGCAGATATGGAAGATGGAGTCTGGCGATGACGAGAACGGTGAGCAAGGGGAGGAAGAGTAGGAAGACGGAGAAGACGGAGAAGACGATAAAGAAGAAGGGATGGGGGAGGCGACGGCGCGATGGAGATGGAGATGGAAATGACGAAGAAAGCTGGAGGATATGGAGGAATGTGAGCAGAGAGACCAATGGAGATATTCCGTCTACCAGTCGAATGAAAGCGATCTTCAACAGGAACCAAAATATTTTGGTCTTTCAACCATCTCAGGTGGCATCCCAATACTTTATCCCACGCCCACAGCTTCCCGGGATATTCTCCAATTTGGATTGTTTCAAGAGACAATTGTTTTCTTGAAAGAAGATATCGATGAACATTTCTGGAGATTTCCGGACGTGAACTAAGACTTGAACAAGGGAAAACTTTCTGCGGATTGCTCAATAATCTGCAATTGTACAATGGTGGTTATTTCCGAGCCTGAAAATTCCTCAGTATCAGATATTACTCTTTGTTGCCCACTGAAATGCACAACCCCAGGCGCCACAGCAGGTGAAAATACCGGGAGACGATTTACCACATATTTAAATAGAGACTTCCTCCCCGGAAGCTCTTCACCTTCAGCCAAACATACCCTTTCCTCCATATCTATATACCATTTGAGTCACTCCAACACTTGCAGAACAATTGTTCTGCCTGATACTGTGTGATGGTTAAAGCGATGGAATCTTCATGCGTGAGAGCTGCATACAGCGATTATTTTCCATCTTCCCCTATTCCTGATGTGATAGAACATCCTATTTTTCAGCCATTTCGCCAGACAATCAGTTACCGTTGAGGAATTTGCTTTCGAAAGTCGAAACATAATAGCTTGGAACAAGATAAATAACAATCTTATCAGCAATGGCATCTTGGAATCGGACGGCAGCTTTTTGAAAAAAAAATAAACACATTTCTATTAATTTTCCCGAGACACAATCAACCCCAAAGGCCAAGGCATGTTCCACAGCTACCTGTCGACAGCGAGGAGATGAGGAAGAAAGAAAATTGAATCGAGTTTATTTCATTGTTCCTTTTCAAACCGGCAATGTTGACTCAGTACATGGTTTTGGTTTCATAATAAGATTGAATTCTCAATCGGGCTTCATGACATGCTCATCTCAAACGCGACTTTTGTTTCTTTCTTTAATCGGTTTTTCAAAAGGCTCCGAAGATTCCCCACCATTTCCCACACATTTGATCTATATCTCATATCATCATGATATCTCATTTTCACTCTGGAATTTTCCGTCTACCGAACCATGGCTTTTCATTGATTCCTCCATTTAATACTTTCCTCTCAGCGGTTGCTCAAGATATATTTGAGTAACTTCGATTTCTGCTGCAGTCTTTTGAATGATCTAACTCCCCAGGTAACTACTTAGATCAAAAGTGACCCTTAATATTAAAGGTTCTTTATAGTATGTCATTCATCTGCCAGCCCTTTCTAATCAAATTGCTCAAATACAGGAGCTCAACAATTCCTGTGTTTGCATATTTAATTAGCTGGAATTTCGGCTTGGAATACTCCCATCAAGGATTCACCTAAGCCCCTTGGAGGCATTATTGCTGCTGAAATTGTCCAGTGACAACAATATCAATTTTGGCTTTTGCATGTTATGATCTCACCGTACGCCATCATCACGAAGCCTTAGTCTTCACAGCTCTCCTTGGTCAAGATAGGCTATTGATCAAGAAGACACGTCAATAATAGATCCGCCACTTGTCTGCAGTTAGGCGTCCCTCTGTTATAAGAGAGAGTGTGTGCGTGGTTTAGTACGTATCCTTATTCCATCACCTGACTTAACAGGCATATCGCCGGGTTGCTAACTTCTGGACTCGCTTGTCACTTAGTTCCCCCTTCATCTATTGCAATATAACAGAAGTGGCCCCTAACTAACTACAGAAAGGGTCTCCTTCGGCTTTTTTTCAGGAATGGCAGACGCAAGAACAGGCATCAAAAACGAACACTGCAGTCTCGCCACTTTGCGGAGTTTTGGTACTTCAAGCCTGCATCAAAATTTGCCGGGGTTCAGAGCGCTATCTGCGCGCCGGTCTTTGGTGAAGAGGCAAATATGAAACATCCCTGTCTAATAACCCAGAAGGGGGTATTTGTTGGCATCTATGTGCCGTGGGCGAAGTTTAGAACTGGAATGACTCCTAGGGGCAAGGGCAACAACTTTGTTGTTGGAAGTCCCTTTTACTTGCCAGAAATATTCAATATTGCTACCCTGTATATTTATTAGCAGGGGATTAAAAAGTCGTCGGTTATTTCAACATATTCTGTGGATTGCGAATCCCATCACTGCTTCGTTCTGATAAAGAGGAAATGTAGTGTTCATCCATATAAGAGATCTCCAGAATCACGGTGTAAGTACGCTAAGTAGGTTAGTTGTGGGGCAGCCATGCTCCTTTCGACCAAGCTGCTTTCGAGATTCCCATTCTTCATGTTTATGAGCAAAAGACCGTGAGTCTTCCGAAGCTACATAACCTTATATAACAGCCCTCTTAAGACGCCACTAACTAGCTCCCCACTAGACTGGACTTTTGAGCTGGCCTTGAACGACAAGGTATTTGTTGAATGCCCATTGTGTCATTATCAAGCTGATTCCTTTGAAGATATGCCAGAATGACAAGTTCCGATTCCAATTTCTCTGTCTCCGATGAGGCAACTTGCCGTTTACCTCGACGTTTCAGGAGCGAAAAATCGGCTTTATAGCGTGTATCTCGTTCCCCATTGAGGGGGGATACCAACCTCGCATAAAACCTAATGATCCAGACCATCGCCTTCTGCTCACCGCCATAACTTTTTCTCTATTTAGCGGGGTATCAGTCGCCTACGCGACGACGTTGTTTCGTTGATGCATCCCTTATTCTTGGATGCATATCAATTACCGAAAGATGTTCGGGGTAGAAGAACATATCAACCAATCTACCAATCTTATAGATCCCGGAGGATGCTCTATCAACCTCTTGCTTTCTTAGACGAACCTTCCGCAAAATAAAATTCCAGGACATCGATATTGATGACTTCCAAACTTTTCCCGATCGAGATCCGCCGTCAGGACCATTTTAAGACCATTTCCAAGCAAGTGGCTTCGAGGCTCTTTGGGGTCCTTCTCTGGTCTTCATATTGGGGTGCTGCAGAGCGTAACATTTTCCGGGGAGGCACATCTTCAACGATGAAGCATTATAGATCTTTGAACAAAGGTTAAAATCGAACACTGGAAGTTATTCTCACCCATCAGAATACATCTTGGGAAAGAGAAAAATACAGGACCCCTGATAAGCAACTCTATTGGTATGCCCCCTCCATCTTCATCCATATTTAGATTCCCTGTTCAGAAATTATCTGCAAAATTAGCAACTTCAACTATCTTCTAGACTTGTCCGCCTGTCCGCCTTGCCAGGGCGACTTTGAAATATGTTTAATAATTCCCATGTGTCCGCCCTTTAGGGGCCGTGTGTGTAGGGTCATCATATTCTGATGAGTGTCTTTAATTTGCGCTTTCTACTCTGAGGATCCGAAGTATTACCTGAAATCGTCTCTCCTAAAAAGGAGTTTTGTTCCGAGAGATTTCGCCATATAGTTTCCGTCTAGCAATGATAAAGAGGAGCCATGGGAAGTGTCATTACATCGTTTCCTACCCTTCCGCAGATTCTCTATTGACTTCGCATTGGGATAAAGCTCACTTTCCCCTCAAAATTATCCGAACAAATTCCGCCAATATGGTAAATCTGGGGATCATACACTGTAAGCGTGTGCATTTATACGCCACAGCCCCGAGAAGAGCACATCGACAAACCAGGTTTTACGGATTAGGTCCGGGATTATCCCTCACGTCACTCCATTCATGCGGAAACTTCTCAGGAGGCATCACATGTCTCACTCCTTGGTGGAAGCCCAGCATCTGCCAACTGGCATCAAACCAGGGACTTACTACAAACGCAAATCAAGCGGGAGAGGTAACCCTCTCTCGTCTTTGGGTAGTGCTGCCTGCACACAGGTATCGATAATCCTCCCACTTCTGTGTGGTTGGATGCTCATGCCGCTGGGGTGGTTTGAAGAGCGGGGAATTGTTCGGGAGTAGTTCGGACTGAGTTTGTGTTTTTGGAAGTGCTGAAAAGTCATGAGGTATTGCCTAGCGGGATAGATTTGTGCTTAATTTGAGGGAGGAAGCGGGGTTGACGTTAGCCAGTTGTCTGATAGTTGATTAGCGTTAGTGAATGAATGAGTTAACGTTAAATGCTTAAGCGCCGTGCATACGAAGTACGCCGCGTCTAATAAACGCCAGGGTATCGATCAATCGTTCATTGGTTCCGTTGGGATTTCAAGATTGCTATCGTATGCAATTGGATCGACTGTGGTTTGTTTTCTTTTTCTTTTCCTTTTTCTTTCCCCCCCCCCCGGTCTCCCCCCTTTCTCTCCTTCGGGTTCTTCTTGTCAGCCTTTGCTTTCAGGCCGGATGCAAATAGGAACGTTATTTACCACCCATTTCTTCAATAATAATATCAATCTCGGATGGTTGGCCACTGCGCCCCCTATCCAATCATCATACTTTATCAATCAGTGGCGTTCATTATCTCTTCTACCTTGTCGGCTATCCACAACCTAGGTAAACAACGCTAGTTCATGAACAAACCTCAAAAAATCAAAAACATCACACGCATCGATGTGCTTACCCGTCCCTTCAGCAGATATCTTGGCAAGGGTTTGCCTCTTTGATCCATTCATCCACGTATCCAATATGTCAGGTATGTAACTATGCTGGAATGTAAAGAACGTTTTCTGCCCGCTTAAGCAGGACGATCAAATCCCCGCTCTCCATCCCTCAAGAGACCGGGTCTGGCCTTTGCATAAGGCCGAACACTTGCCTCTAAAACATGTTTTTGTTGGGGTGGGGCTCTTCCACGAAGCTTCATGCTCATTTATTGGTCGTTTCATCCATTTGTTGATTTTCCTCCTGTTCTTCTGAATCTGAAGGGAGCCTTGCAACCTAGCAGTTGTATACTAAGTGAGTAGCCGGCCGTCCCGCTGCCACTCCCGTCGTCATCTTGGTAGACCCTCGTGAGTGCCCTCGAGGAATAAAGATCAATTGCAGGTTTTGACTGGGGTGGATGTGTTCTCGAGTGTTGGCCTCTGGAATAGCTGGAAGTATGTTTGGGGGTTTATATGCAATGGCCTGTCTGAACTTAATATCAGCTGATGGAACGAAGGATTGTCCCTCGTATGGGATCGAAACAGAAAATGTCATGCAGATTTTGCAGGGTACGGTTGTACATCCAGGTCGGGTATATGCATGTGAAAGGGACGGCTCATGTACAGTAGTAGTTACTGTACATATGGTGTTTTAATGAACTCATCGGCAACGTCCGAATATATTTATTTGCCTTTCTTTCCCTAAAACTGGTTGGCAAGTAAACCCCCTTTGCGGAGAATGGCGATCCGTCGACAGGTTGACAGCAAGCCAGAGTTCAAAAGGTACAGCAATAAGCTTCCGTCCTTTGTCCGAATCCAGGAAACTCGAAGGCGGGAAGCTGACAGGAGGAAGAAACAAGCATCCTCTGTAAGCTCCAAGCCTCGTGTCGAATAGTACCAAAAATTAAGTAAAGAATGACCAAGAAGAGGAAATGCAAAACAGGGAGAAAAGACATTCATTGCCTTTGATATTGAGCAAATGTCAAAGTCGGCCGGCTAACACCAATCCGCCAAAGGCCGAGGCGCTTCCAATGGAAGGGATATATTCCAGCACTCAATGGTTCACAGAGAAGGATTTGCACCAGGATACGTGGAAGGATTGAGAACACCTTGATGAGTATTATTTCTCCCACAGCTGATAATACCACACAAGTGATAGTGGTGGTAAAACGCCCAATCAGGACTCGGGCTAAGTACAGCCATATCCCGCTGATGCAGACAATCAAAACTGTAACTAATTGCAACCAGTGAGGAAGCTCAGGTAACTAACGAGCTATATCCCAGAACATTCTCCATCAGTTTTGATAGCCGTTGCATATCCAGTGTTACAGTTACGTCAGATAAGACAGGACAGCAACAGCCGCGTAGATGTTTCATTTGCTCAGAGTAATAAGTTGAGGTCTTGCAAAGCCTTATTATCTGTGGCACAGACCACGAATATCCACTCGAAGATATCTAGTTAGTTGATAACTAGTTAGTTATATGGTTAGTGTGAGATGGGGAGATAGGTTCAAAGTGATTTTGACCTTCTCTCCCTTCTCTCCATATCATTGACATCTTTCTAGGCATCATCCCACTAGCAAAGGATACACACACAATCCACACCGATGCTGCGACATTTTAACGTGATGTTTCAGAAGCGCGTCATCTTCCCGCCTGGTCCCCTCCATTTTGCTCTGACAGGCCCCCCTCTAGGCGCCAACAAGGGCATTTATGTATATGCAGGGACTGGTCCACCACGAACAAGATGATCAGACAATTCAGCTGATTCCACATGAGCCTGTGTCTGCATCCTGAATGGCCGGAGGGATCTTGTGAATGGTTCTAAAGTATCTTAGCGTCTCCACGAGTGGCAAATCTTGTGTAGGTGCGCGACATGGATGTCTGGCCGAAGAGCGGGGAGAGGAGGCGAAAGCCAACTAGGGTGTAAAAGCTGTTCTTGTTCTTCTGAAGAATCTCCGTTAACTAGTTAACAGATAAGATAGCAGTTACCACAAGATTTTACTGGAGTCTCCCTGGTGGATAAAGATAAATTTTTTTGGATATGGGTACGTCTCTTTTACCTGCCTATGTTCACGAGCTAGCTCTTTAACCATCGAAATGAAATACTCTTGAATCAACTTCGACTTGCATCTCCTGGCAGATATACAATGACAAATATGGCTGCAATTGTCTGAAATGTTAGTTTTTCGTATATCGCGCACTGTACGACGGTTGAATTCAAGATTTTTCATTATTGCAACATCCAAAAAGTTTACATTCCATAAGCAGAACCACGCAGGATGTAAGGTTCTTTCAGGTTAAGTTTACCTTGTTCGGAAGATTCCATTACTTGGACATTCGTGCATTGCGACTGATCTGATTGGTCATCCAGGCTACTTTGCATGGAACATGGCATTTGGCGTATTCCTTCTCCGCGGACTCTTGAGTGTATGCCGCTGGGATGCTGATGCATAGCCCATAGTCATTCTTTGCATATTGAAGCGGTTAAGGCCTGCTGTACATAATCTTGTGCATAACATGGTTCTCAAATTGCATTATTATTATTCCGGTGTTCCACGTCGACTTGGCTTTTACGCGGACGAGTTGTCAGCCGGAGAAAAGGGGACCCTCCCGCCGAGTTTCTAGCAATTGTCTTTCAAAGCTAGATTCGGCATCTCGTGGGGGGGATCCCACCCAAACCTAAAGGATAGAAATGGTTAACGAGAGAGCGTGGAGAGAAAAGGAACCCTGGTAGGATATCTTATGGGCCGCCGATCTAAATCTATCCTCCAGTATAAAGTTGTCGAACGGGGCGTGTCTTTAATTGAAAAGAGAAAGTAAGCAAACTCTCTTATATCAACGCACGGTCGAGTGGGCCCGCAACGGATTATGTGATGCATAAACTCCATTCCGTGCCCGCAGCTGGATGAGGGGGGAAGGGGGAGAGGGGAGGGACGCAAGGGTTGCCCTTGTCATAAGTCCGTCCCCATTTCGGCAGAATAGCCCAAAGCGAAAGAAAAGATAAGAGAATAAATAGAAATTGCGGGGGCCGGTCCCTGGAAACTTCCAACCATTGCTCCTGGGAAGAGGAGGCTGACAAAAACAATTGTTCCCTGGAGAGCATTGAGGAGACGTCCCAGGATTCTTGCGCACAAATCAAACTTGCTTCCGTGGTTCGTTGACAGCCAAGATCAACACCCATGGCATTCTTGGAGCTAACCCATGGATAAGAAGCAGCCAGAGTTCAGAGTTATGGCCCCGATTGACTTGTTGATAGATCCACTGGCTGGCCGGCCGAGCAACGTTGGAAAATTAAGGAGCGTTTGCGGGACATGGAGGTTCTGGGCCCTATCGGCGAATTCCTGGCAGAGCCATTCGGACTGGTGAGTTGACTGGCTGCGTGGTTCTCCCTTGGCGTGTGGCAGGGCGGGGAAAGCACTGGTTCGTCGCCCTACTGCACTCTCTCCACAGCAACCCGCGTGTCGGCGGCGTTGCGGCGTCATTGGTAATTTCCCATTCCCCAGCAGGCTCCTGAAAGGTATTGGCTGGTTGGGGGGCGCTGAACGGAGATCTGGAGAGGGCAAATTTAAGCTTGATTGCAGCGGCTCTGCAATGTTTTGTGTGTATATCCACCCACGGAACTCAGTGCTGTCCCCTCCATTGCGTGCGTGGGAGGACAAACTCGGATAGCCCCCCCCAATTGAAAGGTTGAGGAAAGGTTGAGGAAAGGTTGGGCGGGAGGCTACCCGTGTATCTAATTTTACCTTGGGCACCACCACTCTGTAGCAGGCACACCTACCCAAGGAGCATCGCGAAACACACTCAATTTTCGGATAGTTCCTCTGTGTTCCTGGCCTTGCCTGCTAGCAAGCACTTATAGTTCGGTTCAACTAATTAACTATCTGTTGTTGGTAAGGGAGTAGATAACCCCGTTATTCCCAAACACCAGTTTACCATCCTTAGCTTGCAGCTTCAAGTCCTAGTTACTTATCAGCCAATCAAACGACCATACGAAGAGTCAACGAGTGCTGCCTGAGGCTGCCGAGGCTCAATCCCCGAAAACGAGCTTCGGGTGGAATTCTTTTTTACAGCCAATTTTTTTTTTTTTTTTTCTTTCTTTCTTTCGATAATTCCCAGAGGTTATTTTCCTCGAGAGCAAAACCGAATTAAACTACATTCGCAATAATCCAAAAACGTCGTGGCTACAACAAGCGACCGTGTAAAACTGCCTTACAAGGGACAGAAGTTTGAGAGCAAGAAAAAACCAGTTTTTTATCCCTACAACCTTTTGTTTGATACCGGGTGGGATCTGGCACTCTGGGCCCAATTATCACTGGGCATGCAGCGCCGATCAGCCCAGCATCATGCATAAAAGATGGAACAAAGTTTCCTGATCCCTGCGAGATAAGAAGAGCTCTGAAGCTACCAAGGCCTGCCACGAGCATAATGGCTCAACCTGGCCCTAGGCAGACGTCCGATGGGGGCTCTCCAGCTCTATCTGCAACTGTTACCAGAGCCACCATGGGGCTCAGGGTGAATTCTTTGAGACTAAACAGAGGGCGATGCGGCGAGTAAGGAGCAATTAACGGCTGAGAGAAAGAATGGTGGTCAGTCAGGAGCTTTAGATGTAACTACTGCGTAAGTGAGAGAGGGGGGGTGGAGTGGGGCAGGAAGTCCCCGAAGACTCTAGTAATTTAAAAGGGAATACGTTGCCTCTCACGCCCGGAGGCTCAGCTCTGGTTAAGCATCCAGTGTAGCCTAACTTCAAGGCCTCAAGGTCCCCAGAGACTTCGGGGTTTCAGGGCGGAGATATTTGTCGCCGGTATCAATCTTTCAACGATAGATTTCTAGCGCCTGTGAAAACCTCCCGGGCTTGTTTGACGCCTCTTACGTATGTGTCTGTTCTGACCAGTTATCTGACTTCTGTAGCACGGCAATTGGGATAACTAGATGCTGGGCATTAATCAGGCTTGTACGACCATACTGTCATTCTTGAATATTCCTCAGGACTAGGAGGAAGTCTTGGGAGGAATGTTGACAACAAAGTTTTCCCGGCTGTGGTACGCGAACTTCTGGTAAGATCGTTTTTCTCTCCCTGGCAGGGGCCGAATCAAATGAACGGAATTTGGCTTTTCTGCTCTGGATTCCAGCAATGAATTAGATGATGTTATGTGGTTATCCACTGCGATATAACTAGATAACTGGCCATCGATTACCTCACCTTCTGTAATTATGGACTGTTTTGATGCGATGTTAGTGACTTTGTGATCGCATAACATGCTCCCGGCCATGGCGACAAGTCTGCATCATCAGCATCATGCATGGCGTGATCTTAACACTTGATATTGAAACGGTCCAGGAGGAAGAAAATGTACGAGACATTGTCAGAGCAGTTGGGCGGCAACCCTTTTTTTTTTTTTTTTTTTTTTTTCGTTATATCCTCAACTAAAACCTGTAACAGCGGTTCCGTGGATCTCTTCTCTCCCCAACCCCACAAATAAAAATAGACATCGTTGTAAATAAGATGTAGTTACGCATAGTGGGGGAAAAAAAAAATTAAGGAAAATTTTTTTTGTTGGGAGTGGCGAGTGTGGACGGGAGTCGCAGAAGCTTCAACACACCACCCAACAGGCGCAGCAAGCAGCCCACCAACCATCAACCACACGTTGGTTTTAGCTGGGCAAGTAAGTGTAAGAGACATGGAACTGGGATGTTGAGACCGCCCCAGCAAAAGCCTTCATCGCAGCAAGTGCTGATTCGCCCGTGATGACAAGTTTGGCCGTTTTTTTTTCTTATCAACTCTATCATCACATTGTTGCAGCGGCCGAGATGCTTGGGAAGAAGATTGATATAACATGTACCAAGTTGCACACCGCATTGCTTCCATTGATTTTCTTATCCGGTTTTGTTTTGTTTTGTTTTTTTATTCTTTGCCCCCTCTTGCATAACTAATCGCCGGAGGTATTCCTATTGGGTTCTGGGTGCTATCGTTACTAAATAATATTATTGTCGGAGGATAAGCTTCCCGAGAGCTGACAAGCCAGTGGTTCAAGATGGAGTCGAGATAATTTTACTCTCGTCAAGATCAGACCCATACATACATACATACATACATACATACATACATACATATATATATTCAGTATCCACAGCCCTCATTCCCACCAGGTGGCCGCGCTCAATTCTTCCCCAGAGCTGACCGGGCGCTTCCGTGTTTGTATGCACTGTATAGAATACAACACTCCAGCTGGTCCCCACTGTGCGATTAGCGTCAAACATGGCCAGAGCCCAGAATGCTCAAGAGGATAGATCTATCTAAACTTGGAAGCGTTTCTCCAGCTAGGGCTCCATGGTGCAAGCGTTCATTCGTGTCTGGTCAGAACAACTTATGCAGGCTTGCGCAGAAGCCATTGGAGTAAAATTCGCGTTAGCCTGTAACTAAGCTGTTGCAGGGAATCTCGAAGTCAGAGGTTTCAAAACGCAGAGGGTTGAAAGGGTTTTTGATAACTATTCTCCTCCAGCGTGATACTAGACTCATTGCCTTTGGTTTCATTCATTTTTGGTTTCTTTTCTTCTTTTCTTATATATTGTGGAGAAATACCATAGGAAAAGTTAAAAAATAACGGTCGTAAAAAACAAAGAAATAAATGCAAAAGAAAAAAAAAAAAGAAGAGAGAGCGCCAAAAAAAGCAATTATTTAACTTAAATATACCAAGGCGTTGTTTCTTGTCGAAGATGTCGGTCAAGTCAGGTTGTGGCCAATGAAAGTCGCACCGCGGATTTGCTCTGGCTCTTGATTTGACAGGATGGCGAAGAGAGAAACCTACTTACTACTTTTTCTGTACCTACACCCGTAGTTTGCTTCCAATGTCAAGGCAGTAGTAGGTAAATCGTTGCGTGCGTTTGGTTTAGATTGATTGACAGGTGGGGGGAGGGGGGAGGATACGAGAGAGCCATTCGAAGAAAGGAGAAGTAGTTCATTCCAGAGGGAGTTCGGCTAGCTTCAACCTACTTAGAAACCTATCTATGGCTTAACCCTGCTACGTGCGATAAGCTATGCGAAATAGAATGCAAAAGTTGACTCGGACCGAAACAGATTGTCGCTCAGAGATTTAGTTGACTCACTTATCTGATGGCTGTTGGGGGGGCTTATCGTACAGTTAGTAACGTGTATATATAGAGTTATACAACTTTACGATATTCGTAGAACTACATACATACATACATACATACATACATACATACATACATATCTTGGAAGTTATCGCCATACCTCCTGAACATGAACAACAGAGAGAGAGAGGACAACACCCGCAAATCCCTGAGCAGCTCCCCTCTCCAAGGCATTATAAAGTTGGCAGCCCTAGCAGGGAAGTCGTCGTTGGTCCTTGGGCTGGCCGTTCCACTGGTCAACAAAGAGCCAGTCCGTTCGTCTATCACAGGCGCTGGGGGAACTTGAGGCATTGACGCCGGAGGTACTAGACCCGGCTTCCCTGGCTGTTCCCGCCACCACCAGAAAACCCAGCTCGCCCTGCCCTGCCCTGCCCTGCCCTTGCACTGACTCAACCTTCCTTCTCAAGTCACTCTTCTGCTTGCTCTCTCTTTTCCTTCCCACTTCATCCATTGCCTCTTTTTTTCCTTTTTTTCCTTTTTTTTTTTTTTTTTTTTTTTTTTGTTGTGCTCTCCCCGTCCTCTCCCGCCCTCAATTGCTTTTCTCTCTATCCCCTTCTTGTATCGCGTCGTTGTGTTGCGCTTGTTTGATTTGTTGCATTTGTCTTAACTCTCACCCTTGCCCAGGCCTCCTTTGAAGTTCCTTCTCCCTAGCCCATTGAATCTCTTCGTTGTTCGTTGTGTTTTGTTCTCGGTTTCTCAGGTTCTACATATCGCCCTCCGCCCTCCTCTGTTCTCTCCTCCTCCATTTCGTGTCTTCGAGCAATTGAAGTGAGCCGGATTGTCCGGATATATACAAAAGGTAAAGAAAAAAAATATCTAGCACTCTCTCTTCTCCTCGTCGTTGAGCTTTTTCTTCTTCTGGTTCCCAGACGCATCCGGCGCTATCTTCTCCCCGATACCCTCTCGATATTTTTTCTTAACATATTCCCCACTCGGTCTCTGCATCCCAAGAGCATTATCCTGTCCACGTATAGGGTCTAGATTGCCGGCCCAGCTGGAAGGGAATCCCTTCTTCATCCTGTCCCGCTTCGTTTTCTGTGTGCTTGGGGTTCAATCGCCCGGGGAACGCCGCCATGCAGTCTCATCCCCCCCCCCCGCCCCCCCCCGCCCCCCTCGTTGTCTGGAAAGCCATCCATTCCTTGGCCTGAGCCCCCAGCTACTTAAATCCCTATTAAGATGGATTGGGCGGGAGTTGCAGAGAAATCTTAATTCTCCCTTCCTTTATGCTGTCCTATTCTGTATAAGCAGGACATCTATATCATACCCTTGCATGTTGGATCTTTTGACGGACAGCACTCTCCACAACTGTCCATGTCTCATAACCCTTCCCTGAATCAAGACAATTCACTCCCAAGTTTGAGTATCATAGATCCTACTTCGACTGCTGTCACCGCCCTCTTCTCCTCCTGCTCCGGTTCTTGATTGGCGTCTTTGTTGTCTCTCTTTATTACTCTGCTCTTTCCCCTTTTTCCAAGTGGCTGACCTGGTCCCCTCCATCAAGATTTGTTTTTCCAGACCTGCCTGCTCCGTCCAAATTCTCCTATCCAGTCAGTGGCCTCATTGAAGACAAGCCTCTGCGTTGGATGCTTTGGATAGAATCAGGAGTGTCTCTGTACCCCCCTGTGACGCAATAAGTCGGCCGGATGCCGTACACTGCGCCGGCTCCGTTGTTAACTGCTCAGCTCCATCCCCATCTAGCTTCTGCTGGTCCCTTAGCCACTACACGTCGCCATGGACGACAGAATTCTGAGCCAGCTATGAACTCTTCAGGAAGTCCTCCACCACTTCAGCGAGCCCATTCGTCAAGCTCTTATATTTATCGTCATCGACGAAGCCTTGTCGTTTCCCAAAACACATCAAGTTCTGGAGAGCTAGGGATAGAATCGAAAGACGGGAGGAGGAACAGCCCATCACCAACCAATACCCCTCACGCGGCACTATGGAAATCTCCTTCTGGTGCGATGATCCCGACCGGGGTAGTTATCTCACCTCCCGATTCGAAATCTAATTCGAGTGATGACGAAGAAACTACAACTCCAGGGTCGCAGAGGCTCATCTTGGCAGATTTTGAGGCAGCAATCATGTCCATTGATCAGATCTCCCTCCAAACTCCCACCAAGAAACGGGGGCCCGTCAAGCCTTCCCCAAAAATACAACGAACTCCCTCACCCCTAGATTTATCGTTGGCATTAGCTGCAGAGGTGAAAGGGCCCCGTGTTAAAGCTCATTTGGAAGAAGATGACTTAAGTATTCCCGGCCTCAACACACCTAATGGGGTTATCCATGCTCATTCATCAGAGATTGCTACCCACACCCCTGAAGACAGCGACCGTGGGGAAGATGAAATGGAACTTGCTCTGAAACCTTCAATGGTCCGAAAGAAGTCAGGAGAGTTGGTGAGGCCTGCCCTCCGGCCCAAGAGAAGGCCGTCTAGTGCACCAGGAACTCCAATGTTTTCAAAGGCAGTTCATTTCGACTCCCAGTTGGAACATATCCGCCATTTTCTCCAGGTCGACAAGCCTCTGGCCGTTAGTGCTGGTTCCTCTCCCATAGAGACCTATGACGGTGACAACGAATTTCCCTTTGGCAACAGTGATGATCGACCTTCTCAGCCAAACCTCTTTGAATGGGACGCTCGGATAGCTAATTTCCCAGTGGATCAGGAAGCGAGAAAACATATGCCCGTTCGACTGGAACGGATATTCTTATCGCCAGGTAACAAATGCCTGGTTGGTGTTGTTGCAGTGGCCAACATCTCCTTCCAGAAGCATGTTGTTGCAAGATTCACCTCCGACTACTGGAAAACGACCTCTGAGGTCATTGCAGAGTATAACAACGACGTTCGCCGGAAAGAAGCAAACGATGGATACGACAGATTCAATTTTAGCATCCATCTAGCGGATATGGGAAACCTTGAAACTAAACGAATGTTCATTTGCATACGTTATAACGTGAACGGCCTCGAATTCTGGGACAACAATAACACAATGAATTACCATGTGGATTTTTGCAAAAATCCCAAGCAGCGGAATAAGGGAACTCAAGCTGGAAACAGCCCAGGTCCTCGACCCACAAGCACATTACCCAGGAGCAGGCCCTCTGATCCTCTTGCCTCACGTTCACGATCAGTTCCCCCGTTTCCTGGAGACTTTGGCAAGTCTCCTCCCTCACCTGCATTACCAGACCGCCGCCTTGAACTAGAAAAGCCGCCCGCGAAACCACCACCTTGCAAGGATGACTGTTTCCTCGAAACACCAATCCGTCGAAGTTCAACTGCCTCTCAGACTTTTGGGAACCGGTATGACTTTGGAGCATCCCTGTCAGCTGCTATGCAGCCTGGCAGCGTCGACCAGACCCGTCGTGGTAAGCGTTCCGACCAGGCAGTGAAATATATGCCAGAGTCGACGTCAACCACCTCGATTACAAACAATGCACCTGCGGTGTCAAAACCTGAAGGAGGCAAGCCAGCGAGGCCTGATGAAAAATTCGAGCCTACCGCGGCAACCTCTCCAGGAGCTTCCTCAAAACTTAGTACATCTTCGCCTGGTCCAATGAAGCCTACCGATATTGTTTCGGGACAGCCTTATCATCAGTCGCCTATGTACAAGGAGCTCGTGGATAAGTACTGCTTCGTAGGTTTTCCCGAACCAGCTTAAAACACCACCGCCTTATTGCACACCACATTTTTACCCTTTTGTAAACTTAGAATTCGAACTGACATCTACGGAATCAATAAAGTATGGATCTTCCAAGACAGGTTCTCTGTCTACCACTCATTTCTCACGACGCCACCACCACCAAAGCGCGACTCGGAACGCAACGACCCCAGGAAACAATGATTGTGTCTCGAGCTATTCCACCATCACTCCTTCATCGAAAGATAAACCATTATCTGCCGATTATAAACCGTCGACAGCGACAGCAACAGCAACAACGACAACAAATCCAGACAACAACAACCGATCAACAACCAAGCATACTTCTCTCATTCGATCCCAGGGGGGTGCCGGTCTCACTACTACTAGCCCATCGTCTTCCCCACCCTCAAATTACTCTACCCACCCGCCGTATCATCACCAGTCTATGCAGAAGACATTTTTCTCTGAATCTCTTACCCTGACTTTTATTTGAGGGTAGATATGATGCAATAATAAAGTTCTACTTAACATTCCTCTCTGGGTTGTCGCCCGATTTATAACGGCAACACCAATGAACCCTCCTGGGCGAAGTGAAAAATGGGGCTATTTCTTTTTCTTTTTTCTTTAAACCATTTCCTTGTTTTTCCTTTTGCGTTGTGTGTCTGACACCCTTTTTTTCTTTTCTTTTTTCTTTCTTTCTTTCTTTCTTCCTTTTTTGCTGAACTGTTTTTGACGAATTATGACACCAGGTACTGTGACTAATGGGTGGAAAGCGTGGAATTCTGAAAATTATTCGGAAACAGCCTGGGGCAGGCAGATATATATGGAGAGGAACTTGTGTGTGTGTGTGTGTTTTTTTTTTTTTTTTTTGTTCTCTGTTTTTGAACTGTTTGATTTGCATGGGCCTTGAAATTGATGACAGGGTGAGTAAGGGATGCTAATGTTTATTTCTTTTCCTTCACATCGTCCTTTCACTGCTGCGGTTTGCACGGTTCTATGATGACACTTTGTTTTTCTTGCTTTTTCCATCTATTTGATTTGAGCAGAGTGATGACTGTTTTTGGAGCCTTGCTTTGGTTTTTTCACTCTTTTTCTGTGACGATTTTGCGTCACTTGGAAGGGCATATTCTTGCTTTATTGTTTTGTGATTTATCTTTTTTCCATCTTTCTTTTCTCTTTTTTTTTCCCTCTTTTCTCTCTCTCTCTCTCTCTTCATGAACAGTTGATTTGCATTTGGGTCTGGCGTTTTCTGATGGTTCTTAATTTCCCATTTTCTCCAGTTTTAATTCCGTTTCTCCACTTTTCCATTTCTTTTCCAAGTTCAGGCGTTGGGTTGGCAAAAGTGCTCTCTTCTTTCTCTTTTTTCCCACCCCTCTCTTCTTCTACTTCCTCTTGTTTTCTTCCAAATTGATTAACTATGGATATTTTTAGCACGTTGTCTCTCCTCCGTTCGTTTTGTTCTATATAACTTATATATATATATATATATATATATATACATAAATCGTTGATGATTGATGGCTATTATGCAGCGTATAAACGTGTTTCCTGTACAAGAAACTGTTTGCCTTTCAGTTTAAATACGACTAGCATGTTGTTTTTGTTAACTTTTTACAAAAGCTCTTGCAATACCCTTGCTTCTTCAGCATTGATAGTGCTAGAGACTGTTCGTCTGAAGTCTTGTCCGCTGTGAGACGCTGGAAACTGGTTGGGAGTATAAGTGGCAGATCTTAACAGTGCGGGAATTTTGCATTATGTTGATGATACATGCTGCGCTTTTCGGGAGGGGCAATGTGGTGACAATGAGTTATGAAATTAAATCCTCTCTATTATGATTAATTTTGGAGTGTAGATATTGGAAAACTCCTTTTTGTGCTTCAAGCTTGTAGCTTACAAACTAGTTATTGAACAAATGAGAAGCTTATATCTGAAGATCAAAAGGTAAATCACGTGACACAAAGGCGGTCGACCCGCGCCAAGAGCCCGTCTCGCAAGGGCCGAAGAACGCAAAAACCAAAAACCAAAACGACGCTAGCACCCAACGCAACGCGGGCAGAAAAAGAGAACGCCTGGAAAGCAGCATGTTCATAAGGAACAATCAACGCAGCCCTTTTTGCGGGCGGAAAACTGCTCGCTTTTTCCCTTCCCTCGCCCCAATTCGGCTTAGTCACACTTCCTGCTTAACCTTCTCTGCGGCTTTTCATACAAGACATTTATCGGCTACATGGTAGTTTTTCATTCACCCTACTAACTTTCAGACTATTTAAACTTGCCTCTCTTCCCCCTTCCTTTTACTCCTCCCTTCTCTTCTCTCAGTTTCCTCACTCTCAGCACCAAAACGCGTCTATCCTCACCACATTCTTTTTTTTTCACCTTTTGCATCAAAAATAACCCACCACAGTACTTTTTCATCTCGATAAATATGACTGGACGTAAGTAAATCCATCTGCCTTTTAGTTAGATATATTTTTTTCTTCTTTTTCTTTTTCTTTTCTCTTTTTGGAGTCGCGTCGTTGCCATCGTTATCGTCGTCATCGTCGTGGTTTAGATGTTGTTCCTGGGCTTTCCCAGCTATTTGGCATCGGTCCCTACACGCTAGTCCTAATCGGGTTATACACCACGCCGCCTTTGGGGAGCCATGTGCGTTACATGATATCGTCGTTCCTTATACAAATTCACTGCGTGGTGATTAAAAGATAGTCATTGCTGTCTTGGATACATACCTGGGCTTTAGCAATTCAACACTCACAATGACGATGGCGATGGACAACACCCATTTCCATATCCCATCTTAATGAGCTAGCTCTGTCTGGTCAATACCAAAACATCAAACTAACATACTCTCCAACACCCAACAGGCGGCAAAGGCGGCAAGGGTCTCGGAAAGGGTGGTGCAAAGCGCCACCGCAAGATCCTTCGCGATAACATCCAGGGCATCACCAAGCCTGCCATCCGTCGTCTGGCCCGTCGTGGCGGTGTCAAGCGTATATCTGCCAGTACGTTGTTACCTTTTTACCTTCCCGTTGCTTTCGTCCCCTTCGCCCACCCACCCATCCTCCGGGGGGAGGGGGTTGTTGTCGTCGAAGAGCTAGAAGCTAACCCACCACTCCCAAAACAGTGATCTATGAAGAAACCCGCGGCGTCTTGAAATCCTTCCTCGAATCCGTCATTCGCGACGCAGTCACGTACACCGAGCACGCGAAGAGGAAGACTGTCACGTCTCTCGATGTCGTCTATGCGCTGAAGAGACAGGGTCGTACCCTGTACGGATTTGGTGGATAGATATTTTTTTTTAATTTTTTTTTTTTTTGCTTTCCTCTTTGCTTTGTTTCTTGGTTTTCTGTTTAGATACGGAATTTTGTTATGTTTGTTGGGCACTGTTTTTCCGTCGCCATTACGGATCGGTACCACATATCACGAAGAAGATCGGTCGACTATGTTTTCCAAAGTTTCTTCTTGTCTTTTGGGGGTGTAGTTTAATTTACCTGAGGCGTCTGTTGAGTCGGCTTGTTTGCTTCTAAAGGTAATAATTGGCGCTGGATAACGTATGGATGCCGGGGGTGTCTTATCTCCGCGATCGGATGAACGTGAATTTGGAGGGATGTTTCCTATGACATTATGGTCCTTTTTTTCTTTCTTTTTTTAATATAGCTATGCGCTTGCGGGATGGGAATGAAAATTTGGGCTTCATATAGCTATGGTATTTCATATATATATCCTTTCTCTCCCTTATTTCAAAAACCAGGAGAAATGGGATTGCTTGCGGCATCATAATGTGCATGCCTGCGTAGTCGACTAGGCTCCCTCCTGCAGCTGCAAGGCATTGAATGGTCCAACTACTTAGATTTCTCGCAGAATCAATCTGGATCTTTTTGCTTCTCACAATTGTGTGCCCGTATAGTTTTAGTCTGTGGAGAATTCTCTTTTTTAACCGTGGTATGTTGAAGGTGTGCGTCATGACTATGCACACCTAGCATTCACTCTCAAAATTAACAGCGGGCTGAAGAGAATGTTACCCCAACTTTCCCGCATAATTAAAGAACGACAATAACCTCATTCACCAGCTCGTAGCTCCCATCACTACTTCCAGTTCTTCATAAGACTAAAAAGTGGGATGGGATCCACAGAGTTACTCCCTGTGGAATTGGGGCTAATGGAAAAATGCGGGGAAGGCAAAACTTTTGCCGGAACGACGTCATTGGTTCGTCTCGGACAGCGCCAACCCACACCAGCCAAATCCACGAGTCCAATAACGCTCTATATAACTGCCGGAAAACTTGGACGGGAACTTCTTAAACACGCCCGCAAAAGCCATTTGATGTTGTTGACTACGAGAATTTCTTGTCGTTGAGTTTGCAATTTCGTTTAGTCCAGGACTCCGTCCCTTATCCTGTTTCATAGCTATTTTAAACGAGCGCTAGCCTCCTGTTTCCCTCCCAACTCCAAGTTTGTGTCCATTAGGGAGAACGAGCCTGGGGATATATAACTAACTAATGTATCAATAGCCATCTCATTTTGCAAATTGGAATAGCAGGTCAACCGCCATTATCAATTGCGTATCCCACCTTCAACGAACTCATTAACCCCCTAAACGCACCATGCCCATCGATCCGGACGTCCCGTACGACGCTGTTATCGTAGGCTCCCCCTCCCCTCCCGCCCCCTCCTTTACCTCCAATCTTAAAAATCACAGTATTAATTACTATCACACGATATAAACGCAACAAAGTCTAACATCCATCTTTCAAAAATCAATAGGAAAGCTTCGAACTCTACCACATCTACCACTCCCCCAGCCGCGATGGCCTTGAACTACAGTACGACACAGGCGGTGCAGACTGGAATGCCGCTGTCCTGAAGGGGCCTGCGTTGCCGTCACTTGGCCAGGCTACGGCTGGTGCAGTGGGAGCTGCGGTGCCTACTATCGTGATGTATCCGCTTAGTTTGATTGTTACACGGTTGCAGTTGCAGAGGCAGTTGAGAGCGGAGAGGGAGAGGAGCAGGGGGGGAAAGGAGAGGGAGAGGTGGAAAGGCGGGGAGATTGTTGACGAGTCTGATAGGACCGGTGATGGTGGTGATGAGCAGTATGCAGGCATCTTGGATGGTGCGAACAAGATATATAAGAATGAAGGAGGGTGGAGTGGATTGTACACGGGAGTGACAGAGGCGACTGGGAAGGCTGTCGTGGAATCTTTTGTGTTTTTCTTGTCGTATTCGTTTCTGCGGCGGAGGCGGTTGCGTGCACGAGGATTGAAGGCGCATGCACTCCTCCCGGTCTTGGATGAACTGGCTGTCGGCTATTTGGCGGAGGGGTTCATGAAGTTGATCACGGCTCCGATTTCGACTGTGTTGACACAGAAGCAGGTTGAAGGGTTATCAAAGAAGAAACAACACCCATCTACGACGAGAGACATCGTTTCAACCATCATTGCCAAAAAGGGCATCAAGGGTCTCTGGTCTGGCTGCTCGGCGTCCCTCTTCCTCTCGCTGAACCCATCCATCACCTTCCTTCTCAGCGAGGTTTTGAAATTCTCACTCCTCCCCCGGGAAAAAAGGAAACATCCACCCGCAGCGGCGATATTCATCTTCGCAGTCCTTAGCAAGGCATTTGCCTCCTCACTAACCTATCCGTTTTCCATGGCAAAGACACGTGCACAGGCCGCCGCTACCTCTACCCCTGCCTCCACAGCACCAGCACAACCACCCTCACCACAACCTACAGTCCTCCACACCATCTACTCCATCGCCCGCACCGAGGGCCCCACCGCCCTCTACGCAGGACTAACCGGCGATGTCCTGCGCCGCTTTTTCAGCCACGGCATCGCCATGCTCGCCAAGGACAGCGTGTACGCGCTCATCGTGCGCTGCTACTATATGCTCCTGGTGCTGCTACGGCGGTATCCATCACCGGAGGAGTTGCTTGCCAGAGCCAAGGAGCGGGCGGGGGAGCTTGCGGAGTCGACGGGTGAGACGGTGGGGGAGTTGGCGAGGAGTGTCAAGGAGAGGGCTGGGGAGGGGGTGGCGGAGGTTAAGAGGAAGGTTGTGGAGGAAGTGTATTCGAGTGAGGTGGCGGAGATGGTGGGGGAGTATGTGGAGGATGAGGCGGAGGAGTGGAGGACTTTGTATAGGTGGTTTTGGGATAAGGGGAAGTCGTCGTAGGTGGGTGAGTGATTGGGGATCGAGTGGAGGGCAGTAAGAGGTGGTGGAAGGGGTGGATGAATTGTCATTGGTGATGGGATGGGATATAATGTGCCATGGTTATAGTTTGGGGATACTGATGTGCAGAAATGTTTGACATCTGAGCTTTTCTGGGCAATGGAGTATGCGCTCTAAGCTGCTATGCTATGTACCATTTTACTGTGAATATTTGAATCCAATCTCCAGCAAACTATCACAAGAGATGGTAGAGGAGGGTAGAGAAGGCACTCTATTTAGTTAGCACACAGCAATACTCCATACCCCATATCCCATCCTCCATCTTCCGGGCATATCTCCGGACTCCGCTCTGTATATAGAATGTATGGAATCCGGGGTAAACGTTTGACATTGCTAATGACACACGTGACTTGGCGGTTCTTCCCCCACAGGTTAGTCAGCACGCGTTTAACTGTCAACTCCAACTCCCAGCTTGCCGCATTCACCTTCACCTTCATCTGATGTCTTGTACACTCTCTCTCAAGTTCTTCTCACTCCCTTTCGCCCCGTCAGGCTGGTCCTGGCGCTCTTATAAAACATTCCTTCAATTTTCCTTAGAACTGCGCAAAAATAAGTTTCTCGTGAAACCCCTTGTCCGATGATGTCTGCTCTCCTCAACCGTGCTATTTGATGGATTAGTCCCTCATACTCCCTTACTGCTGATATACGCGCCCTCATATTTCGGCCCTTCAACCTCTTTTATAATTCAATACAGAGGCCAATAACCTCTTCCTCCCGCTTCAGCGGCTACACTACAAGACTGAGCGAATATTACCATTCCTTCCCAATCTCATACGCACACCCCTTGTATCTCGGGCCGATCCCATCCAGCGCAATCATCAATATCTACCATGTCTCTCCTCCAAAACGAAGAGTATGCCCATCAAATAAATCTATATTTTAGCATTCCAACCTTCCCCATCCCACCCAATGATCACTTATCAAATAAACTAATTTTTGCCCCCTCTCCCTCCCCCTCCCCCGCACAGCTTCATCATCTGGCAACTCCGCACTTCCTACCTCTCCGCAATCAAAGACGGAGTCGGAGACCGCCTGATAACCGTAAACTCCTCCATTCTTAACACCCCTGGCTTTCGCGCGGCAGGCTGGTCATCCATCGCAGGGGCCCATGCCGCTCACATCAAACGCACGTATTCCCCTCCGATCCCCACCACTACGGCCGTTGCTTCAGAATACTTCCAATTAAATACGCGACGTGGTAGGGACCTCGTCGATATAAATGGTGGCAGTGATGGGCCCTATGATTCTGCGCCGGTGGGTCTTGGGTTTGGGATTGTGGATCATGGGGGTGAAGAAGGTGGGATGGTGCCTGGGGCGAAGGAGGGGATGAATGCGATTGGTAATCGGCAGATTAAGAGGGGCGTGGGGAGGAAGCCGCGAAGGAAGGAAAGGCAGGACGAGCAGCGGGCGCAAGTGGAGGATGAGGATAGCAGTGATCTGAGTGATGAGAGTGATGAGGAGGCGGATGATGTTCAAAGGTATGCAGAGCTTTAATTTTTTCACATGAATATGGTATGTATATATAAATACCCGGCTAACCATTCGCAGGGTGATTCAGCAGATTAAGTTTACGAAGATGCCAGTGCGACGAATGCGTGCTGGTTCATCCCCAATCCGAAGTCTGGATCGTCGCCACAATCCTGACGTTTTTGTCACGTCTCCTTCACTCAAGTCAGCCAACAATCGGTACCGGCGGGGCTCTCTTGGAGCTGTTGAAGCGGTAAAAGCTCGAGCACGTAGAGATACTACTACTAGCAGCGATATGTCATCAGACAATGAGGTGGACGGGACGGCTGTGGAGAGGCGCCAGATCCATTTTTCGACGCACGAGGATGCGATCGAACCAAAGGACGATCCACCGAGTGAAAAGATTGATGAAGATGAGATGGAAGCAGGAAGCATCGGGGACGCAGTCAACGAGCCCGATGACGGTTCGGTTGCTGAATCTGATGGATCTGTGCTTTCTTCTGAGTTCGGGGGCTCTGCGGGTTCGGGATCGTTGCTGGATCGCGTAGGAGCATTGGATTCATCATCGCCCATGGTACTCAATAAACTTCCCATGACGCTTGAGTCGCAGGACACTTCGTTAAGGAAACACAAACGAACTACCTCCCCTGAACTAAATATACTTCCCCCGCCTCGCCCCATCAGCACAGTGGAGCCCATTATCAGTCTTTTGTCTACTGCTCTCCGAGCACGAAAGAAGTCGCCAGTGAATCCTCTGGAAAAATATGCGGTGTTATCTGGCAGAGGATCTACCACAACACCATTATACATTAAAATCTGCATTCCGTCATCCGCAGACCCGCATGAATTGTTGGATATGCCTATTGTGCGGCAATCGAAGGATACACTTTACCCTGGTCCGGTTACGGTAGCAGAAACTATTGGACTCGGTTTATGGATGTATATGGAGGAAGGCCGAAAACCACCTCTTGAAGGAGAAATGCGCAATGTTAACCGGTGGAATCTCCGTATGATGGAAGATGGTGAGGTTGATTATGATTTCCCATGCCTGGCGAGATGTAGGCCGATCATAGACTTCACTTCTAACAACAATCGCGCCCCCGCCGCCCGTGGGCGGTCGAGAAGCAAACCGTATGATGAATTTGCACTTGTTGAGGCAACGCCAACCGAATTTGCTGAGAATGAGAAGCTGTATCCCACTCCCAGTGCGGATGCTTTTGATGAGTCGGAAATCACCCAGCAGATAATACAAGCGAACCAAAACAATGCCAAAAACAGGTCGTTACACACGGGCAGAGTCAATCCGATCCTAGGCCAGCCATTTTCATCTGCGTTGAACGATAGTACGCTGACACCTGCCGACCGTCCTGTCGTGACTACATCACAAGCCACGCCACGACTGGGCGTCACAAAGACACTGAAAATAAGATACGCCGACCTCGATGCAACGCAGACCACTTCAATGAACACATCTACAGACTGCTACATCGCAGAGATCCTGGACTCCGTCTGCAAAAAATGGGGCCTAGATAAGGGCCACTTTCTCCTCAAAGTCATGGGCATCAACACTATCGCGCCCCTTGATCGTACCGTTGAGGCACTCGGGAACATCACAGAGCTGGACCTCGTCCGTCGGCGATTTGGTGCAGGCCCCCTTTCCATCACTGGGTCCCCAGTCAGCTCATCCCCCAACGCACCGCTAATGGTCGCCAATGCGTCCCACGGACCCAGCATGAAGAAAGCGAAAAAGGGTGTTGTAGGTGGCATAACCGGCAGCGGAGTTGGCGGCAGTGGTCGCATGCTACACCCGCTGACGCAATCTCTGGATCTTTTGGGAGGTTACTACCGGCGCTACAACGTAATCCGCAAGCAGTCGATGTCATTTACGGCAACGAACCAGCGCGTGCTGGCGTTCGATACGGACTATATGCACATAATGCCTGCTGAGACGGGGAAGACGCTGTTCGAGTCGAATAGCAAGACGACGTCGATATCATTTAATGATGTTGTTGGGTCGAAGGTTAGCAGGCGGCATCCGAAGAGTTTTCGGGTTGTGGTGTTGAGGGGGAATGAGGCGAGTGAGCAGAAGAGATATGATTTTGAGGCGAAGAGTGCGGCGGAGGCAGCGGAGATTGTTGAGGAGATTAAGAAGAATATGTTGCAGTATCATGTGTGAGTGGTAGGGTGGTGATGGCGGTTATATGAGTATGGAATTGGTTTGCAAGTGGAGAATTTTCCTTGTTTATTTCTTCCTCTCTTCCCTTACCTTCATCTTGTCTTGTGTTTGTTTTATTGCTGGGCGCTCGTGCGTGTGTATGGATCAGGATTTGTAATAGGTTCATTCGGGCTCGGTTTTGGGTGGATTAGCTAGGATGATGCTTTTGTGTTTTTTTTATTTTTTTTTTATATCTTTCTGTTACAGCGAGTCTTTGCCTATCATGTTCCTTATCGTTTCTTGTTCTGAAAGTACGTACGTACGTCCACAGATACTGGTAGCATAGCAAAGATCAAAGCAAGGATATTTCAGTGGCTTTTTGCGCTGATACCTTTGTCTCAATTTGAGAAAAGTCTTAGATTAACCCTTTTTATAGCAATCTGAGACATGAAGATGTATGATTTGAGATTCCTAGCATATCACTGATTAGATATTAGCAACTAACCTGTAACTGATATTGGTTTTCAGATGGATTTTTTCATATGAACTATACTATCAGAGATTCGTGGTTATCAAGATTGTATTATTGTGAATACCGCATAGATTTTTCTTTTGTTCAGTTAACAACAACTTCACTTTCTCATTCTCAAAGTAATGTAATTCACTTCTCAAGAAGCTATTATTATTTTTTAACTCTTCAACTCTTCAACTTCTCAACTTCATCAATATATAATATGATCAGTGAAAACAATATATAAATAGCAATTTACATTATACTATTACTTGATTAATAATTTTTATATAATTAGTATAATTTACCACTAAGTAAATATTATTTTTAAGTAAGTATTTAAATTAAAATATTTTAATTATATATATTTCAACTAATAATATTTATATTCATTAATAATAAAATATATTAAGTATTATTTGAATTAAAATACTTACTTTTTATATATTTAAAAAGAATTGTAATTGTTAATTAAACTTTACAAACTTTATAAATATAAATTTAGAAGTTAAAAAGTTAAAAAGTTAAACAATTAATCTATTAAATAATTTTATAAATAAGATAATAATAATAATAATAATAATAATAATAATAATAATAATATAAAATTTTTATTTATATAATATTATTAATATTTTTGTAGTAAAATTACAGCTAAATATCTATAATATAATTTTTTCAATGTAAAAAAAAACTATTTTTATCTTTAAAATATAAAAAGATATTAATTTATATTATATATCAAAAGTCTAATGATTAAAAATATATTATTCAGTTTTTAAATATATTTTATATATATTATCAAATATATAAATTTTAGTTGAATGAAATCTATTAGTGAAAATCAAAAATCTATATTTATATATATTTTTAAGCTGATAGATATATTGATATTATAATACTTATTAAACAAGTTTGTATTTCTTTGAGTTCTAATAAAGCAAATATAACACTTAACTAGTGAATTAATGTAAGAGATAACATGACTACATAATATAATATTAAATATAAGCTTCATTACAGCAGACTCTCTGTCAATTAGAGCAGATAATAAGGGTTTGATTGATCTAATCATTGTGGCAGTAATCACAGCATATAGCAAGCATATTAACAACACATTTCCACTCTTCTTGTATGCAGTTGAATGAAGGAGTGATTCCAATTAATTACATTTTCACAAAGAACATGGCAGCAGACAGTCTTACGAAATCTTTGAGCACAGTGGCATTTGATCATTTTATCAACTTACCAGGGCTTTCATACAAAGAATAGCTAAGACTAGCAAAACCTTGTATGTCATATGTTTTGGTTGGACGCTGGTATAGAATAGCATGCTTTTAATACATATTATCTCGCGCATTGCTGTGTGGGGGTGTTGGGCGTACATTGCCCGGGCAGCCACCCCGCCACACGTGTAACTAGTCTAGCTAGCTTTCATCCGAAATAAAAGATTGAACCATCCCACAGCTTGGGATTTCAGAGTCTGCGAATAATTTGTTAGCCGGCGGAGACCGTTGTGACGCTCCGCCTGCTGCACGTGATCTAGATAGCCCAACATATAACGTAGCTAGCCTGATCACCGAACGAAGAATACGCATGCACGCGATATTCGTCATCATAATTAATACATAGAGAGGAACAATCAGATGCCAGCCTCAGCTGGAAGAATTATTTTCATCATTATATTCCCTGTATTTATCTATCACATACGGTGTCTCTCATGATATGAAAAAGCTCTGAGGTAGCCGGTTGCAATTATTTGTATTTGGTTTTGGGTTTTGGGTTTTTTTTTTGGTAAATGTAGATGTAGTTTTATTGTACAGACATGAGAGCAAAGGCAGACATAAACCTCAGATGAATATAAATCAACCTCAAAAATCTCAATCACCGGCTATTATTATGCATGAATTTCCTTCTATCTACCAAATCGGCAACCGACTCCGCCTGTTCGGATGCCTTCTTGCTCGAGCCAAAAAGGGCGAGCTTCTTCTCAATTGCGCTGTCCAATTCTGCTGTCGTCTCATCCATAAGTTTTGCAACACCTAATATTGATTTCAATTAGTTACTGAATAGCCATATATACATAAGGAAGACCTCTGAAAGTCTCTCACCTAATGGGCTGTGCTCCCAAACATTTGCCTTCATTCCCAGCCCGTGATATGCATGTTTTCGCAGAAAAGCCAGCCATGTCTGGACGACATCTGGGTGTCCATCCTTAATCTGAATTAGCCGACGGAGTGTCACCCTCTCAAAATTCTCCTGGGATTTCTTGTGAACAAAATTGCTTCTGAGCACGGTCCATCGCTCAGTGATCCGTGGAAGGGGAACAGGGCCAAAGGCCGGGAGATTCAGATAGTATGCAGCTCGGAGTGCAAAATCAGCGAAGAACTCGACATGCCGAACACTGTATGACCTGAGCTGGAGGTCACAGACAGGGAGACCATATTTTGCCGGTCGTCGCAAGGGTTTGAGATATACGGCTTGAACACTTCGTGGTAGTCGAAATTTGCTACCGAATTGATCTAATCTCTCTCCCCTATAATGGAGTAAGTAGAGCGAACTTGAGGTTGGGGGAAGGGTTGGGGGTTTCGGGGGTTTTACCATTCCTTGGGAGTGCTATCGAGAGGTGCGGAGGGGGTAGTACTGTTGCAATGCGAAGAAACAATTAGCAACTGATAGTTATGTTAGTAATTTGTGTAAAGTGAATCTCACTTTATTTCGCTGGAGCTGGTAGTCCTAGCTTCAGCTAATTTCTGTGTGCTTAGAGAACCATTTTCTTGAGACGGAGGATTCGAGGTTGTAAGAGAACGAACAGGACTTGATAGCTTCACGAGCTGTTAGAAATCGGGACCACAATTGAGAAAGACTCATGCCGCTTCATACCTTTAGCCGCTTAGTACTTCTCCAGGCCGGCCGCACGGAGTTTATTGAAAACATGTTGAGGACAAAAAGGATGCCCCTAGAGCTTGTATGATGGAATTGTTTTCCAACTCGACATCGAAAAATCACCGATTTTTGGATCAAATCAAGGAGATGAGTTTACGTAATCAATGATTATTAAGTTAACGCACTTCACGAGCGGCGGATTCCCTCTGAAAATCATCAAATATTCAACTCAACTATCTTCAACACATCATTTCTTTGTATTTTTTCTTCAAAATGTCTTTATCTCAAGAATGTCATATACGGTTGGCCATTGCTGTATATAAATTAAAAAAAAATTATAAAACAATGATTAGAGATGATACATGAAGCTATTCAAGAACATAAGATATATAATGATATCCGAAACTTTGTATAATCTTTGAAGTCATTACTGCAGCTGAGTGCAGTGAGAGATCACGTACAGTTATTCAAAAGAATCACAAATGAGTCACAATTATTGAATGTATAGAGTCAAGAGAGTGTTCTATTTCATCAATGATGATTCTAAAAGAAAAGAAACATCAAGCCTCTTGATATCAAGAATCAGCTCTTTCTCAGAGTTGAAGATTAGCTTTGAGTGCTAATGACTGGACCACTGTTGTAATTGGCCTACACTAGCTTAAAAAAGATGTTTGAATCATATTCTAAACACTATTCAGTGAGTATGAAGCAACTACTCATTCTTGATGATCATAGCAATCATCTGACTGCAGAATTTGATGATTTTGTAAAGATAGTTAATGCAATTATCTGTCTCTGCATGCCTGCTCATACATCTCATCTTCTTTAATCACTAGATGTTGGTGTTTTTGGACCATTAAAATGCACATAGGAAAAGCTGGTTGAAGAAATGATAATTGCAGAAAACAATCATTGATTAAGAGATGATTTTCTATCTCTTTATTCATCTACACATACGAAGGTCTTTTACTATGGTGGCTTTGCTGGAACAGCTTGATATGCAGATTGAAGCTCGGGTTGAAGCTCTATCTCACCAGTGAGCTCCACCATGCTGCAGTGGCTGTGGGACCATTGAACTTACTATACACAGTTACCCTAATAAATAGCTATATATTCAACTATTAGATAGTCTTAATTTATTAATATTTTCAATATCTATGTGTGTTTGTTATTGAACACATTGAGTATTTGATGATTCTTGAACAGAATCCGCCGTTCAGTGGTACTACGATATATAGTTAACTATGAAGTGCAAGTACAATGACTCCGGTAGTGGATGGGCACTCTCAGTTGATCCCCTGGCCAATAACTTGGAGATGATTGCCCCGTCCGTGGTTTGGCGACCGAAGAAAAGGGTAACTATTAAGAGCCCTCCAGCATTACATCCCGCATTCTCTGAACCTCTGGCAAGCCCCCATCCTGCATCCATTCGCAATCCACCACTTCCAACTTCTGCTTGATTCAGGAACTAACGTGAAATTCATCATGACACAAATCGCAATCCCCTCTGCAAAAAATGTATCAAACCTTCTCTTTTCGCGTGGATGCTGTATATGGTCCCTGAACCGTACATTCCAGCCCCTGGAGGTGTTACTGTACCATCAACGTAGAAATTCTTCTTTCACATTCTTGTTTCCATCTTCATTAAATCAATTACTTCGATCCTCCCATTTGCTCCACCACTGACTAGGGAGTCTATCAAGCAACTCAACATGGTCAATTGTAACTTCATCTAAATCATGAAAATAGGCGTCAAATGGCGGGCTGGATACGAAAATATTCCAGATTGTGTATGCAAGCGTCTATATATCTCCTGGAAAGGAGAGAGGCTCATCTTCCTAAGTCTTCAGGCTCTGCAAAGAAGGATTGCATCGGCGTAGGTACAAGAGGTGTATGGACAACAAAACGCTGGAGCACTTTGGGATCAAAAGCTTCTCCAAAATCTGCAATGATGATTCCAGAATCCCCCCGGGGGGGGGGGGGGGAAATCTCATCACTAGGGAGACCAATTCAGGTCGGAATGATAAGTTCTCAAGTAACCCCTAATTTAAGGGAAGCTCCATCTTCACGGACAACCCATTCTTTTGTTGGCTCACCTGTTCTAGCTCGCGGTTGCTCAGGAGTCATATTTTGCATACTACATGGCAAGCGGAAAAGAACATTTGAGAGATGAGGATCTGTAGCTTTATTAGATTGTAACTTGGTGGTGCATATGGGAAGTTCGTACATCAAACATACCACCATGAATTTTACATAATAATCTTTCCGAGAAGGTCAGATTTAACATCATCTAGCCACGAACGAAAGAATCGTCATCTCATGGGTTCGCTCTACAGATTCGAAGGTAGAGATCTGAAGAGTTACAAGGCGGCATTGCTTTCTATCTTCTGCCAGCCAGAGGTTGCGACAGACGCGGCAAACCCAGGTTCATAAGCGATAACATGTCGACCCGCATCGAGTTCATCAACCATTAACTAATAATCACGATAGGATGGTAGCCTCCAGGGACGTAATCTTCTGCGCGCTCAACAATCTTCCACGAAGTCGCACCTTCAATCCCACTGTACCCTGCTCCCTGCTCCCTGGAGGACCATGTCACAGTAAGAAACTAGTGAACAGAGTCCTAGAAATAATAGGGAAATGAGAGTTTTTAAAATTGGTTTTCTTTCATTCACCGAGATTTCCCGCAAAGTCATGTAGATGTAAGATTGAAGGCTAGAGAATCAAAACCGCCACACAGCATTAGTTATCTTCAAACAAGCTAACCTCAGAACAACAAATAGTCCAGCTTAGTGACTACATTTGCCAAAGCTTCCATAACTAACGTAATCCACCACCCAACGCCCGTTTACACCCAACGCCCGCCATTTCGCCATCACTATGATGAAATATTTTCAACGTTATTTCAACAACGCAATTAGATTTTAAGATGATATATTATAGGATGAAAATATATATAGGAAATTACATATAAAAATATATAGCTAATTCAGTAAACATTTGTTTGGCTTAATAACTCGCCCAAAACATGAAATCTTAGGTGGAGGCAGATTCAGCGAGCAAGCAGTCATTAAACCAGTAGAGATTGCAATATCATCATATCCCTCTGGCAGTGGATCCGTGGGCACCCTGGCAGGGCTCTGAAAACGCGATTTAGCCACTCTTTACGAAATCAAGGGTCTGCTTTCCCGATTAGTAAGATAATTTTTGAATTCTTCAATCATCTTCTTATTCAATCGTGATTGTAGCTGTACAGCAGCTCATTCTTCTTCCTTTTCTTTTTGCTCCTGAGCCTTTTTCTCATCTCTAAGCTCCTTGTCAATCTGCCGTTGAGCAGCTCTTGCGGCATTATCCATTTCCTTTTGCTGTTTTGTGGCCTGGCGAGCTGCCTCCCGCTCCATCCTCTGCTGAATGATATCTGCCTCCTTCTGTTCCTTAAGAATAGTGCGTTGCAGCTTTGCATCCTCCTTACAAGCTTGCTCATCCTTTTTGGCAACCTCTGAGGCCGCCAAATTCTCGCGGATGCTCTGCACCTTTGCCAGCGAGAAGAACTGCGCCAATGATGGATTCAAGGGATCTAGCAACCCCATTGCCCTGCCACGCTTGCGACATCTCCTCTCTTGATTAAGAGCTTTTTGAAGCTGCCGATTCTCTATTAAAAGAACCTCTTTATCAAGAGCAAGATTTTCCCCTGCACGGATCACCCGGTTGAGATCATTAGATATTTGATGCTGCTGTTGCTTGACTTGCTTCACCAATTTCCGCAGGCCAACAATAGAAGTAGGTGTTCTTGGTTGATATATTGCGTCGGGGGGGGTGCAAGGTCGTATTTGAAGCTTTTTAAGAATGTGTTCCGGATTGAATGGATGTAGGCCAGTAGCAGCAAATGCAGCTTCAATATTTGAAGATGTAACTGCCTCCTTCCACGCAGTGTCAAAAAGCTGCCAAAAAGACCTCTTTGTAGTGCGTATGAATCCCATTCCAGTTCTCATTTGTTCATTCAGTTGTTTGGAATATGATTTACCCAATGGTCCAAATATCCCAACATCTAGTGGCTGTAATCAGTGTGTAGAATGGGGAGGAAAGACAGCAAGTAGAATTCGATTCCAATCTGCGTAATTGATGAATTCCATATTAACATGGGATGAGTGGCCATCCAATATAAGAAGTCTATATCTGCGGCCTGCCTTCTTTTTTGTAAGAGGTTCAAAGATCTTCTTTAACCACGTTAACCCATATTCATCATTGCTCCACCCATTTTCTGAAGCAGCGAAGTAGGCCTGATCCTTTTCACTATCAAAATCTTCGAGCCAAGTATCTTGCATATCTCTTGATTCCCCTTGATATATGAGAGCAGGTGGGAGCGAAGTTTCATCTGCGCAAATTGAGGCAAGTAGTGTTATGAATTCTCGACTGCCATCCTGGCTGGCACCTATCATACAGCCCGATTTGAGCGAATTAATTGATGCAATACGTTTGAGGGTGTGAATGAATCCTAATAGGAATCCTTTCTCATCAAAGTTGTAGATATTCGCAGGTTCAAGGTTGTATTTCGTGATTTTTGCCTGCAGCTGAAAAATTAAGATAAATTAGCAAGATGAGAATTAAAAAAGCAGTATAAGAAAGAAATCTATTACAAGATCAAAATAATGCTTGAAGTATGCAGAATTGTCTGCAATCTTGTGTTTTTGATCAATATTTCACAGATAGAGTGACTTGATCACATCCTTGTGGCGCTCGCAGAACTGAGCCACCCAGTTGACTCCAATAGGTGCTTTTAGAATCTCAACAATGAGATTATGAAGGATTTGGGACGTACAAGGGAAACTGAGATCTGCCAATTGATTGATATGAAAAAGGAGCTGTTTTTCTTGCGAATCAGTGAGAGCTTTGCAGTGGATAGAGCTTGCTTCCTTTCTTGACATTTGAACGCCTCTATAACGCCTTGACAACGTATATCGGCTGATTCCATATTTTTTAGAGGTCTCAGTGTAATTAGGCGTTAATTGCGCGTTCAAATCATCAATCGCGGCTTGTATAACTGCTTCGTGGTGCATGTTGTGGGTGGTTAAAGATGAATGAAAAATGAAGATTTGAGCGGGCGTTGGGTGTAAACGAGCGTTGGGTGGTTGATTACGTTACCCATTCCAATTCAAATGTACTATCATATCTTTAATGCGAGTCTGGTAATTAGAGCGCTTGTTCTTCTCCATTTTCCTCAAGATGAAAACTTCCATGGTTCTCATACCCCATGTTGTGAATAAAATATGCACTGATTAACTATTTCAAGCTAAATAGGCCGTACCGGAATGACCGGAGTCAACCCCGCGACTGCTCTAGCAATGCCGTATCAATCCACGCCAAACAGTGGCTTGAGGAAGAGGATAAAACGCTGGTGAACACGATTCAACCAACAAATTATCAGAAGCGGGCGATATGAAAGACGGATGCAGGATTAGCCAGACTCTCAAAAGGCAAAGCGCTTTTTCATCTATGGGGGCATCCCACTCCGACAACAAGAGTAACTAGTTACCTTTTAAAACAGACCTCCGGGCTGTGTCAAGAAAACCACTTGCAGAGCACAAAAGATTTTACTTTTGCGCCAATCTCAGGATGGACTTGGCGCGCATTGGCAGGTAACTAACTACATCCCAAAAAAAACGGCGTCGTTGGCAATCAATCAAGCATGGTTAGTTAATTTGGGGAAAATGTTGAATGGGATCGTCACTGGGTTGAATCCAAAAACGATCTGCGTTATGTCATGCCTGAAGTCCCTGCATCACTTAAGGCGGGGGGGTGGGGATGACTCGATATGTAGTTATCGCATTTCCACAACATCAGATGGTCAGACTCGTCGGCAGTTATCTAATTATCATTTGAGTTGAGCGTGTGGGGTAGCAGCAGCAGGAGCCGTGGTTCGGTTTGACAAGTTAGCGGGTTCACCCGTGTGTCAAACTGCTCATTGACCGCCTTAATTAAACTATGTTGAACGGCGTACTCGGTGTGGGAATCCGCTCACAAGTCAAGGCGAAATAATTCAGAGATAGTTATGACAACAATGTTGAAATAAACGAAGAATTTTTAAGTCTCCGCGTGCATGCAGTCCCCTAACATGCCCGGTAGCCAATGAACAATCAAAACCATATGGATATCTGTGGTATTTTCATGGGCGATGTAACAATCCCCAGCCGGAATCAAATTAGATAACAATTGGGATAGATATGAGCTCAGGAGCTCCGGCATGGCCAAATAATAATAATAATAATAATAATAATAATAATAATAATAATAATAATAATAATAATAATAATAATAATAATAATAATAATAATAATAATAATAATAATAATAATAATAATAATAATAATAATAATAATAATAATAATAATAATAATAATAATAATAATAATAATAATAATAATAATAATAATAATAATAATAATAATAATAATAATAATAATAATAATTATTATTATTATTATTATTATTATAATTATAATAATTATAATAATTATAATAATTGTGTTTGAGATAGTGCTGAGGTAAGCAGAGTTTCCGCCTTAGAGATTGACTCCCGTCGAACTTCCAACACCCATTGATCATTCGTCTATCGACGGACATGGGGAAGGCTTAACAGTTTTTTGACGGAAGTCATTTGCTGTCTGTTTGGACAGGTTGACGGAAAACATTGGCGGCCTGCTTGAGCGGACTACTTCTCGCCACACCTTGTTTGCCCTGTCGCGCCGACCTTCACTTTTCAGTAGCACCAAGAGCTTAGGGCTTTCAACAGTTTTCTGTCAGCGGTTCTGTGGCGACGCATTAGGCCACGGAAGGGCCAGTGATTGATTTCTTCCGTTAAACGTCGCCACAATACCCCCCCCCCCCCGCTTCTCTATATGTTTAAATATACGGCCGGCAAATACTGCTCTTCAGTTAACCTCTCACTCTCTCATCTCCAGCTTTCATTACTTCTCTCTGTTGGTTTCATGTATGTCCAATAATGAACCGTTGCTTGTTGATAATTTGGACATGAAGTCCTCTACCCCACCAACCATTGGGCTCAAATCCAGCCTCTCTATCCGCTCGAAAGGGGCGCCACCACCTGAGGCTCAGCCAGAATGTCAACTCATGTGCCCTAGCATCATGGATCGCATTATCTCGTTATCGCCGGTGCCGACCATTGTGTTGAACTCCTCATTCGATATTTTGGAAGTCTCCTGCAGCCAAATAAATTTCTCTGGACTCGACCGAGATGACTATATTGGTGCCAACATATATAACCTCGACCCCGCCAAAATCCCCGTGACCAGCATAGAAGCCCTTCGAAACGGAATCGACAAAGCGATCAAGCTCAGAAGTGTTTGCAAAATTGATAGCATTGAGGTTGTCTCGCATTCTTATTACTGCAATCTACGAATTTCTCCCATATTCGAGAACGACTCCTCCCTCGTCTATATTATTCTCGAAAGCTGCGATATTACGAAGATACATAGGGAGGGCGATGTTGTTGATCCGTCACTCGATGCTCCGGACATCTACAAGCATCTGATTGACAGCGTGAAACACGTCGTGATATTCATGCTGACGCCCGAAGGGAATGTTGCTACCTGGAATGATGGAGCCTCCGCCCTCAAGGGGTATGCCGCTGAGGAGATTATCGGCCAGCATTTTTCGATATTTTATTCCCCAGAGGACCGCTTAAAGGACAAGCCACGCAAAGAACTTGCCAAGTGTTTACAGGATGGCAAACTGGAGGACGAGGGCTGGCGCGTTCGCAAAGACGGCACGAAATTTTTTGCCAATGTTGTGATCAGCCCTGTTTACCGCTTCCGAGTCCTAGTCGGCTTTAGCAAGGTTACGCGTGATATCACAGACAGGAAGGAAACTGAGGACCGTTTGGTGGCCGCTTACGAAGAATCTGCCAAACTCAAATCTCAATTTTTGGCGAATATGAGCCACGAGATCCGCACCCCAATGCACGGCATGCTAGCAGCGCTCACGTTGCTCAAAGACACCGGGCTAAACGATAAACAGGACGAATATGCCAAGATAATCGAGAACTCGGGATCCATTCTCTTGCGTGTTATTAATGACATTCTCGACTACTCCAAACTTTCCTCGGGAACTTTCACGCTCAATTCTGATCTGCTAAGCGTTCAACAAATCCACAGGAACGCAATACAACACTGCCAGACCTTGCTAAAACCCGGAATAACACTGACATCCGAAGTTGCAGAAGCTATCCCAGAATTCTCCAAAGGGGATCCTCTGCGATATCAACAAATACTTCAGAACTTACTGATGAACTCAGCAAAGTTCACGGAATCCGGGTCAATTCATGTCAGGTCCAAGCTAACCAATGATGAGTTGTCGTCCCACCGTATTTATACTGAGGTTATCGACACCGGGATCGGGGTCGCTGCCGAAGCTGCGAAACGACTTTTCGACCCTTTCACTCAGGTTTTCAGCTCTACAGGGGAACAATACCAAGGAATCGGTCTTGGACTGGCGATTTGCAGAAATTTAATAGACTTCATGGGTGGTTCAATTGGTTATCACCCCAACCCTGACGGTCAGGGTTCTGTGTTTTGGTTTTCGGTACGACTAGGAAAAGTGGACGTGGCCACCAGTCCTGGCCCTTCCGGGGCGCTCTCTCCAATTGAAATGGAACCCATCGAGGAACTCAAAGCTATTGCTCCGGGTAAGCAACTCCTCCTGGTCGAGGATAATAAGATAAGCCAAGCTGTTATGTTGAAGTTGCTAAAAAACTTGGGCTTTGGGCGCGTTGATGCCGCATATGATGGAGCCCAAGCGCTGAAAATGCTGCGGGCGAAGCCGTTTTCTTACCACGCCGTGTTGATGGATATCAACATGCCTGTTATGGATGGTGTGGAAGCCACCGTGGAGATACGGAACTCGTTGAAGCTAGATATTCCCATAATTGCGATGACAGCGAATGCCCTCCAAGGTGATGCGGAAATGTATTTGTCCAAGGGAATGGATGGGTACGTCTCCAAGCCGGTGAATCGGAACCATTTGATTAAGAATTTGGTAAGGGTTCTTAGATGATGTTGGGTTGAAATGATTTTATGGGAAGACGCACAAAAGGCAGGGACGGCAGACTGGTCGCTACCAGTGGGTGCGTTGAACATCTCTCCAAAGGCTCAACCGGACCCATTTCTTTCTTTGAAAAATAAGAGACGAAGTCCCCCCCTTTTTTTTTTTTTTTTTGCTGTGATATCGTCCATTTTTGGGCGAGTCAATAGAAACAGGAACCTGGGGCAAGGGAATATACATACACAGACGGCGAACTGGGCAGTTTAATTTCCGCTTTCATATTGTTGAATTCCGTTTTACATGGTTGATTGAGTTACCTGGTGGGTTATTTGCTATCACGCTTTTCTTTTCGATCATGACTATGTTTTCATTCTGAACATGATTTTCTCTTGTGTTGTTTTAAGGTCATCTGTCCGTATCTCGCTGGTCGGTTTACCACCAGTGCCAATCATTGTTTTCCCTGATGAATTTTTACGAGAGTCTCTCTATCACGATACCATTACTCTCTCCTGGCTGAGAGACAGATCTATAAAGTAACATGTTTCTCCGCTTTTCTCATTTTCTTTCTTTTCTCCTGTTGTGAGATTCACGGTGACTTTAAGAGGCTGGATAAGTGGAGTATTTGCACAGAATTAATTGAGAGCAGCCATATTTGCTACGCATTTGATATCAGTTGTAAGTTATCACACTTTAACAGTGCTTTAAGGCCATCTTCCGCGTTTCGTGTGAAGGGGGAGAGAATATATTCTGCAAGTAGTCTAGCGCCATCGCGGATGACATAAACAGCCACAAGCCCATCTTGGGTCCAACGGGAAGTTAGATGAGTCGACTTCACTAAAAGGCTTGGCCCACCTCGCCATGCAACCTGACCTTCATCCTTGCCAGAACAGACCTCCCACAATACACTGTAAATCATTTACCTGCTACATAGTCCTTACACCAGCAAAACTATTCTAGAAAAACCTTTATCACTTAATTAAGTTCATTTCTATGTGTTTTCACTGAAAAAAATGGAATAAGAAAAATGTCAGTAGTATTCAAAAGAACTAGAGAAAATGTTAAAGAGAAAATGAAATTAATAAATTTATATCAATATTGATACATAGTTTTATCTTATATAAATGATTAAATATATTCTTACACTTCTCATTTTTAAAATGTAAGTACTTAGAAACTATTTGATAATTGCCTAGCAAATGATTAATAACTGCTTAAAATAACTCAAAAATACTAAGAATTGATAAATAATTATTAAGTAGTTGATAAGCAATTGATAAGCAGCTAGTATAAGTACTTTAAAATCAATAATCTCAGATAGTATATACTACAACATGAAGATATAAAGTTTTTGATCAAAATATTAACAGTTTACTTAACTTTGAAAAAGTAATAAAAAATGATTTATAAGTGATTTAAAGCTATATAATAATTATTTAATAATTTAATAATTAATAATAAATAATTTAAATTTTTAATATTTTATAAATTAAAGATAATATGAAAAATAATAAGAATAAAAATAATAATATTTTTAATTTTATATCTTTCTTAATTAAAAAATTCAAAGTATCAATATAATAAAATAATAAAAATATATATACTTTATAATCATTTGCTGAATAGTTATCAAGTAGTTGATAAGTATTTATAAAGTATTACTATATTAATATATATATTATATTAAAAAAAAGTTTTTCATATAGAAAATATATAAATATAAAAAAAATAAAAAATAAATAAGTTATATAAACTTATTATTTAAATAATAATTCTTAATCAATTGTTTATAAACTATTATAAAGATTATAATATATATATTAATAAGTTCAATTACAGTAAAAATAATAATAACTTGAGTTAAATACTAAAATAAATAATATTAAGTAGTTATCAATTACTTGTTAACTGTTTGATAAGCAGTTGAACATCAGTTATCAAATATTTATAAAGAATTTTTAGTATTTACAACTTTTGATGCTATATTGATTTTATCATCAATTTCAATTCTTTGTTATTATCATCATTTAGAAAATAATTCAGATCATTATTAAACATCTAAGACTTAAGAGTTCCAGACATGTTCTGAAGAGCTTGAAAAGTAGTTAACAAATAACTACTATATGAAGAGAGATCATTATGGTAATGTTTTTACCACCTGACCTCTCTTTATACGTGCACGGTCCTTGATTTGAATGTGTAGTCATGTGGGGAGGTCAGCCCAGCCTTTTAATGAAGTCGTTCGATCTGTATGCTCAACGGGAGTGCTTCGGGGTAACATTGATCCATTACCAGCGGCAGCGGCTAGACTCTGCTACCAGCCGCAATAAGCGCCAAGCGACATCCAAGGACGGCTTCAATAACCTTAGAACCATAACGATCCTTTTTCCTCACTCTGTTTATCCCTGGCTCATCAATTAGGTTTGCGCATCTTTCATTTTTCCCGATGAGCTTTTCTCTATACATCTTGCCCTCAGCAGACCAAGCAGTTGCTTCAGAAAGCAATACTTCTGCTTCGACCGGCTCGAGCTTCTCCCCATTTCGCCTATACAACGAAAAGAGGCAGACTGCACGAAGAACCAAATTTCCATTAAAGCCTAGTTGGGTGAGAGAGAGAGATCAAGACATACAGGTACGTTTGCTTATTTAAATTGTGTGATTTTGCGTTCTCCAGTCAGATTATGAAGCTCATCTATCTCAAAGAATAAACTATTCCTCCCGCAATGGATAGCCACGAAGGTGGCTCAAAGGCCACTTCTCACCACAATGGCCTCGCCCCTGCAAACCCTCCCAGTATCGAAGCAGCCTACAAGCGCAAATGCATAGAGTTGAAAAAGCGCCTGAACGAAGTCGAAGCGGCCAATGACGCAATGCGCATTCGCAATGCCCAGGGCCATCGTTATATACAGAAAATGCGCCTTGAATCATGCATGCTTCTCGAGCGTCTGGCTGTCTTGACAGGAATGGCCGAAGAGCAAGGTGTTAGCACTGAACTACGCGCGCGAACCGTGGCGCTGTTGAAAGAGATGGATCCCCATTATGCGCCAGCAGCTAATGCGAATCGCGGAGGCGGACGAGGGGAAGGTTCTTCAGGCGGGGTCAAGCGTGCGTCTTACGGAATTGATTACATGGATGACGGCACTGAAGGGAGCTCCGAGGGGCATCCGCCAACTGTACGCTGCCTCCGAAGCTCCCCGCTTTTGCTCGTTTCACGCTAGGCTTGTCTGTTCTCTTTTTCAGCATCTCTTGCTAACCGTGTTTTATGCTTAATTTCATAGCCTCAGGAACGTCCTCTTCGAGTGAAACGCAGCCGTCGTGCTGACGACTCCACCTCGCATCTTGATACCCCAGACAAAGACAGTGACCTCATGCATTCCTCCACTCTTCCTCAGCTCCAGCCAGCCAGCCGGCCACGTTCCCCACCTTCAAATCATGATATGGACGGCCGTATAAAGCCATTCAATGCAACATCTGTCCCCATGTCATCTCCCTCAGCAGTAGACCAATATCCCCACCAAACTACCCTCGCGTCCTCCCCCACTAGTCGTCACCGCCACCAGGGTGGTGGCAACTATGCCCATGGCCCTTCGCCGGGTGGCTCCGAGCAGCGGCATCAACAACATTCTCGTCATCGATACGTATCCGCGTTTGAGGACTTCACCAATCGCACGCGTGATAAAGTTCTCAATGATCTTGTCGAAGCTTACGGCCCCGAGACGAACATCACTAATGAGGATATCGATCGTGCCCTTGCTGATCATTGGGAGTCGTTAGACCCGGCAACAAAGCGGGAGTATGGAGACCGGCGAGAGAGTAGGGATGGCTTGTAAGATCACTTCCAATAGTGCTGTTTCTTTTATGGTGTTATTGGTAGGTTTTATTTTTACCGGTCTCTCTCTCTCTCGTTGGACCTCCATACCTACGGCCACTCTTTTGAAGCCTCCGCCTTCTAGTATTTTTATTCTGGCAGCCCCTGGGCTATTATAGGGCAATTATTATTCCACTTGGCACACTCCCCACATCCTTTGCCATTCTGCTATGTTACACCACCTCGTATCCTCGCGGGCGCGTACAAAATGTGCCAATTTTCTCCACAATCCGATCTATAGGTTATCCATATCCGACCTGAGCTGCCAACAAGAATACGTCATATGCACCGCCTATATCTAATATATCACTAACTCCCGTCATGTACCTCATTACTTGCCTACCCACCTCATCCAAACCATTTCCACATACTCCATATGGCGTTTTTTTTAATTACCAAGGCGTGGTCCTAACCAAGATTTACGTATTAGAAACGGCAGCAGACTGTTTCCATGTCTTCTCTTTCTGTTTCATTTCCCCTTGTTTTCCCTCTAGGTTAGGTTTCTTGTCTACACCGGTATTTATTTAACCACAACCCATTCTTTCCAGTCCTAGCCCTCCATCCCAAGTGCCCTTCTCACCGTGTGCTGTTTGCTTTTTAAATCCCCCGCCTTGCTTCTGAATTTTCCCACTGTTTTCTTCCGATTCCAGTCTCTCGTCATTTGCTTTGAAACTACTTCTTCCTTCTCTGTCTCACTTGGTTGATTTTTTCTTTCTTTCTTTCTCCCCCCCCCCCCCCCCTCTCTTGTAGTTTATCCTGTCGAGTGCATGAATTGTGCACCTATCACGTATCAGCAGGCGAGGGCGGTTTAACCTATCTTACCTCTATTATCAAACTTATGCATGGATGTTAACTTTGTTTTGCATAATATATGTTTCCACTCAGTACCTTCGTCAGCTTTTTCATTTGTAAACTCACTGGGAATGGGATGGAATGAGATGTAATGAAAAATGAAACGAAATCTTCTTTTGAAAAAAAGAAAACGAAAAATAAATAAATAATAAAAATATGTTTTAAGGTAGCGATATCGAGAGGAAAGAGGTTGGTGGATATTTATGATGAATGTCTGAGTGGATTTATATACGATAGGGATGTACATAAAGAAAAAGGGCAAAGCCCTATAAATACCTTGTAATTGTTCACAGTTGACCCCTTATCTATCTCCCGTGTGCTTAACAATATTTGTAGGAGAATTTAAAAATATAAATTATATAGATATTGTAGATAGATTCAAAGAACAACCTCCATGCTCTTACAGAGTTTCCAAGCCGACACTTGTTGAATGACCAGAGAGTGTGATAAATATACAAATCAATCTTCCCAGATGAATTTTTTTCGGTATAGCTGGATGTATAAAACATGTAGTTAGACACGAATGTATAACAGGACTACTATGCAAGATGCATATGTAGGTGGATTCCAATGTACAATTTAATTTTGCAACTATACACATGTACTGTAAAGTAGTACGGTACAAGATAACTCTAGAATGAAAGGGTTGCGATGGTGTAACAGAGATTTTATGTGCAATTAATTTTATTAGTGAATGGTATACGCCAATGTAGCGGCGACAAGGGCTTTATCCGAGTCCTTCTCTTAATCAACTCCAGCGTACAGGTCGACGATAATATTTATCGCGGCAACAACAATTTCAGTAGCGATGAGAATAATAACTATATTCACATCATTTGTTAGTCAGTTCGATATTCATTTCCCCAAGAGATGGGGGTTAAAATGCACATTAATAAATAAGAACGTTTCAACGGATTGGTTGGGAAAACAAAACATACCAATCCATTCCAAATACTCCCCATGCCGATGACTTAACTGATCCTTCAAAACCGCAAGCAAGTCTGCAATAACTTCCAATCTCTCTGTCAACAGCCCGACCCGCTGGTCCATCTCCAGATAACTGCGCACAGCCTGGTAAACGGGCTCAAGCTGTGGCTCCGCCCACATGAGTTCAGGACTATCAAGAACAGACCCCTGGAGATGTATATTAATGCGCAGAATAAACAGTTCACCAATCTGCATATTTATCTGTCTTCGCGTGAGATTTACACTGCCCGTCTCAGCAATCTGCGCGGGTAACGGGGATGTCTTCGCGATGGTTTCTGAAACAAGATCTTCGAACAGCGATGTCTTGACGGACTGAGAGAGGGCGTGGGAAATGGCGAGCTTGGTCATGTAATTATGTGGATCTTGCAGGGAGATGAAGTCGTTGTAGATGCGTGCTTGGTAGTCACGGGTGTAGTAGAAATTGAAGTTTTCGACCTGTGTGTCTTCGGGACTAAGAACGGCGCTGGCGAATTTGGATACTTCGTGGAGGAAACGGGTTTCTTGGGCTGGCGTCATGCCCCATATTACTACGGTGCCGTAGTCGAAGAGAAATATTTCTGGTGTGTGGATTGATGTGTCCAAATCAGATCCGTTATGGTTATCGTCAGGAGTGGATATCGGGGCTATTGCGTGGGGAGAGGCACTGGCGGCAGAGGAGCCCGCAGTGGTTGATGGTGAGTCTTGGTGTATATCCGGGATATCAAGAGAGAGTTCCTGCTCTTCGCTTTTCCGGTCCTCAGTTTGGATTTCACTATCAGAAAAACGACGCTCCTCTGGACCATGAATCTTTCGGATGTTCGACACTTCCTGTCCATTCTTCCCATGGGAAATGAGGCGCTTCTTTTCTTCGTGGTCATAGTTGTACGGTGAATAAACACATTCATCGAAAAGTTTCGGGTTGGAACCTCTAGTATCAGTACGGGATTTGAGAAAGCGAATGACACCATCTATTCTATACGAGCTCGCAGTGCAATATGCCGTTACCCGTGGTACACGATCTCTGTCTGCTTTACCAAGCCTTGCTGCGTGTTTTCGGGCGGTTGGCTCCTTAATCCTGGTAATCTGAGAATACACCTCACTCGGGATCTCAACTTCAACAAATTGGTTCTCTTCCCCCGTGACGGGATTGGGTAGTAATTTAAGCTTCTGGGTGTTTTTGGTTGTTCGCTGAGGGCCGATTTTGGGGTGGGCCGGAGAGGAAGCAGAAGCTGCAGCATTGTAGGTTCCCTGGCTGTGTCGACGACGGATCTTGCTGTTTAAAGCAGCAAAAACAGGCTGACCAGAACCAGAGGCCTGGCTGGTGTGAAAAGGCTTTAAAAAGTCCCTGGAGGTAGTTGTTTCATTTGATATGCTGCTCCGGATGGCTGGGTCGAAGGTAACCGTCCGACGTTGAGGGTGCTCATCCTGTGACGTAGTTGGTGAGCTTCGACGACGGTGGTCTGAGAGCAAGGGAGAGGTTTCTCTGCTTATTGAGTCCATGGCTGCGGATGAGGTATATGCAGAGCATCAATTGTTATGTCACAGGGGTTCACTCATGATCGCAGAGAGGTGGAGGCATTTGCAGCTGTTGTGTTGGTGACGAGCCTGATACCGCCCGAAAGTTGGTGAGAAAACCGAAGCTTGCTTTATTATTATTATTATTATTACTTATTTAACGCCTGGAGGCACGTGATCAGCTGACTAAGAATAGTCTGCTGTCGCTGCCACAGCACCTCCCTAAGGGTATCAGGTGTGCCAGCACAGCAGCTAGTCTGCTGTCTGACATGTCTAGTCAGCTGAAGCACTCTTGAGAGTCTATGTACAGAGTAGCCCCTGTCCTGGAGGTTCTGAATGGCATAGTAGCTGAAGATTACAGGACTGAGGAAGCTAAGGGCTTCTAGAGTAGTGTGTAGAGATGATGAGAAATGTATATAAGAAACATAGGAAAGAGAGAGAGAGAGAGAGAAGTCAGATGTTGAACAGGTTCTAGTAGCAGTGTTGAATGTCAATGAAGAAGCAGGTATTAGTGCATCAGATGAAGAAGACCATAGCTTCTCTTACTGTGCTGAGAAGTCAGTCAATTGCTTTCTTTGATCCTCAGCATGTTTCAGAGGTTTTAATTTGTTCAATGTTCTGATCTTTCCAGCAAAAAAGAAGTGCTCAGAGGTCTTATCTTAGCTGCAAGAGCAGATGAGAAGTGCATCATCATGTGCTCATCTGTGATGATAGACTGTAAAGTCACTGTGATTTGTTCTAGCTGCCAGCAAGTGACCTAGATTTCTTCAGAGAAGAGTAAGCTTAGAAGAGAATTTTTTTGATATTGAGATATTGAGATTCTTGTATTGTGATGTGCTATTGAAGCTTTAGTATTATTGCAGTGAGGCATTGAAGTATTCTTTAGCATAGAATTTGACTCATATCAAGATCAGTGTGTAGTGAATGCATTTTATTATACAGACTGACTTGACTACAGCATCTACAGCATCATTGTTTGAAATTCCAGCATGGCTGAGACATCATTAAACATAGACTCATTTCAGACTAACTGGATCTGAGCTCTGTTTTATTCAGAATCTGCAGAGTTCATTGAACTTAACAAAGATGAGAAAAGATATTCATATAAGTATGTTTGTATAAAGTTTTATTGCAATCTCTTCATTGTCTAGAGTCACTATAATGTGCTGTGTGAACATAGAGAAGGGATTCTGTAGTGCTGTCTCAAAATCAGCAACTGCTGCAAGCACTTCAGCATTAAAAATCTCAGCAGTGCAGCTCAGAAGCAGCTTATCAAGCTTCAGAGATTGATTTATTTCTTGATATAGATAGTAGTCTCTGTTTGAAACTTCTTGACTGTTTTTGAAGTCATCAATATATGTGATGAGATTGAGAAGAGATACAGCTTTCTGAAGTCAGTTTTGAAAAGCTGCTGATTCTGCAGCTTATCTCATAGTCTCAATTTCTAGTGTCTTTTGCTCTCTATTTGATATGTCAGAATTGTTCTAAGAAAGCAAGAACTCTGAATCAGATGTGATGATCATCATTTTAATATTTCATCTAATTCATTTAAAATGTGAAATGTATCATCTTCAGTGTAGAAAGTGTGACAGATTAACTGCAGTTATATAAACAGATAGTTAGTCATGTATTCTTTCTAATCAGACTTTGACTGAGTCTCAGCTTGATTCATATAAAAGAACAGACATAGATATTATGATAAAGACAGATAGAATAACTCAAGCAGTGTTATTGAAGAATATCTGAATCTTGTCAATGATTGTCTGAGAAATTCACTCTGAAAATCAAATCTCAGCTTCATAAAACAGAGTGCTGAAGACACAGCTTTGAGTTGCTTGTCTGAGCAAATGTATTTGACTTTCAAACAAAACTTTATTTAATAATTTAACATATTCTGTAACAATTCTGACTCAAGTGCACACAAAATGAATATGTTCTCTGAAGAGTAACTTTTTATCAAAGAAAATTTCTAGTCATTTGATGTGGTTATTAAGAGAAATTATCTGTTTATTAAAGAAGATAGAGGGCTTTGAGTACTTAATCTTTTTATGAAAGAATTGAAGCTTCATCTTGACTAAGTCAAATGAGATTTCATTGTCAATATCTTATTTCAGAGTGTGATTGAGAGAATTCTGAAGCTGACTTTCTATCTGCTCAAGAAAGCTTCCAGTCTTCAGAATTGCAATGTCATCTGTGTACTTAAATCAATCTTTGATAAGCTAGAGGAGGGGTTCTACATAGAGCAGAAAAAAAATTGATGAGACAGAGAATCTCTATGAAAGATCATAGAGAATCTGAAACATCTTTAATTGAACATCATCTAGTTGAATCAAAGCTAGTTATTGATTGAGAAAAGATGCTACTCACTTTATCAAAATCGCTAGCCAGCTCTATTCTCATAGACATTTTAGAAGCTAGTATTGAAGAACTTCATTAAAGGCCTCTTTGACATCTAGAGTGATCATGCCAGTCAGAAGGTGTTTGTCCTATGCCTCTTGTATGTCATAGACTAGTGCAGTGATGAGATCTACTGCAGATCTCTGTCAAATAGCACTATACTGATCTTCTGCTAGAATGTGATGATGAAGAGTGAGATGAAACATTTATCTAGCTATCAGATGCTTCAGCTCTTTGCTGAGGCAGAATAGCAGTGCAATTGAATGATAAGACTTTAATAGAGAGCAATCTCTTTTTTTTGACTTTGAAATAATCATCATCTTAATCTTTTTGAAGCTCTGAGAGTGGATTTCTTGATCTATATAGTGTTGAAAGAGTAGAATGATTCAATTATCTATCACTGGTCATGTTTTTTGAAGAATATTGACTATAATGCTGTTTAGATCAGAAGATGTGCTAAGTATCTGACAGATAACTCTGTAGACTTTTTGCTCTGTAAGAAGCATTTAGAGTATCTCTCTGCATGAAATTATTGATATGTGCTCTATAATATCTTTCACATCAAGATGTCTGGTCAAAAGTGTCTCATGCAGTAGAGAAGATTTGCTAGTACAAGATTATTCTAGATGTCTATTGGAATGTTATAAAGAAGAAGTGAGATCTTAAAATTAATATTTATTCTATTTGACAATCTTGTAGACATCTGATAAGAAAGCCTTCTTAATTTGCTGATGATTTCATGCTCTCTTAGCTTTTCTAATTTCTGTCTGAAATATCACTTGTTCTGATTGACAAAGACTGTGTCTATATGCTGCATGATATACTCTTCTGACTATCTTGACTGCAGGGGTTCACCATGAGGCATGATGACTCTTGAGTTCTGAGATGAGAGAGCAGGAGTCTTGTAGAGTCAGTTGAAAAGATTTCACAATGTCTGCTGCTTTTTCATTCATATTCTTATAGACTGATGAGGAGAAGAAAGTGAGTAGTTGCAAGAAGTGATCAGCATTGCAGATTATGAGGCTAAGCTTCTTCTTTTTAATCAATTGAGTCTAAGTCTGTGATAATTGAACTGTTGTGATAAGAGTTTTATGATCTGAGATGCAGTGTAGTTCAGAAGCAATATGATAGATAGCTGAGTTGGCAGCACAGAAGACAAGATCAAATGTGTCTTCTCATCTATGTGTAGAGAATTTAGCTGAGTTGAGAAGCTAGAGTTCAAAAAAGATTGCTCAGTTATATAGATTCTCTTCTGCTTGAGAATATCTATGAGTTGTAAAGTTTCATGCTATATGTTTAATATTAAAGTCTTCTAATGCCATTCAGAAAATAGTCTTCATGATGTGTATAAGAGAGAGAAGGTCTTGCAGATGTTGATCTGCATCTGTGATGCCAGATGAGACATTGTATATATTATAAATATTAGCTCTTTTGAAGTTAAAGATATTAACTGAGACATAGATAACATTTCTTGAAATATTTGCTATAGATTGAGTTGATGCAAGAGCTCTTTCATTTCTGACATAGAGCAGTACTCTGAGCCTCTTAATTTAATTGAAGAAGAGTGAGATGAAGCACTAATATAAGAGATGACTTTTGAAGAGGCAGATGAAGAGGTCTGTGATTATTCAGAGTTTCTGAATGATCACAATGTTACAGATTTTTTTGTCTACTAGTAAGAGAGTAATGTCATGAGAGCTTAATTGTCTTTCTATGTTGACTTGATATACAGTAAGTGTAAATTCATGAGAAGAGTTGTGACTGCTCTTCATTAGTGAAGATTCATATTTGATGTAATCTTGATGTCTGTTTGAGAGCAGATTATTGAGTCTGTTTGATTGCTCTGAGAGCTAGTGACTGATGTCAGCAGAGCTGAGAGAGGAAATGAAATGAAGTCTTTAGAGTTTAGCTCTGAATTGCTCTTCTCTGCTGAGATTTAATGAGCTGAGATGAATGCTCTTCTGTCAGCTTCATGTATTAAGTGAAGCTGACAATGAGAGATGCATTCTATACATTCAGAGACTATTTTGAGTCTTGCTGAATAGTCAATGCTAAGAGTAAGATGAGAATCAAGACAATTGCAGCAGTAAACTGATGTTTGACATCTGTCTGAGTATGTGAGACTGCTGCATTTCTCACAACATAGAAGCTGTGCATAGTTTCTTTCTATGTGAAAGCTATGATATCTTATGCAAATTAAGATCTTTGACAATTTCTTGATTTTGTTAATTATTACTGAGTAACTAAAAAAACAGAGTTTATTTGAAAAGAGATGCACTTCAGAGATTCATACTTCAACTCAGATATATCTTTCATGCAGATTGAGATTTGTGGACTTCTTTATTCAGTGACAATGAGTGATTGAAGTCTGATGAATGATATCTCAAATCTTAGAAAGAAGCATCTCTTTTGACACTGAAATCTGAGTAATATTCTGTCTGTCAAAGCTGTGTGTTGACTTTTTGATTGAATCAACTACAAAGATGATTCAGAATTTCTATCACTTAATAAAATAGTCATCTACAGCAGCTTTCAGCTTATCTGCATATTCAAGAATGAAGGCTGTCTTCACTGAAGAGAGAACAGTCACAGTAATTCTCAATGAGCAGTATCATATATCAGTGATTCAGATCAGATCAGAGATCATGACATGTACTTATTCATGAATAACTTGAAGGTCTAGATCATGAGCAGTGTGTGCTGCAGATAGTCTAATCATGACTTATTTATCTTTCTGTTCTTGATGCAGAGGATGGTTGATCTGCTGTATCTGCTTCTTGTGAGATTGTCTCATCACTGAAATGATCTGAAGAAGATTGTTTGAGAAGATCATCTTAGCTGTCACAGCAGTAGCATACATCAATGTAGACTTTGATTCAGTGATGAGGTCTTTAATGACTTTGACTATGCTGTGTCCCATGACTTGTCTTAGTACAGCAGTCTGGTGTGGTAGAGAGTTCTCATAAGTGCAGAGTATCAGGTCCAGTACTGCAGATAGTTCATTGCATAGCTCAAGCACTGCAGCTAGCTCTGCAGAGAAGGAGTTGTTTGCATGACTCAACAGAGCATTGAGCTTATAATTCACTGTGGAAGAGGAGTTCTTCATGATTAGCAGGACTGCTTGAGTGCAGTCAGTCATATTCTCAATGGATTCTCCTCCTGGTGAGAGGGCTGGGCAGGGATTGAAGTTGATATTGATTTGATGTAGTTGAGCTGTGGTGGCTGTTGTAGTGTCTGACACATCCTGGGACATGTTGTTTTGGGGCTGGAGGGATCATCCAGGGGTTTTAGCAGAGCAGAGGAGATTGCGCGGGCTCTCTTCTTTTCAGAGTGAAGAGGAGCCTTGGTGATAGCAATGTCACTGTTGTTTTGGCTCATCGCGGCGTGTGCGAAGCTTGCTTTATAACTAGTTAAACCTTCTGGAAGCTTGAGCCAAGCACGTGAGAGGGAGGCTTAAATCAAATGGGCAGCAGCACTTAGGCCGCATTTGAACTAACGTAATCAATCACCTACCGGATCACCCCTATCATTCTATCAGACAAAATTTCAAGTTAAGCAATAACCACAAGGAATTCTATATAGAAATTATACAGGATAGACACTTAGATTTGTTGACACTGCCTAATATTATGTCCATGTGTATTTCACTTGCCGCAGGTTGGGCGTCTTCGCTTCCTAGTCCCTGTGTTCAAATCTTCAATTCCTTCCTCCATATGTTGATCAGGCTTCTGAGGTCTAGCAGTCCTAGCTAATGCATCTTGAGCTGTTAGAATTCCTTCCTTAGCTATATAAAAATTGTGATTTCTCTCTCTTTCACTTCTGATTGGTGTTGGCAGCTCTCAGCTCTGTGTTTTCCTTTGCTAATATAGCAGCACTATGCATGGCCAGCTGATATCCCTTCACTAGTTGATCAAGAGCTTGGTTGATAGGACTAGAAAGAATCTCCATATGGTGTTTAATCATGCTGCTCTGCAGCTCCAACTGGGTCACATTGCAGGGTGTCTTAGGAGTCCAGGAAAGCTGAGATCCATGCACTGACCCTGGGGGGGGGAAGGTGTATGAAATTGAGTATGTAGTTGTGTAAGAACCTCATCTGGATTGTATGGCACTAGACCCATGGCTTTGAATCCATTTCTTAGAGTAGTGTCCTCCATGACCTCCTGCCTAGCTGCTGCGTAGCTAACTAGGAATTCCTCCTTACCAATATGATTGATCCCTAGTCACATGCTTTGCTCCACCTTCTTGCCATATGCTTTCTTCAATGGTGAAAAGCAGCTCACATCCAGTGGCTGCAGTAGATGAGAGGATTGAGGAGACATATATAATGCTATGATGCCATGATCCAGACAGAACTTGTCAAATTTAACTGTGGCATGACTACCATGTCCATCCAGAATCAGCAGTCTCTTTTTGCCAATTTGTACAAGCCTCAGTAGATCTGTTGAACACCTTTCATAGCCATGTTAAACCAAGCTCATCTGTGGTCCAACCCTTCTCACTGACACCAATTGTCCAGTCCTTTGGCAGTTGCTCATACTATGGGGATTGACGACACTTGCTCTTTAGTATAATCATTGGAGGTAGAGCCCAGTCTGTAGCATTGACTGCTTCAATCACAGTTGCTCATTCACTATTCCCTGGCTGTATGAGAGATGGCTTATTATCTTTCTCAGCTCTAGTGACCACTCTGGCTGTTGAGATAATCCTCATCATAAAGTCAATCTCATCAAAGTTGTAAATATCCTCCAGCACAATTCCATACTTCTTTATTGTACATTTCACCAAGGTAAATCTTTCACATAGAATCTTTGAATCCTCACACTGAGCTCATCGATAGTTGTATTTGCATGAGAACTTTGTCTTTAGTTCAGGATGCTGTTGTATAAATCTATTGACCCAACATTCTTCTACAATAGTAGAAGCACTGGATCCATGCTCTTCAAGTAGTAGATTGGCCATTTCTTGTACAGTCATGATTCAGGGAGGCTGTCCTCTCTCATCCATGGAGATTATCCATTCAACTAGAGATTCTTCTTCTGTAGAGGTCAGTTTTCAATTGTTTAATTGAGCATTTGCATGTGTGGTTCAACCGCGTAGTCTATAGGCCAGGGAGAAATAGGGAACATTATAATAACTTAGAAGCAGCTCTAATGATTGTAATTTGCTGAGCTTTATAAGCTTTAATGACTAATAAAAGCCTGGCTTCCTGATTAGAGGCCATTCTAGTGAGGGTGGTTGACATACTGAATCTTTTTTAATGAGCATGAGTGATTCGGATGGAAGTGATCCGGTAGATGATATGATCCGGTAGGTGATTGATTACGTTAGTAGAAAATAAAAGGCTTTTTAGGAGGGACGAGCTTAAAAATCGAATTTATATAGAGAACGACAGCAGACGACTGACACGGGTGGCATGGAACCTTTCAAAATAATAAACTAATTCCGGTGTGAGGCATGATACGTTCTACGCCAACTGACTGTAATAAAACCAAAAAATTCAAAGAAACATCACTCCCGAAATGACGCCAATGTACTTCAGAGAGATAAAACTGCGAATTCAGAAACAATCCACAAGCCTGTAGACATTATGTAATGGTTTAAACACCAGAAACTCCACCAACATTAGGGGAAAAAGCGTTTATTTTCTAACAAAGCTTGAAACTCCACTCCTCCTCCTCAAACTACCACCACTGGGCAGCCTACGATTTCCCGCCTTCCAGTTATCCTTCACCTGACGACTGTTCTTCGATGCCTTAGGCGGCAAAGACACCCGTCCTAACCAATCACCCGAGCTTTCCAGAACCCGAATCACCGCCCCTCCGATTTTGATATCCCTTGGTCGCTTCTCGACCTTATCAAGGAACTTATATTTTTTAGGCATTCGCGTAGCTGACGCTGAGTCACTTTCATATGGAGGGGTGGGGATGTTGTGGGCTGAAGATGGCTCTGCATTCAGGATCTCGTCGGGGAGTAGAATGGGAAGTGGATGGATGAATTTGGACGTGGAACCCTGTAACGTCGCAGAGCTCTCGGAAAGGATTTCTTCGTGTTTTGGGTCAAGACTGGAAGTTTCATGATTTTGCTTCGGAGGCGCGGGCCTTGCAACAGCTTGGGCTTGGGCTTGGGCTTTTAGCTGTTGATCCCGCTCTCTTCGCTTTTGCTTGTCTAGTGCTTTGGCCCTGGTACATTAAATATTAATTATGAGTCTCGATGTATTTAGGAGAACAGGAGCATGTGATATAATATGAACCTTTGCTTAGACTGGGCTTCTTTCCTGGCAGCCTCTTTCAATTTCTGTAGCTGTACGGCGTTGTCTATTGTTTCAGGGGCCTCGTCATCATCGTCACTGTCCTCCGTCTCGCGAACTCCCTTAGATGTCTCTTCCTCTACGGAAGGCTCATGTCCTCCATTGATCTCTAGACTCGGTTCCTCGCTCCCAAAGCGAACATGTGTAGATCTGGCAGCGGAATTCGTCATTCCATTGTCGGGTTCTTTGACTTGGTCTGCAGTATGAAACTTTTTCTCTTCTTCGGAGTGCATATCGGGCCCGACAGTATCATTTGAATCAACAGTACGGTAGGGAAGATTTTTAACATTGGTTTCTATGTCATCATCCACAACTTCAACGGTTGGTGAGCTGATGACTTCGCATGCCCTGCTTTTTTTCCTCCGTTTGGTCGCCTGGCTGTCAGTCACTTCCTTTGCGGAGGCGCTCTTCCGCTTCCCATTCGTAGCGGGAGATGAATACAAAGCTTCTACAGGAGTAGTCGCAGTGGTAGAGTGGGAGGCGGTGCGTCGAGTAGCAGACACCATGTCCGTTGGGCTTGGGAGGGCAATATGGCTGGTTCGGCCCCTGGGTCGTGTCTTGTAAAAATGCCTCGGGCAGCTGTCACAATATGAGATAACATAGGGAAGAGGAGAAACGAACACCAAGTTTATTACGTATCCTCCAGTTGTTCATCCGAGCGTTCCCCAATGGTTGGTTGTTGCTCTAGGGCGAGCTCCGTATTGAATCGGTACTTAAGTAGGGCAGATTTTTGTCACCGGAGCTATGATTATCCGAGGGTTTAGCCCTAATCTCTTATCAGATCGATCTTGACAGCTCCATATATATATATATTTACAGTCGAACTCCTTGAGGATTTGAAGCAATAGAAAAATGTACTGAACAAAGTATAAGTATGTGCTTGGAACAAAAGAGCATCTACTTCGTACATAATAGTGCAGGTATATTGTGTTGATAACTAGCCAACTTCTAGTTAACTAACTACATGGGTCTTATTGCGCCTTTCATCCACGAGAACCCACGAACATCGTGCATATACCGTTAGATGGGAAACAAAAAAAGAGATAAACCTCAAGAACCGCCAACCGGAACGCCATAACATAGATTCCCATAAACAAATCCCTTATCCTTTACTACTAAGGCAAAATCCAGGCGAATTCAAGCATCATAATACTCCTCCGCAATGCGTTTCCTCTCCATAGCCTCCTCCTCCGCTGCTAGGTAATCGTCTTCTCCAAGATCACTAACCTCATCCCACATCTTGTCAAATTCATCCGTGTCATTTCCCGGAACAGCCCACATGGACTCTCGTAGGCGCTTGTTCCGCTCTCTATCTTCCTCGATCCGCTGCTCGATCTGGCGCTTGTCAACTTTAATGCCGCCCGGCCTTGACGTAAAGCCTTTGCTCTTTGACGAATCGCCGCCTTCAGAGCCTCTCTGGCCGTCTACTTGCTCAAGATCAAGAATATGTGCCGGGTGGCTTTCCCGTTCCTTGAGACATGCATCGATTTCGCGAACAGCATCTGCAGATAGATATGATTTCGCTTGCAAGCCGTTGAGAACGCGGCGGACGTGTTTAACATTTGCTGCGCCAGAGCCGTCGGATGGCGCGACTGCGTCGACTACGCGGAGGATATCGCGCTGGATCATGCGGACGAATTCGAGGTGGTTTTCTTTGCTGGCCATATCACATAGGTGCTCGATGAAGTACATAATGTTGGCGCGGTTGTTCATGCTATTCTGATGATAAGAAAGAAGGCAGGCCACGAGTTAATGTTATGAACGTTCTTTTGCTATTTAAAGGTTTTCGCGGGGCTTCAGTTACCATTTCCAGTTGCTCCAGAATGCAGGAGTGGAGATCTTCGTCCATGTCCCGGTATTTGAGGGCGTAATGGGCGGCTTTCTGTGAAGAGGTGACGGAGGCGCTCAGATGTTGAAGCTGCGTAGTGAAGCGCATGCGAACCTCGAAGGGGTCAGCCATGTTGGTTGCTAGGGGTGGAATGGCGATTATCAAGTAGCAGTTGGTGTTTCATAGTGCAATCATTCAAATGGCCATATTTATACTATTTAATACTGATGAAAGATGCTGCGAGATGAATGCGGGGAGTTGGGTGTGTAGAGAGAGGTGAAGCTAATTTTGGTTGCGTTGAGCTGAGAAATGAAGGGGCAGAAATGAAGGGGCAGAAAAAAAGTTCAGCCTGCAAAACCAAAAGTTTGCTCGGAGGAACAACAACCCCAACTTCACTCGTATCATATCCTATTCCCCGCAATTGCTGCCGTGTAAACCTCCATCAAGTATTACAATTAGTCTTGGTTGTTTCTGAGATATATTTTTCTGTTTAATATTATCCACCATGTCTGTCGCTCACAGAAACATTAATATCGATTCCGTAAATCTAGCGCAGAAGTCCGGTCTGACTCTGACGATATTAGGATGCGGTAAGAGGAAGATAACCAACGTGTTCCGTATTACCCTACGGGCAAATTCAAGAGTATTATTGCTAACAAAAATAAAACGTATTGCTTCAGGAACTCTGGGAATTGCCATATTATCGGGCATATTTGCCTCTCTCGCAGAGGCAGGAAGTCACTCCGCATACCCATCGGAGTCCGGCACCACCACACCCTCTGAAATGGTCCCGCAGCAAAAGATCCCCAGTAAATTCATTGCCTGTGTACGGCGACCCGAGTCTGTAAAGCGCGTCCACAAAGCCCTCGATGGCTTCTCCATGCCGTTAACCGTGGTACAAAATGAAAACGTCAAGGCCGTCGAGCAAGCTGAAGTAGTCATCCTGGGCTGCAAACCATACATGCTTCGAGATGTGCTTGACGAACCGGGAATGTGCAAAGCGCTCCAGGGAAAGCTTTTGATAAGCATTCTGGCCGGTGTAACCGTGGAACAGATCGTAGACACTCTATACCCGCCGACATCTTCAGTTCCAGAATCAAACCGCTGCCGTGTTGTTCGTGCCATGCCCAACACCGCTGCTCTGGTCCGCGAATCGATGACCGTCATCGCCACCTCCAACCCGCCTCTCCCCGAGGAATGGAACGTGCTGATATCCTGGATATTCTCCCGGGTGGGACGGGTTGTAACACTCCCGCCGTCCATGATGGATGTATGCACATCGCTTGCAGGCTCTGGACCCGCATTTGCCGCACTGATCATGGAGGCGATGGCAGACGGGGCTGTGTCAATGGGTTTACCGAGAGCTGAGGCACAGATGATGGCTGCCCAGGTCATGCGTGGTACGGCTGGTATGGTTCAAAGTGGTGAGCATCCGGCGCTGATTAGGGAGAAAGTCAGCACCCCTGGAGGATGTACGATTGGTGGGTTGTTGGTGCTGGAGGAGGGAAGGGTTAGGGGGACGCTTGCACGATCGGTTAGAGAAGCAACCGTTGTCGCGAGTCAGTTGGGGCAGGGCATTCACGGTGTGAATAAAACTCGATTTTAAAGCAGATATTTTTGGATGGGTTTATGGAGGCTGATTTCTGGCGGTACTGGTTTTCTTATTTTCGTTATCGGAATGTGTTACTGGGTTTGTTATAGAGAGTAGGGGGTAAAAACCTTGCTAAGGCGTTTTTATTTTAATCGAGATGACATGTTCTTGTTTAACGATGCTATGAAACCGGTTACCGTTTGCCGTTCAAGAGACAGTGTTGTTCCTGCTTGCTAGACAGTGGTAGGTATTGTAATCCACAGCACATATGAGACGTTGAATGTACTTGTACAGGTGCAATTCGCACTTCGCCCATCTATAGCATTGTATATACCCTAATTCCCCATGAATTCCCATAAATAATTATACACATACAACTACCAGTACTTGACAAGAATAGAGATGAATGAAAAGGATAGTTAACAGCAAAAAACAAAACCCGGAAGTGCTCTAAAAATGCCAAAACTCCGCTAGAAAACTCTTAAAGCGAGGGCCCAGCATCAATAGGACTAAACGTTCTTACGTGGTGCCCGTGATCATCATCAACTAGTAGACCTCTTTCCTCCTCAGTATTTCCTTCCCCAATTTCATTGTCTCTAAAGCCCTGGGCCCTCCGTTTCTGAGCATCTTCGATGATGTACCAAACATCCTTTTTGGTTAAGAATCCTTGGAGTATCCCTTTGTTGACAAGTAGTATGTATCGAAGACCTAGCCTTTGGAACATATTAACGACGATGAGGAAGCTGGCGCGGCTGTTTAGTGTAATGGGAGTTTGGTCCATCCATGGTCGAAGATCAAGGGTTTCAAGTGGATCGACGAATGGCTGATGGGCGAAATAAGCTGCGGTTTCAAGGGATAGGTTTCGGGAACTTCGAGAGGTGACGGATTTAAGGGCGTAGGACAGTTCGTTGCGAGAGATGTATCCAAGTAGGGTGGGATTTGACGTATCGGAAACGACCGGGAATCCACGATAGGATGTTGTGTTGAGAAGGTTTAGGAGAGTGTCAATGGTGTGCCCGACGGCGGTGATTACGGATAGGTCATGAATACTTGTCATGACCTGGCTTACTGGAACATCGGGAAGGATAACGTCATCTCTTTGCTCGATGAATGGGTATTCGTTGAGCTGGATCCACGACTCGTATATACCTCGTTTCCCAAACGTATCCCCACACCATTTTGAAAGCATCACAGCAATCATTATAGGGATGACATAGGTGATGGCACCTGTAAGCTCAAACATAATAACAATTATCGACACCGTCATCCTCGTTGCGCCTCCAAGAGCAGACGCGGCCCCGACAATCGCGTAGGTTCCAGGAATAATACACGGAACGTCAGGCTCACAATTCCGGAATAGCAGCAGGTTTGGTTGCGCCTTTTGCCACATTTCAAACGCTATACCAAGAGCTCTACCCGAGAGAGCTCCTATTGCTAGAGAGGGAAGAATGATACCCGCAGGGATATCTAAACCAAAGGTAATTGATGCGAGGAAGAAACCTAGAACTGCCGCAAGAAGTAAGAGGCCAATGACTCCCAATGATGCGTCTCCCGTTTTGCAAAGCCCGAATTGATCATCTGGAACACTTGCACACTCTGCGAAAAGGTAATAGACAAGCTCAGAGAGTTGGGCCCTCATGAACGTATTTGGGAAATTTATCATAGCACTGACGAGAGCTACGGCAACAACTTGCAGAATCGGAGAAGAGAGATTCCTCTCCTTTCGCCATCTGGTAACTTTCATGTTTACTTTGATGAATAAACCGCCGTACAACCCACCAAATATTCCGAGTAAGGCGAATGGGAGCAGCTCACAGCGGTGCCATCCGCGACTGTACGTTACTTGGTAGAGAACAATTTTTCCTGTTCGAAAGGGGTTGAGAGCATGCAAAGTAACGGCCGCAACCATAGCGCATACGAAGCTCTGCCACATTGTCTTGTCCGGGAAATAGTATGAGAGTTGCTGGGGGGGTGGGAAAATTAGCCAATAGCTAGCACAATGATCGAATAATTTATTACCTCTAAACTGAACAAGACACCTCCAATAGGAGAACCGAAGGCGACAGAAATGCCCGCAGCCGCAGCAGCAGAGAGAATCTCGCGCTTCCTCGCTGCGACGTGTATATTAGCAGCGTTATTCTCAGAATGTTAGTTATATTGTGGCTTACCCTCATTATGATTTAGGCTGGGAAAGGGTTTCATGATCAAATTCGCACAGCAGCAAGCAACATGAACTAATGGGCCTTCTTTCCCAAGCCATAGTCCCGATGCGACAGCAAAACACTAGGAGACCCATTAGTAAAACAAGCAACCAATTTTAAACGAAGGAAATGATTCTTACCAAGCCTAGAGATTTCACCAACAACGTCCATGTCCCCATGAACTTTTTAATCACAAAGCCACCTAGGACAACTTTTATTTCCGGAATACCACTGTGCTTGGCATATATTGCGAAATATTTGACCAGAACACTTGCAGCTGTTGCAAAGAGGATCTATAGTCAAGGTTAGTCAAACCCAGTGGAAAGTAAATCGACGAACTTACAGCGTACAATATGAAAATGATATATTCCAAAACATATCCACCACCCTTAGAGTCAACATGAAAAGCCTTACGCCACGGTATCCAATGTTGACATTCGGATAAGTCTTGGGAGTGGGTTAACACACAGTGGATAAGATATAGGGGTAATCCTATCACAAACCTTCATAACCCCAGCAACAAAAGTTTTTATTCAAATAAAACCTCCCTCCTTCAGCACCAGTATGACAGTAGCCAGTCTTAATATCTCCAAGCCAATTACTTGCGATATCTATACACGCGGCTATGACACCCGTGGTGATCCCCGTTACAATAAGAATAAACCATATATTGCTTGCATCCAGGATTTTCCGAACATAGCCTATAAGACCTTTGTTGCTGGAGTAAAGATGCCGAATCCGCTGACGCTCCTTGGAATACTCGAAAATCCAATCAATAGCCGTTAGGTTGTCATATCCTACACGCCGACCAGGTCCCTCAACATACCAGTCAAGAGGGCCTCCGGGCTTAGATCCCTCTAGCCCTCCATTAGCAGTCGTCGTATTTGCGGGTGGCGGGCTGTCGTTTGGCAATGTGCCATCCCCGTCACCAGCACGATTGTGTAGAGTTGGGTGCACGGTGCTTTCGGAGGAAAAGAAGGTAGAAAGGACAAACCGAGCTGGCTCCTTTTGTTTGCGTTTGAAGGAGATTCTGGCACATAGTCAGCTAAGACTCAGAAGTCGACGGCGCATGAGCTTACGGCTCATCAAATGCTTCCACAAAAGGATCTGTCAAAAGCGCCGCTCCGGCCTCCAACGGAGTTGAAGTTGAGCGCTCCTGGGTGCTCTGTTGGTCACCGGCAGTGCCAGGTTGAGGCAGCTGGGAGATACACGGATTAACAGGATCTTGTGAGGCATTTAAGCCTGATGAGTTCGCTGACATTGTCCGTCATGGAGACACTGGCACAATGCTTAAGACGGAGCCTGGGGCCTTCTCTTGGTTTGGGCGATGTGATATACCGATGAAGCTGGCCGTTGTGTTTCATTGACATGCAATGGACGTTATCAACGGTGGTTCACGTTAACATCCCAAGCTGTGGCTCGTGCGTGATTGGTCAGCCACACGATCCCCTGATGGCCCCAGAAGACGAAGATCATATGACTCTGATTGGTCAGACTAAAGGCGGTGAAGATTATCAATACCACGTGATATCTCGATTGTGAGGCAGAAAATAATTCAAGCATAAGAAAATTTCTTAGAGGTTAAAAACTCGATATTCTTAACATAGAGCTCCGGAAATGCCTTTGTTGGAAGATAAAGGCTTTTCAGATGTCTCCTGAGATGGCGCAAATAGCTGGTAACGTGGGGCTTTTACCAGAAACCCGTGTTTTAGAGCAGCTACCGCCCGAACTGGTAGAAATTCTCCACACAAGCAGTTCGAATCCATCCTCATGCCATGATACCCTGGCACTCGCAGCATTACGACCAAATTATACCAACACATTGTTTTCACTCTATGAACCAATCTTTGTGGATTTGGCTGCAAGATGGATTTACTTGGACTCCCATGAATACTTTGTGCGAGTCATAGCTGCATTTGCACGAATTTTACCTTTTGCGCCTTACCTTAGACCATTGGCAGATGTTGCCTCAAGGGACCTCAAAGGTAGTGGCCTACCCTCCTCAGAGGAGCCGGGCAAGTTTGGGAACCTGCAGGTGGAAGACGAAACCCTTATTTCTCTCCTCCTTGCTCTTTTTCGCCTTCTTAGTTTCGACTTGGAGAGCTTTTCGCCCATAGTCTCCCCATCCCAACTGCAGTCACTCTTTAATCGGTCCAATCATGTCATTAGATATCTTGCAATACGGTGTTTTTGCTTGTACATGCATGCTGCTGACGCTGCGCTCGAGAGAATGTTAAGCAAGTATCATGATGGAACCGCAATCAATGGACCGTGGGAGGATAGAACCATTGATTACCGCTTCCTGAGTATTTGGGAAGAGAAAAGATGGATTGGACTCCAGAATGAACTTGAGAATGCACGAAAATCACGCGATGATTTAGTTGTGGAAGCTTGGACTAAGCAACTTCGAAAATACTTCACTTGCCATACTGCCGAAATTGGCGGTGTTCTTATTCCGACGATTCATCAGAGAAATAAAATAAAAGTATCCTCTCTCGTGGAGACACCAACGGTTCTACGGAATCTACGCGCTCTCGGTAATTCTCTCCTTTCAACGGACCCTCTGTTATTGGTTGGCCTGCCTGGCGCTGGAAAGACTTCACTTATTAATGAAGCTGCCATCCAACTGGGCCAGTCATCATCCATGGTCACACTTTATTTGAACGAACAGACAGATTCCAAAAGTTTGCTAGGGGTCTACTCGACATCATCTCCGGCTGGTTCATTTTCTTGGCAACCCGGCGTTCTAACGAGGGCCGCCAGGGAAGGCAGATGGGTTGTGATTGAGGATTTAGATCGTGCTCCTTCCGAAGTACTCGGGCTTATTCTCCCGCTTATTGAAAAGAGGGAACTAATCATCCCGAGCAGAAATGAACGCATACGTTGCGCCGATGGCTTTAGGGTTATTGCTACAATGAGGTCTTCTATGAATGCAAATGGGAAGGAAATAACTCCAAGTAGCAATATGTTGGGGAATAGACTATGGAATCGAATCCAAGTGTTGCAGATGCCCCCTCGGGAAGTTAAAGAAGTTATTATTCAAAAATTTCCACTTCTTTCTTCTCGGGTAGAGATGATCATGAATACGTTCAACCGTATCACATCATTATCCAACGGTGCCGTTTCTCGAAAATTTATGACGGGGAGACAACCTAGCCTTCGTGACTTGATCAAACTGTGCTACAGAATAGAGCAGCGTCTGCGGAATCTTGGATGTGAAACGGGCTATGAAGCGGTTCCCGACGGTACTAACGACGAAATCTTCATGGATACAGTAGACTGTTTTGCGGCATATCTCCCAAAAGGGCTTCTTCAATCAAATGTGACGGATTCTATTGCAGAGGAAATGCAGATCTCCCCGCAGCGGATGAAGTTTTGCTTGTCCGAACGTACCCCAAAATATCTAGATTCTCACAGCACAGTGACTATCGGAAGAGAAGCGTGCCAGAAACGCAAGGGGCTTGGTTTGCGGAACGTTGTTCCATCGATGGCGGACAAGAGCACTTTTGCACCCACTCGAGCTTCTCTGAAAACAATGGAGCAAGTTGTCTCAGCCTTGCAGCTCTCAGAGCCAATTTTGCTTGTGGGGGAAACTGGAATTGGCAAAACTGCAATGATACAGCAACTTGCCTCCCTCTTGCGCCAGCGTCTAACTGTTGTAAATTTGTCTCAACAAAGCGAAAGCACGGACTTGCTAGGCGGCTTTAAACCGGTGAATGTTCGATCACTTGCTGTCCCCTTGGTCGACGAGTTCACCGTCCTGTTTGAATCCACCTTTTCAGCTAAAAAGAACCAGAAGTTTTTGTCTTCCGTTGCGAAATGCGTAACTACCGGCAACTGGCTTCGTTTAGTTAATATTCTTAATGAGGCTGTTAAGATGTCATACGGCGTCTTTGAATCGATGCAGAAAAACAAAACTGAAATGACGGATGGCGGCTTAGAAAAACCTTCGAAGAAACGAAAACTCGACGATTCCAAATATGCCAACCTCCGCCAAAAGTGGGAGGTGTTCTCCAGGGAATTAAAACAATTCGAAGTCCGTATTTCGGAGGGGGATAGCAAGTTTGCTTTTGAATTCGTTCCAGGGAAGATTGTCAAAGCTCTGAGAAATGGGGAGTGGGTGTTGCTCGATGAGATAAATCTCGCCTCCCCTGACACTCTAGAGAGCATCGCCAGCCTCCTTCACCATGGACGTGATGGATCCCCATCCGTCCTTCTTTCTGAAGCTGGGGAAGTTGAACGTGTTTATGGTCACCCGAATTTCCGAATTTTTGGAGCCATGAACCCGGCAACAGATTCTGGAAAACGAGATTTGGCTCCTGGTTTACGGTCTAGATTTACGGAGATATACGTTAACTCTCCTGATACTGAAATCGATGATCTTATAACTTTGATAGACGCCTACTTGGAACCATTAACGAATGCGGACGTAAAGGTTACTATCGCTCTTGCTCGTCTATACCTTGATACGAAGAGGTTAAATGTGGAGAATAAACTGGAAGATGGCGCCGGCCAGAAACCCCATTTTAGCATTAGAACCCTTGTTCGATCTTTGATATACGTGAGGAATCAAGCGCATATTTACGGACTCCGACGAGCAATATATGAAGGATTCTGCATGAGTTTCTTGACACTACTAAGCAAGGAGTCCGAACTCCAGATCATCCCTCTTCTAGATCAGTATATATTTGGGAGCCTGAAGAATTCTCGATCGGTTTTGTCCCAAACTCCCAAGCCTCCTAATGATGGCATCACTTATGTTCGATTCAATCATTATTGGATGAGACAAGGAGCATTTTCGATAGAGACCCAACCCCATTATATTATCACACCGTTCATTGAAAGGAACTTGATGAATTTAGTAAGAGCCAGTTCTACGCGACAGTTTCCAATTTTGCTACAAGGTCCAACTTCTTCTGGAAAAACTAGCATGGTAGAATACCTTGCTAAGATTTCAGGCAATCGATTTGTCCGAATCAACAACCATGAACATACTGACCTTCAGGAATATTTGGGATCATACATATCTGGCGAAGACGGCAGCTTGAGATATCAGGAAGGAATACTAGTGGAGGCGCTAAGGAATGGATATTGGATTGTTCTGGATGAACTTAATTTAGCTCCAACTGATGTCTTGGAAGCGCTCAACCGTTTGTTGGATGATAATAGAGAACTATTTATCCCTGAGTCCCAGGAAGTCGTTCATCCGCATCCCAACTTTATGCTATTTGCAACCCAAAATCCTGCTGGTCTCTATGGTGGTCGGAAAGCGCTTTCTCGCGCGTTTCGAAATCGATTTCTAGAGCTCCATTTCGACGATATTCCTGAGGACGAACTAGAGTTTATTCTCAAGGAGCGATCACAAATAGCTCCTTCATTTTGCACAAGAATTGTCTCTGTTTATCGAAAGCTTTCCCTGCTGCGACAGTCGAGCCGGCTATTCGAGCAGCGAAACAGCTTTGCCACGTTACGTGACCTTTTCCGGTGGGCGCACCGAAGAGCCGATAACCGTGAAGAATTGGCTATCAATGGTTTTATGCTTTTGGCGGAAAGGGTGAGGAACCCGAAAGAAAGGGCTGCTGTAAAGCAAGTGATCGAGGAGGTTATGAGGGTAAAACTTGACGAAACAGCCCTTTACGGTGCCGAGAGGCTTGATACGCGGCTCCAGGAGCTTTCAGCTATTGCTCCAACAGGTATAATATGGACACAAGCCATGAGAAGGGTGTTCATGTTGGTTTCACGAGCAATTGAACACAATGAACCTGTTCTTCTTATTGGGGAGACTGGATGCGGTAAAACCCAAATCTGTCAAGCTATTGCAGATATGTATGGAAAGCAACTTTACACCGTTAACGCCCATGTTAACCTCGAGACTGGAGACATCATTGGCGCGCAAAGGCCCTTAAGAAATAGATCTGCGATCGAAGGACAACTTTTGACGGATCTGTCATCTGCGTTGAAATCCGTCAACGCATACGATGAAAGCAGTGATAAGTCTATCGACAATCTAACACGAGCATTTTCTACCTTGACCACCCGGGAATTAGATATGTGCGAGCCAAACCTGGTGAATCGAATACGGGAAAATATGGCGAGAGCGAAAGCCCTATTTGAATGGTCCAACGGCAGTCTCATAACGGCAATGGAGTCTGGTCAGCACTTCCTTCTTGACGAAATTTCACTCGCGGAAGACTCAGTCCTGGAACGTCTTAATAGTGTTCTCGAACCCCATAGGTCTTTGCTACTTGCCGAGAAGGGTCCTATTGATTCTTTGGTGGTTGCGAAAGATGGGTTTCAGTTTTTGGCAACAATGAACCCAGGCGGAGACTATGGAAAAAGGGAACTCTCCGCTGCCCTAAGGAACCGACTCACTGAAATTTGGGTACCTCAACTTTCGGAAGCAGAAGATGTCCTCCCAATTTTGTACGCAAAACTTGTGTCACCGATTCAGAGCGCGCCGAACGCAATGTTAACGTTTGCAAAATGGTTTAAAGAAACCTTCCAGAGCGCTTCAGCTGAATCGATATCTATCCGTGACCTATTAGCTTGGGTGGACTTTGTAAATCAATGCAAACACCTCGACGAAATTTCCGCAATCGTTCACGGCGCGGCTCTGGTATACATTGACACCCTAGGCGCCAATCCTTCTGCTATGCTTGCTTCGGGCCCGGAAAATCTCAAACATGACCGACTTACGTGTCTTAATAGATTAGGTAAAATTTTTGGCTTTGATGCTGTCTCAATCTACTTTCAGGAGACTTCTATATCTGTTGAAAGGAGCAAGATGAGAATTGGACCGTTTGTTTTGGAGATGGGTGCCGATTCTGCGCATGATCCCTACTTTTCCTTGGACGCGCCAACCACAGTTGCAAACTCGCTGAGGATTGCTCGAGGCCTTCAGTTAGCCAAGCCCATCCTTCTTGAGGGTAGCCCTGGTGTCGGGAAAACAACACTTGTTGCTGCTCTTGCCCAATCTCTTGGGAAGCCCCTTACGAGAATTAATCTTTCTGATCAGACTGATCTGACAGATTTGTTCGGGTCGGACGTCCCAGTCGAAGGCAGTGATATGGGAAGATTTGCTTGGAGCGATGCACCATTTTTACGAGCTATGCAAACAGGTGGCTGGGTTCTTTTGGACGAGATGAATCTTGCCTCTCAATCTGTATTGGAGGGTTTAAACTCTTGTCTAGATCACCGTCAGCAAGTTTATATCGCCGAGTTGGGTCAAACGTTTAAACGACATCCCAACTTTGTGTTGTTTGCAGCACAGAATCCCCATCACCAAGGCGGCGGACGGAAAGGCCTTCCTGCTTCATTTGTGAACCGTTTTACCGTGGTCTATGCAGACTCTTTCAGCAGTAATGACCTGAAGATGATCTGCAAAAAGTTGTCTCCTGGGACTCCTGAAGCTGAAATTCAACAGCTGGTAGATTTCGTTTTATCTCTGAACTCGAAAATAACGAATGACCGAAGCCTGGGAACTATTGGGGGACCTTGGGAAATTAATTTGCGAGATATTTCAAGATGGCTTAGGCTCCTTGAATCGACCCCAGTCCGAATTTCGCCCTCCCAGTTCCTCGATGTTGTGATTAACCACCGGTTCCGCACACCTGCAGATAGAGCTCTCGTTTCATCTTTATATGCCCACATATTTGGATCATCTCCTGCAATTAAAAGCTATTTCCATAACCTTGGCGTATCGCAATATCAAGTTGGCCTTGCGGTCCTTCAACGCAACCAGCTTGTACAAAATTTCAATGACTCTCATATCAGGATACTTCCCGGCGACTTACCGACTATGGAATCGTTGATATTGTGTATAGAGCAAGGTTGGCCTAGCATCCTCGTTGGACCATCCGGATGCGGGAAGACAACCATTTTGCACAAGCTTGCTGTTTTGAGTGGTTCTAAAATTGTTGAATTGGCATTGAACGCCGACACCGATACAATGGATCTTATAGGTGGCTTTGAGCAAGTAGACAATGACCGTCATCTACTAAGTTTTCTAGATGATCTTTTACAGTTTCTCCGGGATCAAGTTATCCACACTCAAACATTTGCTAGACAGGAAGGCGTTGATAGTGAACTCTTACGATTTTACGACGCTGTCAAAACAAATACAGCCCAGCTTGAAACCATCTCGGATGCGCTACACAATATCTCCCTTAAGGGGTTACATCCAAGCTTTTCTAAGTTCCATGAACGCGCCAAGGCATTGCTCAAATCAACCTCCGACAGCAAGACAATCGGATTTAAATGGACCGAAGGCATATTTATCCAAGCAGTTCAAAACGGAGACTGGGTGGTCCTAGACAACGCCAATCTTTGTAATCCATCTGTTCTGGATCGACTAAATTCGCTTATGGAACCAAACGGCTGTTTAGTTATCAATGAGCAGCGAACAGGTGATGGCACTGCGAAGATAGTGACACCTCATCAGAATTTCCGACTCTTCCTCACTATGGATCCACGCCATGGTGAGTTATCACGAGCAATGAGAAACCGGGCTATCGAGATATACTTTCCGCCTAGTGCCAACAAAGTTATATCTACGTCTCCAGTGATATTTTATACGTCAGAATCATCAATGTACCGCATCCGTTGTGCTCAAAGTTCCATTTATTGCGGAACATCCGCGGACAATGAAAGTGATAATTTGGAGGTGTCTCTTGATCACTTAGCCAGGCACGATTTTTGCAACATCCAGAAATCCTCAGCTGCTTCCATCGATCTATGGACTGCCAATATGAGGACCCCGACGATTCTTCGTCAAACTTTCGATCGCTACAACGCCTTGTTGAACCGCGACATGGTGCATCCTTTGAAACGTGTTCTGCCTAATGGAAGATGGAATGAAAAGAAGTTTTTGAACTTCCAACAAAATATTGAAGTATGCAATGATGAATTCACCCATTCGTGAAAGGTAACTAACGGACATCTAATAGCCTCTGCATCCATTAATCAACGAGCCACGAATAGTAGCTTGCATAGTCCCAGAATCACAATCTTTTCTAGCACAGCTAGCCAAACTTCAGGAGCTACAATCCAACGTTTGGTATTTCCACCAGGTTTTGTCCCAAGTCCACGACAATTCGTTGACCAAAAAGCCCTCAGAAATGAACAGACTGGAAAGGTCAGTTGCTTCAAAAAGGATTCCAGCGCTCATGAAGGAATCAACACAGCCAGTCGCTTTGTGCCTTTCCAACTGCGTCCAGTCTTTGAGTCATACAATTGAGAGCGTCAATTCCGACATGTTTCGCTTGGTTGACGTGACTGCCATAGTCAGTTTAATTTTGGAACTGTGCTTGGACATCTTCCGCATCGTTCAAGCAGACGACTTTGACGAGGGAATATTCCAAACGTATTTGCAACTTGGACAGTCTGTTTATTCACGCTTCAAAGATGTTAAGCTTGATCTAGTCACGGTTCTATCTCAATCTCTTGATACCTTCCGTGCCAATTGGGGCCTGTCTACCGGACAGAGTATGCAGAGGATGTGGAACAACTGGAGGCCAGCCACACCAATTGACTCTGATCATTTGAAACTGATGACAGACTTGCAACAAGTTGCTGCCCGCTTTGATCACATTACTCTCAAAACAACACTTCCCTTCCCACAACTCAACCGATTTCGCCATTCGCTAGTGCAAGCGCAAATCACACTGCTACAGGGGGCAGAGGCGAATGGTCTGATTCAGGTATGGAGCAGAGACTATATCTCCCTTTCAGATATAAGCTGACATGATTACAGGACCTTCAACAAGTGATTAATGACCTCGAAACTCGCGTGCTAGATTCCAGCTTGGTGTCATGGCCTTACTTCTCCTTGGAGTTTGAAGCTCTGTCCCAGTACCATGATCTTAATGATTCCAACTCACCCAGTAATTCGGACACAGCACCTCTGTTCCCTGGTGTGCTGCAGCTACTTGCAGGACGCCCATCTCGTCCCCATGATATCTCGATCCTCGCGAACCCCATCCCTGAGCTTCTGTCCAGAATTTCACGGTTCTCAGGTTTCCAATCCTTCTCACGTAAAGCATTTGCCCTTCGCGGAACCATTTCATTGTCATTGATAGAAAAACTAACATCTCTTGGAAATGTGCCTTTGAAAGGAATGGCTCTCCTTGGTTCTGAACTTAATTTCATAGCTAAAGGCTTCTGCTCGAGCACCAGCCAAATCGTGCATGATCAGTTTTCGATGCTCCAAAAGCAACTAACAATGGTGCTTCAAGAACTTTTGTTTTGCCATAAGGATTTAATCGACCCTGCTTGCTTCCAAAACGCAAATTCCTATCTACAGCTGTTTAGTCATGACTTTCAAGCAAATCAGCTGGTCAATGTCCAGATATTACAGCTAAAACTGAGAGATACTTTGGATAAACAACACTACTTTAATGAATTTGCGTCGAGGTCGTTCACTAAAATTCTCTCCGCGCTTTTGAGATTCGATGACGGGAGCCCGGTGGCATACCTTCACTTGGGAGCCGCCTGTATCCACCTTGCTATGGCATGCCTTCGACTCTTCGTGCCAAATCGTCCTTTCGATCCGTCACTTAGTTTGGTTGTACAAAGACAACAATACATTCAACGCGCCATGGAAAAAGTTAAGAGACTCAAAGCATTGAAAGAATTTGAATCTTCATTCTCAGGGCAAGAGTCGAGCTTACGTATTCGGATTGTCGAAGAAGAGCTGCGCTTATTAGGTTCTGCGCCGCCCTTGCCGCCGGTTTCTCGGCCCCACCCCTCCCAATCCAGTGAACTACAGGGAGAGTTTATTAACCTCTTAAATTCGGTTTTGAACGAGAATCCTGATACAATTCTCAATTCCCTCCAGGATATGACCAAATTGAATCCTATCACTAGAGTCCACCAACGAGGCGAACTTTTACGGAAGAATATCCAGCAAATATGTTTTCGCCTCACCACAAATTATACGGCATACGGCGACCTAGTCATTCCCATCGTCCGTTTCCTGGAGTTGCTTCATCTTGGTGTAGACTTAGTTCTGCGTCCCAAACTTAATTCCGGAGCAGAGCAAGGTTGCAGCATCTGGACTATCAGCCAAATGACACCGTTGATGAACGGGGGAAAGGTCAATCTCTCCGAACTGAAACCAAAAGAATCTCGCCTACCTAACTCGGAGAAGATAGAGATTGGATTGCAGCGGCTTTCAGTGCTGAAAGCGTTCCAAAATACGGATCCTGAGACTCTTTCAAGTGCCTCAAATCGTGAACTTCTCCGTGATATTTTCCAAGACATTTTCGCTATTTGGAAACAGCAACTGGAAGTTGATCAGAATAAAGAAGCTCAAAGGTCGAACCTATACCGGTATCGAGGATCGTTCGAGGATGACCAGGAAGTAGATGCCGATGAGTTTTTTCAGCTATTCCCGTCGTTTGATGATGGAATTGAAAGTGATCCTGAAAATGCAGCTGTTGCAAATTTTGACACCAAAGTTGTTTCTCTGAAGCTATTTCGTGTGCTTAGTAGTCTGTTCTCTGAGAATGATAAGGAGTCGACACTGCGGCATTTAGTGATGGATTCCACGAAGCTCCTTGGCTTGATCATGTCCAATGGCTCTCCAGAACTTCCGGTCGCCGACCCCAAATCGCATCTGCTTGGCGCGATTCTGTTGCTAGACGAGATAAAAACCGCAAAGTCACCCACTTCTTACAACTTTTATACAGATCCGAATTTGGTGGAAGGTGAGAAGCTCGCAGATCTGGTTGAAAGAATACGGCTGCGTTTCACAGAACTTCAAAAAACATGGCCGGAACATGCCACCCTGGGGGATGTTATTACCTGTTGCGGCGAGATCTTCTTATTCAAGCATCAGGAACCTCTGGCGAAATTCATCACCAAAGCAGAAAAACTTCATTCATTCATCTATGAGTGGCAGCTTGTGGCAAGTAAGGAGTTTTCTGCTGCTAAGTGTTATGATGATTTAACCGCCCTTCTAATAAGTTGGCGACGCATTGAACTATCTACATGGGCTCGCCTGTTGGACATCGAAAATGAAAAATGTGATAAAGATGCGAGCGCCTGGTGGTTTGTTGCCTATGAGGTGGTAATTGCGGCGCCACTTTTACTAGTTCAAGACGGTCACCCATTAACTGAGCACTCAATCGATCTTATCGCTACCCTTGAGAAATTTATTTGTTCCACCCCAGTGGGCCAATACAAGTCTAGACTTCAACTCATCGAAAAGTTCAAGATGCTATTGCAGCTCTACGCATCAGATTTCCCTTCCCTAGACCATTTGAGCGGTGCCATAGACAACCTTCTTCACCACTACCTCCCTTTTGTGCCAATGATTGAAAAATCACTCAATGAGGGTCGGCAATCATTAGAGCGTGATATTCAGCAAACTATTCAGTTGGCAAGTTGGAAAGACACAAATATTAACGCTCTTAAAGAAAGTGCACGCCGGTCTCATAATAAATTGTTCAAAGTCGTTCGAAAGTATCGCAGTCTTCTTGGCCAGTCCTCGGAAGGCTTTTTGATAAAGGGGCTCCCTGAGCTGCCGGATCACACAGAGCCCTTATCGGATAACCGTATCATACCGCCCAGCCCTGTTTCTCCTGGTGCACTTAACATATGCCGCGAGAATATCCATGCTTGGGATCAGAGAGCTATTCGATTTATGGACCCCGACGGGGCGGTCAAGAGCATGCAACGCGTGTACGAAAATTCTCTAACCGGGTTATTGGCTCACGAGGAGCTTGACGTGTTCACTCGCGACGTAATTGATACTATAGCCGAATTTAAATCAGAAACTCCAAAGACCCTGACAGATGAAAACAAACGCGAGATCCAGCACCTGAAAAATAGGAAAAAGCGATTTTATGCGGAAAAGCTTAAAGACCTTCGTTTCATGGGGATTCGTTCTAACGTCGGGACTGATGTTCTTGATAGTCAAAGATCTGTTGCTGCTGTACTCTCTACGACACGCAGTCTCATACCATCAGCTGCATCAGGTCAAATCAGAAGTGCGGACTGTTACTTCCACCGATTTTTGGACTTGGTGCCCAGAGTGCGGATTTTGTCGCACGGGTATTCTGAAGACCTTAGTAACGTTGAAGTTGCAAGGAGCGTAGGATCTATTGAGGCACTCCTTCACTGGATATTAAAGCAAAGAGAAACGCTGTCGTCGAAATTGGACAACTATACCGCGATAGAATCCACGGTACAACAAATGAGGACTGTATCAAACCCTGAAAATGATCTATTATTCAGAAGTATCGGCTTCGCTTCAGATCACCGTGACCTTCGAGGATCGATACGGTGGCTTTCTACTATCATTGGTGTCTGCATTTCTACCCTTCAGATTCATGCAAAGCTTGCTGAGATTGATTCGTCTGAAGTTTTAAAAGCACTAAGTGATTGGAAAGAGTGTCTTAGATCGTTACTAGCCTCTATTGAAAACTTGGAAGCTCTACCAGCTGGGTTATCTACAAGCATCCATGAGAAACTATTTTCCGACGCCCGGAGATTAGTTATAAACATACGATCCGATGTGCTGAGATGGATCAATGAACATGCTGAGATGGCTTTCGCATTGGAAAAGATTGTTCCGTGGACAGAATCGAGCACTACAACAGCAGCACAAGACTGCAACGGTCAAATCAACATTTCGGTTCAAGAGTTTGACTCTCTACTCTTAACCGCAATGGACAAAATATTCATTGCCATGCAAAGGATTAGTTTTTCCCTATCAGCAGCTCCGTCATCCAAAGATACCCCAGCCTGGCTGGCAAAATCCGAACAAACGATATCAAAAGCCTGTGCAGAGCTCCACATGATGGATGTAGCCACTAGCATTTGCTCAGTGTTAGCTCGGATTCAGGATATATCTGCGACAAATCCAAATTGTCTTGCAGTGGTTGGCGCCGCGATATCCATTGTAATGCCAATTACAGAACAATATAAGGCAATATGTAATGACATTCTCCACCGATATTCCACCCTTCATCGGGAGATTTGCAAAATGGCTTATCTCCTAACAAAGTCATTTAACCATATCGCCTCAGAGGGGTTCTGTAGCCCTTCTGAAAGCTCAGGTGAGAAGGGAAAGTCAAACCAGTTGGAAAGCGGGACTGGACTTGGAGGTGGAGAGGGGGCTGAAGATATTAGCAAAGATGTACAGGATGATGAGGATTTGTCTGAATTAGCTCAAGAGAAGCAGAAAATGGATGGGGAGAAGGACGAACAGGAAGAAGCAGATGATGCTGTGAACATGGACCAAGAAGATCTTGAGGCAGATTGGAGTGATTTTGAAGATGAACAGGAGAAGGACAAGGGGAATGGCTCAGACAAAGGGGAGGAGGACGATATGAATATTGATGAAGAAACAGGTAGTGTTGATGAGCTGGACGTGTCCACAGTTGATGAAAAGATGTGGGACGGATCAAAGGATCAAGAAAAAAAGGATACTGAAAATGACCAAGGAAAAGGAGAACCGGAATCGGGGGATAAAACTGCTGCCTCTGACAAAACAATTGAGAAAGATGGTCAAGATGGAAACGGAGAGGAAAGCGAAAACGAGGACTCAGAACCTCCTGATGATGAAGGAGAAGCCATTGGCAGGGAAGATATGGATATAGCTGATCCGCATGCGAAGGAAGAACCAGTGCTCGATTTACCCGAAGACATAGAGCTGGATGGGGCAGAAAACGAATGTAAAGACGACTCTGATTTGGGTGATGACCTAGGGGGAATGTCAGATGATAATGAGAGTAAATGGGAAGGCGAACCGGACGCTGCAGAACCAAATAACAACCAGGATCCCGATTCTCAAGAGCAACACGAGGGTAAAGACCATGAAGAAGAAACCAGCGACGAATGTGAGGATAGTGAGACCCACCAAGGGGAACCTAAGGCTGAGGCCGAGACAGTGCCAGAGGAGGAGAAGGAAGGACTCTTGGAAGTGGAAAGAACAGATAATCAAGCAGATCTGGAGAGTGTCGCTTCAAGTGAGAAAGTTCCTGATGGTCTAGGTGTCGACCAAGATCAAAATCAAGAAAAGGGAGCATCTGGCAAGGCAACCCAGGAGCATGGCTCTAAAGACGAGGACCAGGAGCACAACCCGCCGACAGGAAATGCTGACCAGGGTGAAAACGGGAAGGATGCTAGTGATGCATTGGGCGGTCGAGATGATGGCAAGCTTCACGATTCTCTAACACAAGCTTTCAAAAAACTTGGCGACATTCTCGAGCAATGGCATCGCCGACAACGACAGATCAAGGAAGCCTCCGATAACCAAAACACTCCGCAGAATCAAACGCAGGATACTAACATGGAAGACGCGGATTTTGAGCATCTTGCCGACGATCAGGATACTGCAGATACTCAAGCTCTTGGTCAAGCAAGCGAGGAACAGGCCAAAACCCTTGATCAAACCAACGCTGTGGAATCCGACATGAATCTAGAAGAAAGCGAGTTCCTTCCAGATGCTGGCGAACTTGAAAATCTCCCTGTTCAACCATTTTTAGAGGACCAAATGGATTTGGACCAGAAACCAGGTTTACCAGAGAACCATGCATCGAGTTCACTTGTTGCGGGCGACAAGTTTAGGGACAATATGCCAGCCGATCACAATAGTCAAACTGAGGAGTGTCAAGAAGTGGAAGACATGGATACTCATTTATCTGAGCTCCACGTCAGTTCAGAATTGGCTCCATTGACACCCCGGGAGGAAGCCCAACGACTGTGGTCTCACTACGAGTCACTTACTCACGACCTCTCTCTCTTGCTAACCGAACAGCTACGGCTAATCCTTGCACCTACAATGGCGACGAAGCTTCGGGGTGACTTCCGGACTGGAAAACGGCTCAACATCAAGCGAATCATTCCGTACATCGCATCTCAATACAAACGTGACAAGATATGGATGCGACGATCTGCCCCTTCGAAGCGAAGTTACCAGATCATGCTTGCCGTTGACGACAGCAAATCAATGCTCGAGAGTGGCAGCGGCCAACTCGCTTTCGAGACGCTGGCCCTTGTGGCAAAAAGTCTAAGCATGCTAGAGGCAGGGGACCTCTGCGTTCTCAGTTTTGGAGATGAAGACCACGTCCGCGTGGCTCATGAATTTGGCAAACCTTTCTCGTCTGAAGCAGGCGTCCGGATCTTCCAGCAATTCAGCTACCAACAGACTGGCACAAATGTTCGAAAGCTTATCTCAGACTCGATTGCTCTGTTCCGAGAAGCAAAAGTGAAACGTTCACGTTCGAGTGGAAGCAGAGACCTCTGGCAGCTGGAACTCATCATATCGGATGGAATCTGTGAAGATCATGAAACCATTCGCCGGCTAGTTCGACAGGCACAGGAGGAGCGAATCATGATAGTATTTATCATTGTCGATGCAGTGAATGGTAATTCTATTCTTGATTTAACACAAGCTAGTTTCGAGCCTGACGGCCTAGGAAATGGGGAGATGAAGTTGAAAATGAAGCGCTATCTCGAAGGGTTTCCATTTGCGTATTATCTTGTGGTTAGGGCTGTACAGGAGTTACCGGATATTTTAAGTCTGGCGTTAAAACAATGGTTTGCGGAGGTTGTTGATGTATCCGGATAGAATTTTGTACCATTGCATTACCACTGTAGACTGGGTTCTGGGTTGAGTACTCCTCTGCATGTTAGCGATGTTTGAATGATATTTTCTATTATAATACCTCCTGTGCATAGTTAGTTGCCGGGTTTTGCTTAGCTAAATCCCTTTCTTTAACTAATTAACTGGTTAACTATATTTACTAAAGTTATTTTTATTTATCACTTTATATTGACTTAATAGTTTCCTGAGTGTAGAATTATCATTAAAGCCTTTAATTTTACAATGAACACAGACGCCCTCGCCGATCAGTGGTGATCGGTGTAGAGAGCAAAAGATAATAGGAGGGAATTTATATCAAGTTTTTATATTCATAAATGCAACAGGAATATGTGACAGTAATGAGCAAGTTGCGCTCTGATCAGATTCTATATTGCAGACTACCCAAATGCAACAAATTACATCAAATTTGCAAACTCCAAATACCAACCATGAGACTAATATGCCCTCCATTTCCCGTCGATCAAGTCGTACTAAGTGCTAGAAATGTGCTGGGTATAAGACCTGGGAGAGAATACTATCTGGGAGAAGGATGTAGGGACCTCCGATAGCCTCCTGGTCATATTTTCAGGGACAGCCTCAGTCCCAATCCCAAGCAAAAATACACAGCCATCTGTTTACCATCCATACTTACTTCCGGCTTCCTTCTTATTCCTTTTCCCTGTCGCAAAGCTCTCCTCCAGCGCCTCGCGCTGACTACTAACCGCATTAACCAGCTGCTGCAAACTGTGCTTACCCGGAGCAATCGCACGGACGGGATTATGTTGCTGGGCGGCCAGCTCAACTTCTGATGCTGACAGGAGATATGCAGCATTTGAGGAGTACTCCTGGTCTGTGTTGAATGTGATGATGTTGTGGTTGGAATGTCCTGCACCGGTGGAATTAGATGAAGAGGCGCCTTGGCGACCGAGCAGTTGGCGCTTTTCGGCGCGAGAGAGGTTTAGATCATCAGCTATGCTGGCGAGGGTTTGTTGCCGCTGCTGTTGTTGTTGGTTAGACGCAGGTGGATCGAACGGTTGGGATCCTGAAGATGCCATTGATGTTGTTATTGGGGGTTGAGATCCTGCTGGCGCGTTGTATACCAAAGGTTCATAGCTAGAAGAGGAAACCTGTGGAATAGGTGCTGGTTGTTCTTCTTTACCAAGTCCAAAAAGGCTAACTTTTGGTTTCTGAGCTGGCTTAGCAATGGGATCGCACACTTTAGTCTGCTGCTTTGTGACAGCAGACTCAACAACTGAAGCAGGCTTTCCTCCCCCCGATATAGCTTGAGAGGGCGATGCCACAGTGGTCTTCACTTTTTTCTTCGTGGTGCCCCTAGCCACTGAGAGCGGTTTGAACATCATCGCATTTCCCTTGGATTTAACAGCCAGCTTCTCTTCTACTTTCTCCCCAAAAGCGCCAGTTATCCCGTCGCCAGAAGCACCACCGCTACCGCTGCCTGTGCTCGTACCTTCTCTACCTCCCTCCTTTGTCCCAGAGTTAGCATTATTATTAAGATCCCACCTCATTTGCGCATCAGCCTGCCTATCAAACCCTGGCTCTGCGCCCGTCTTCAAACTGGAAATCCTACGTGCATGTGCCGCTGCTACCCCATCCCCTTTCTTATCTGTTCCAGTTTGAATAACAGGCCCCTTCCGCTTGGGCGCGGGGAGCAAAGAGTTGAATCCCGAAAACGCACCGCCACCGCCTTGGGCACCTATTCTGGGGCGTTTCCTTGCAGGACCATCGCCATCATCATAAGTATTGCTATCTCCCTGCACATCGGGCAGGCTCACAAGGATTTTGCGTGGGTTTTTTCGGTCAATGAGAGGTTGGAAGGTTTGTTTGGTAGTGGTACTCGTGGATGATGCGGGGAGGGTAGATATCTTCTCTCCTGGAGCTTGAGTAGTGGGAGTAGATTCCAAATCTGAGCCTTCAGAATCCGAATATGATACCAACGCCATGGCTGTAAGATGAGTTGTGTTTATGAGTTTGGATCGTTGATCGTTCTACCTTTGTTGCCTCCGCTTCCAAAATCCAGGCCAGTATTAATATGTCACGTGATATCAAATCGAGATCTGGCTGTGGGGCCTCGAGTTCCAAAGGGGCATTCCATTTTCACAAAAAAGTTATCTGGAGATGACAGACATTAGTTGGTAAAATAGATGCTAAATAATATTTCTTATTGGTTTGGCAATACGGTTAAAGAGGCGTGTGGTCGTCCTCCGGGCTCTCACCTCCGGATATGCAACCCCTTGGTGTCAGGAGGCAAGAATTTGAGGAATCCGAAAATTATAAATGCCGGGGTTGAAACTAGTTACATTTATATATGGCAAAAATAGTTCAAGACAAACCTTAATTTTATGACCCCTGTTGTCTATCCAGCAAAACGAAGGCATCCTGAAAAAGAGTATTTTTAAAAACAGATACCTAGCGGGAAGAAACCAATATTACGACCTGCTGCTCTCCTGTCTCAACAGGGTCTGTTTAGCAATCCTCAGCTCAAGCGCCACAGCATTATCCATCTCATCCAGTTCAAAGATAACTTCATCAATCGAGACACGCCCATACGCTATGCCATCAACTGACGCCCAGCTGCCGCAAACGCCACTAAAAACCGAGTCGGCCGTCACATTGTTAATAGCGACTGTGTTTGGAATATCCAAAAGAACACGAAAGGATGTTCGTGACTTGACTGACTTGCACGAACTATCGGTGTACTTTGCCTTTAACCCGGTGGGCTGGAGGCGGAGACCTATCTTCGAGATGGGTTCGGTTCTTCGGAAAAGGGAAGAGAAGTGAACTTCCAGCGGGACACCATTGACGGACATCGAGTCAATTATGAGCCCCGGGATTTCACCTTTTCTATTGCCTCGAATCTCAAGCACAGTTGCATTTTTATTTTCTGTCCCTGTGGAGGATGAGTACGTTCCAGCGTAGTCTGCTACAGCTCGAATTCTGGCTGCCTCGTCCAGAGCGTCCCTGAGCAAATCGATAATCAGGTCCGTTAGCAGTGATCTTTGGGTACCGGGGTTAGCGCCGGCAGTTAGGATAGTAAAGCCAACGTCGTGGTCAGGGCTCAGGCCGAGGATCGAGCCATATTTGTTCAAGTCACCGGATTTTGTATAAAAGTCAATTGTTCTAGGATGAGATGTTCGCAAAATCTCCCAAGGGCTTCCAACGGAGATTCTGAAATCGGAAGTGTGAGAATTAGGTTTTAGCCAACGTCTGGTGTCTGCTGGCGAAATCAGACGAGATTGGAGAATTGACTGACCCACGAGAGCCAGGTCATTCGCACTTGAATAAAATCCCGCTGCAGGGTTGGATGAGTCAAGCGAAGCGTTCCATTCAGCTGACACAGTATCAAATGGGATAATTCCCCAAGACGTAGGGGGCATTTTGACTCCGAAACGTTTGAGTTTTAGTGGGTCGATGAGCGAACGCTTGACTGATTCTTCAAACGAAACTTTTGTTATCCCTTCAATAGCGTATCCCAAGATATCATAAGCAGGATTAGAGTATATCGGAGTGCTGAAGGGAGCAAACACTGGATCACGGTTTATGAACTCCTCGAACATCTCTGAAAGGAGAAGAGATTTTTTAGTGGTCATGCGAACCTATGAACAAGGTCTACATTGGCACGTACCTCTCCGACTGCATGGCTTGTAGACAAAACCTTTGAAACCGCATGTGGGTCTCTCAGAATCACTTAATGGTGGAAATCCTAACTGAGTGGCTTCCGATTGATTGAAGGTGAGCGCGAGATCGTTGAAATAAGCTAATAATAAGTTAGGATAGGTACATCCAGAGAAGATGCAACGCAACTGGAAACCTTGCCTCGTCCAAGTCCAGATAGCTGTCCCGCAAGAGAGCCAAGTGTAATGTCTCTCCATTGTGGGAAGAGTGTAGCGTCTGGGCTATCACCATTCGTCTTGATTGCCTCCACAATTTCGGGAACAAATCTTGCGACTGGCTCGTCTAGTTTGCCGAAACCTGCTTCGATCAAGAGCGTATATACAGTGATAACTTTCGAGACACTGGCTATTCTATACATTGTATCACCATTGAGTTTCTGGCCTTTGGCTATTGAGCCCTTGAGACCAGGAGCATCGTGGTAGTATGTGTATAGCAAAGAATCCTCATAGGCCGAGAATATGTTAACTGAAAAAGATGTTGAGTTAGCATTCAAGCCGGATGGATGGCTAAGAAGGTTTTTGAGGTTCGACTCGAATTCCGCAATTGCTTTCTTCCAGGTTGATATGGAAGAAAGTCCGCGAGGTGGGGGGAAAATTGGTCCAAGAAGAGGGCACTCCGCCGCGTAAAGACTTTTGCAGAACAACAGAGTCAAAACGGATGGGATGAAATATGGCAACATATTAATTTTAAATTAGTGAAGTCGCATGTGGTCTCAAGTAACAAAGACACCGCCGTAACAGCGATTACCAGAAGACTATAGTTTTTCCCCACGATGATATTTCTATGCTGAAGCAAGTGGGGCACACGGCTATTTGTAGCTTCTGTACTCCACAAACCGCGGGCTGACAACCACAAAAAAGGTATATAAAATGACCCGCTGGAGTTCGCCCCTATTTTGCAATTGGGCTCTGCGTAGCTGAAAGGCCTCTGATGGACCGAAAAACTCAAAAATGCCGCATTTTTTGAGAGGGCAGTTCACCCAGAGTTCAAAAATGACTAGCCAGCCAGCGGCGGTCAAATCCACGGTGGCGCATGAAAACGTACGTCAAGATCGAAGGGTGTGCAAGAAGACCCTTGGTTTCACTGATACGCAGGCTTGCATGGCGTAGATTTTCGTGAGTTGAATCCGCCAGGTTAATGCGAGAGTGCCAAATTCAAACGATGTGTCCAGAGACAGAAAATCATAAAGAAACCAATACGCTCATAAAAGACTGGAGTTTATCGAAATAATTCAGCGAATAAGAGCTAGTAGTAACGTCCAAATTTCAGAGCTCCTCATCCAGCTATCTGCTAAAGTTGGGGCTGCGTGACGGGATGATCAACACTCGCAGTGATGATCCAAAAGAGGGGAACGCGAGATAATGATCTTCAACCATTCTTCATGTGTCTCAAGGGACCATTGCAGATCCAGTTGTGATATGCCATCACTGTTCAATTGCGAGTCTGCGACTACAGTCGTCATTGGCGTGAAAACTGAAGACCTCAGGCTGTTCACGATGTTGTTGATTTAAAGCTGGCCCCGCAATTATTCACACTCTGTCCCACCACTTTTCGGACTTCTCCTATTCTGCGTTAGAGCTCACTTTAACCTTAACCTTACCCTGGCAGCAAAAAAATCAGCGAGTTCAACTGCATCGATCCTCATCAGTAAGTTACATATGCGTCAACTTGATTCGCCCGCTGTTTCTTGACGGTCGCGTCGACCTGAGCTCTCAGGTCACCAGGTAGGGTCCATATTTTTGGTAAAACCAAGAACAGCCCAAGCACGACGAAGTTACGCAGCCTGACGTGGTCAACATGATTAGGTTCCGGCTTTTTTAGTCTTGTGTCAGTCGATGCTAATCGCCGACAAATAGACGAAATTCATTCGACGAGTAATTATAAAGACACGGGTGGATGTGGCTGAAGAATGAAAGCAGTGTACGCGTTTCATCTTAATTCTAGAACAAGTAATTTCTAGCTAGAACTTTGGCAGTGATGTCATGCAAAAGAATAGGCAGTCAGTGGTCCGTGCTATGTCATTGCAGCGAAGGTATTGAGGTCGTCGAAAATTCGTCATTCTATGAAGAAATTTCGCATCCAAGTGTCGTATCAGGGGGGTAACAGTCTTATGGCGACTGGGCTTCTGGTGTGGCAGCACGTTCAACTAAACATCATAGGAACTCAGATGTCCCCCAAACCCATACGGCGTAAAAAAGCGTAGATTCTCAGAAATTTTCTAATTTCCAATCCTGGAAATGCGTTGACCAGGAGAATATTAAAACAACGCTTCGTTTACCTCACTTATCTGCCCGCCCGCGCTGCTCCACCCACATGCGATCCAGTATCTGAAATACCTCTGTTGCGCTCCTGACAAGCTGCTCCTCCATGCCAAGAGATCCATATCGATGCTGCATTTTATCCGGATGCCATCTGACACGCTCGATCTTCAATACAGCAAGAAGAGCAGATGGGTGAGAACATGATTTCTCCCCCGCAAGGCGACCAGGCGTATCTGCGGGAGTGGGCATCGGTGCATTTCGTATGAAAGCCTCAACAGCCTCAGGTGTGATATCCCTGCGCTTCCCCGATTCAACAGGCCAACAAATGAGGTTTCGTAATTTTCCATGACTATCATTTTCAGTTGAGCGCTTGTCGGGATCCAGCACTGTGGCAGCAGTAACAGGATCGTCATTTTTCGATGTCAAAGTTGAGGGTAAAGGTGCACCTCCACCACTGGTAGTAGCAACAGCAGCGGCAGCACGGGCACGCACATTCAAATCCTCCCAACTATCTAAATACCGCCTCCAGACATCCAGCCAAACATCCGCCTTACGTTTCTTCATCTTCCGCTCCTGGCCCCTCCGCAAACTCTCTTCAATCATCCTCTCAAACTCCTCACGTTCACCCTCCCACCCCGTCCCATTACCTCTCCTAGCCTCGTCCCGCCGCCTCTCCAGCTCTTTCCGCCTCCGTTCCCTCTCCTCAGCAATAGCCTCATGCGTCTTCTCCCACATGCGCGCACGAACGTACGCAGCATACTCTTCATCCGTCATCTGCTCCAACTCCCCGCCGCGATCCAGACGCGGATAGATGTGGATTGGCTGACCATATACCGATTCCCAGTATGCCGCGCCCTCATCGTCAGCTAGGGCATCGAAAAGGGATTCACGGAATGCATCGTTGGGAGGCATAGTGGATGGGTGGATACGGTCAGTAGCGGTCTGGGAGTGGTGGGAGGATTTGTGATGCTTCGAGGAGCGGTGATGGCGATGGTGATGACGCCGGTGATGACGCTGGCGGGATGATGAGGATGTTTCGGCGTCACCGTTACCCACTAGGCCTCCTGTTTTTGATCTGGAGGTTGAGTTGTGATGTTTGGATTTGAAGCGAAATTTACTCCGCTGGGCAGTCGAATATTCGTCATCCATGTTTAACAATGGATATATTTATGATTTGCCGCAGGGATCTGTGAATGCCGCTCCGATTGTCAACAATGCGAATGTCAGATTCGAGGATAGCAAGGCCTCTGAAGTAGCATGCAGGTAACTGAATGTCACATTTGGCCAGAGAAGGGCATGCTACGCCATGTCACGGACGCCGTAGAATAGTTGTGAAGCAGCAAGCGCGGGATCAAACTTGCCATCAGTATTGTTTAGGATAGCAACTTTGGCTAAGTCAAGGATATATAACTGAACGACTGTATCACACATCGCAAGACTAGGATATCATGGGTCGTAGCGGTAGGTAGACATACAGTTCAACGGCGTAATCAGTTTCGGGGGGTGAGAGGTTTAAATGTTAAAATCTAAACTCCAAATTCTTGCTTGCCATGAATAAGATCACATGACCGAGAGAAGTTCCCCTCCGAAACCCGAACCTTAATCGAGCGGTTACTCTGGGCGCCGTTAGGGGATGACGGGCCGAGTCCGTCCCCTGAACTTTTAGAGCTTTGGACAACGGCTTTAACTATAGAGCACCCGGAGGTCTAGTACTTCGGGCGTATTTACAGCACTTGGACACCAAATTTCCCACCAGCAGAGAATTTGAAGGGTCAGTAAAGGTATTTTGACGCTTTCATACATCCATTCCAAGCTTCTCAAGGATGGAAACCTCGAAGGTTGGAAATTCAGCATGGTGACACGCGAGAGGCGCAAACAAAAAATAGAAAAGAGAAAAGAGAAGAGAAGGGAAGAGAAGAGAGGGAAAAAAGAGGAAAATAGGAAAAAGAATACAAAGTACAAGGACAAGACAAATGCCAAATAGTTGAAGTCAAGCACTTCTGGATTTGCTTTGACGATTGATGTTTTGTATTTATGTATGTACGTATGTTATGTGTGTGTAGGAGGGATGTTTTAGGGCATAGTTGTTGCCCAAGAAATTTTGATGAGCTTTATCCAAGGATCCGAGGATGAGGGAAATGAGGTATGTGAGGAGATGAAAAGATAACGGACAGAGAAAAAAAATATAAAAATAAGCAAAGGTAACCGGAAGACTTAAAAGGTATAAAAAAGCAATAGGGGAATAAGAAATGATGCATGGATAAATTTGGTTACATTATAAAGAATCCAATGCATGCATGCACCGGGGAACGCACCATACACACGAATCAGTAAAAGTCAGAAAAAAGAATTTCAATCTATCAGCAACAGGAAAAGGGAGCTTTATAAAAAAAACAGAAGACAAGACGAGGGTAAAAATGAGAATCAAAACCTTCGCTTTTGACTGGCCCTATACGCCGTGAATCCAACATACACAGCAACAACAAGAGCCAGGAACAAAACAACCTTAAACAAAAACCACAACCACCCACCACGACCACGATCACGACCAGCACTACCACTCCCATCATGCTGCCTATAATATGCCGGCCCCTTCCCCGTCTCGGACAATACCTTCTCCTTCTTCTTCCCCACAGCATCGGCCCGCTGGTTCGCGGGCACCTGGCTATAAAGCGAGTACGTATTAATAGCGATGATGTCATGATTATCGCTCAGTTCACCCGTTTCGGCGGAGAGACCTAGGTAGGCAACTGTGGGGATATTGATGTGTTGTTCGTCGGAGGCTTTGATGGTGAAGCAGGGGGTCCAAGAGTAGTCGGATTTGTATTGGAGGTCGAGGGAGAGGTAATTGTCTTGGAAGTAGGTTAAGCGGGCTTTGGTGGGGATTGAGGCGCCACGAAGGCCTCGGGCCTGGTTTTGATTCATTAGCTTTGAAAGGGGGATCAAAAGTGGTAGGGAAAAGCAAAAGATGGGGTTTGAGGTCTGCTTCTTCATACCGAGCAACCGGCAATTTCATTTGCCTTTCCGTCATGAGCCTGATCATATGCCGTATTCCCATCACCTATCATTGCCATAACATACGGGAACGTCACAGACGCCCGGCTATTCTTATACATGTCGAAGAAGATGCCCAGACCCTGAAATTTATCCGTGGATCCGAAGACAGGACCTTTCGTCGCGCGTTGCTTAGTGAGCCATAGCGCCATGCCATCTCCATGAAGGTTTCCTTCGCTATGGATATTGAATTCGAGTTCGATCTATAAAAGTGAAGCAGTTTAGTTTCCGCCCGATTTTTCACTTTTCGTCCAATTTACGAGAGAGGAAGTAACCACCAACCTGCCAATTAGTTGCAGTTAGGGGTACGCGCGAAAATAGCCAACCTTGCCGCGATTGGAGAGCTGGGGTGAGACGGATGTATCTAATTTCCCAATCGACAAGAGTAAGTGGATCTATTGGCTTCTTCTAGGCTGCGGAAATGGAACTATAGTCATGAATGGAGAGAAGATTGGAACACTGAGTGGAATAGGAGGGCCGGAGACATACTGATCAGCACGAACAACAGTATCACCTCCAAAATCGAACCAACGATTATCCGAATCGGAGTCTAAGTATGGCTGCAGAACGGGTGCATATCTCAATAGGAGCTCAATCTAAGATTGCTTCTTTGTTTCTTTCCAACATACCTGAGTAAGAGTGTATGCTTTCATCTAGATATGCAGGGAGGGCATAAGGATCAGTAAGGATTTCGAGCGGATATAAGAACTGGAATAAGGAAAAGACACAGCACATACAGGAACTCGTTTAACATCAGGATGATTTTCGAAGTCATTAGGATCTTCGGAGGTATGGCCCAAACCCAGGCCTAGCCCTAACATCCATAGCCAGAGGCACGGGAGCAATCGTAACAGCATTGTTCGTCGTCACAGGGCGGAGGCGGGAGGCCGTAAAGAGGGGTGTTAAATAAGTTTTAATGGTAAATCCAGTGGGGAGAAAACGGTAGTAGGAAAGAATGTAATGAGGGAGAAAGCGTAGAGGTAAAAGAATTATAATTTAGGGGTTCGTGTCACCGGGACATCAGGGTATCGAATATATGCCCTTCACGGAAACAGGAATTCCTATTTAATATAGCGGGCCAATGTTTTTGTATGATGAGGATAAGGAAGTAGATTTGGGAAACGAGTGTGGATGGATGAACATTCAACGCATTGAGGACTGCGTTTTCTTGATTCTCCGCAAATAGTCAGTATTAAATTAGGAAATTATAGGAAATTGAAATTATACAGCATATAGAGCGCAGCCTGTATTCTTAGCGAGTGTTGAAAGCCGAAGACACTGCGAGTGTTTATGATGTTGATGTTCAATCTGTCCACTTCCGCTTGCGAGCTGTGTCCAGCAACAGAGTCATGTGATTTTGCTTGTGCTGAGGTAACTAAACAAAAGAAAAGTAAGTTAACTTAAAAAATCAATATAAAAATAAATAAAAAGATTTCAACATGAATTATCTACAGTCAATCACATCTAATTAAATTAAAATAAATTACACTAGGATTAGAACATCATAAATATTTAACAACTATAATAATTAAAATACTAATATATAAATAGATATAACTTTATTTTTATTATAAACTTAAACTAAAATAAATATTTATATGAAGAATTTAATTTAATCTTTTATAACTTAATTATTTAAGTTAATATAAATCTTGTTGATAAATTCAATATTTGAAATAATATATAAAAATTAAATTTAATTTAATATATTAACTATTTTAATACAGTTATTTATATTTTTCAGATTAAATTTTATATATAATAATTATTATTATTAAAGTTTCAAATCAATTTTAAATAGTTTTCTATTTTTATATTTATTTATTTATTTATAATTATATTGTTTAAAATAACTGGTTAACTAGTAACTTTATATTATTTAATTAGTTTAAAACTTAGTTTTTATTAGTTTATATAAAATAATTTATAAAATCATATAACATAATATAATTAATATTATATATATTATAATTCTAACTGAGAAAATAGTTTTTATTTACTCAGATTTAAAATCTACTAAACTAGCTAATTCTCTTCATTCTCAATCAATTCTATGTAAATTTTGTATGTTGAGAAGATCTTGAAAGCTATTTCCTTAGTTAAAAATATAAAATAAAGTATGAGATCTTATATAGAATTATAGCTTCATAAAGAGAGATCTTTTCCTTATTTTAAATATCACATATTGATTTCAAGTCTTCCCTCAATCTCTACAGAATTTGTTGCATACTTTACTGTTTATTGGTGGCATTCTCATGTGTTGTAGTGAATGAATTAAGATTTTTGAATTTGTCGAGCTTGCTCGGTTGGTGGATTAACTAAGTTGTTAAAACCAACTAGTTAGTTATAATTATTTCCTGCGCCAACCAATCACAGCCCGGGACTGGCCTCGCCGAACAACCAGAAGTCTTTAAAGGGACAGAAAAGTATATCAAATATCACCACCGCATACAGTTGCAGGCAAGACAGCACAGACAGACAAAACAAACGGACGTCAGTTCTTAAAACGGCCTCACCAACTTCAATTCAAACCTCCCTACCTCCCTCCTCCGCATCCACATCCTCCACCCCGTCAAAATCCAGAGCAAGAAAACGATGTCCATAACAAACCCCTTCTCCCAAACGGGTTCCGCCCCACAAACTTCCGCCGAAATGAAATCCGCCATAATAACCCAAGTCCAACAAGAAACAGCCATGAGCAATGCTCGTGCCCTTATAAGTGTACGTGCGCACCTTCTCCTCCCCCTCCTCTTTTCCCGCCTTTCGTCCTCCCCACAGCAGAAAAGCGCTCCCGAATTAACCAACCATATCAGAAAGTAAACGAAAACTGCTTCGAAAAATGCATCCCATCCCCCGGCTCCAGCCTCTCCTCCAAGGAGCAATCCTGCCTCACCTCCTGCATGGAGAAGTACATACAGATGTGGAACGCCACGAGCCGCGCATACATCGCGCGCATAGGCCAGGAGCAGAAGGCGGCTGGGCTGGGTGGTAGTGGTGGTGGAGTATTTTAAACAAGAAAAAAAATATATATTTCGAAACGTCTGTAATGTGAACGATGGGATTGGGTTGTTTGGTCGTGCGAGATGAAAGGGATCGATGCGGACAGAAGGTCCAGGGAGGATTGAATCAAGCAAAGAAGAAAGCAGCAGGAAAGACTCGGTTGGAGTGTTGTTTGATGGAATGGTCCAAGGGAAAAGGGTGTGGGAGAATGTCTTTGTACGATTTGTGTGATTATTCGACAAATGCCGTCTACCTGTATGGCTCGGTGTGTCAAGGCCGAGCTTTGAACTGGACCCAATCTACCCGCTTCAATTTTCCCGCTGTTGTTGGTTTTAGGGATGGAAAGGATAGAACATAACTACGAGTCTATACGGATTTATATATCTCCTCGCTTTTCCCCCCCCTTTTTGCACGCACCTGCTCCCTATAACCTCCTACTGGGTGGTCTTGTTTTTATCTCCCTGTATTTATAGTTTATGCTTTTCCAGTCCTATTTCCATTTTTCCTATCCTGCCCCTTTTCTGAAACATGGGAGCGGTGAATCACACGAAGGAATGGTTTCTATCATCCATGACAAAAGTTAGGATACCAAGTATGAATTGAGAAATTAAGGAACAGATATGAACACCCCTTTTCTTATTTTAAGTCTGACTATTAAGTCGGGCTATAAAATCTATTCACGACGACTATGTAGGATCCAGGCATAAGCGACGTACGATGAACGAGAAAAGAGAGACAAAAACGGTAGAAGATATGAAATACATGACCATAGGGAAACAAAACGTTTATCTTCTCTTTTCACAGCATTTTCATTTCCCATTACATCAACTCACTGATTTTATGTCACGGATCGCCATAGCAAGCCCATTCCATTGACCAAAAAGATACTCTGAGAAGAACATGTCATCCCCAAACAAAAGTCCAATAATATTAAACACTCCCCCCAATGAGCGAGAAAGAAAAGAAGAAAAGAAAGATTAAGTACGAAAATAGAAATCCGTATATGATAGTTAAGAGAACTCAAAAAACAAGTATGGAGTAGCAAGGACAAAATAAATAAATCCTTTCACAGACCCCGCTGTTAGTCTCAGGTATAACCGTCCCATGGAGCAAGATAGAGTTAAATGATGAAAACGAGGGCCCAAAGGAAATGGGAGGCCCAAAAAGCTAGAAGATACAGGCCAAGGCCGTATATTTTCTCAGAGTAGAAGAAGAGAACCCGTTAATACGGATGGAAATGCATACATTTATCTTCAAGAGAGAGAATTGAATAAAACATCGTTTCCCGTCCCTTCTTTTCCTTTTCAGTTCGTTTTTTCCCCGACCCTTTTTAGAATGGAAAAAGAAATATGTAAAGGCGGATGATTGGTCATATAAAAATTCTCCGTCTAGATATTGGCATAGGCCGGTAGATATATAGAAATACCTAGAGAGCGCAGTCGACGGGTCTTCACAAAATTATCCCCATTCAAAAGTCCACGAAATAATCGCCATATCTATAACATCATTAGTAAAGCTTCGTCGTTGAAGCAAACGAGAGGGAAAGGAAGGAGAAACATACGGATCATCCCCACTACCCCCATACGGCTCCGTCTCCTCGGGATACCTATCAAACTGGCTTGCATCCCCCTGCCCTCCCTTCACCGGAGGAATATACGGCGCATCAATATCCTTCCGCGCTAGCCGATCCCACGTCACCTCCGCAAACCACGGATGATCCTTAACATCCTTACTGCCGCCGTGCAAGTTGCCCAGGCGTACTGTGAGATCGGGAGTAATGAGTTGGGAGAGTAGATCTTGGGCGTCCGGGTGCATGTAGGACGGATACTTGACTCGGCATTTTATGATGTTTTCGTAGATTTTCATGGGGCTGCCGCCGTCCCAGAAGGGGGTGAAGCCGCAAAGCATTTCGAAGATTAGGATGCCGAGGGACCACCTTTTCGGTTGATTATGGAGTGGAGTGGTTAGTGGTGGGTAATGCGGTGGAACAATACAAAAAATAAAAATAAAAATAAAAGGAGGGGGGGGGGGCGGAGAACCGCTTACCAGTCAACGGACATGTTGTATCCCTTTGACGAAACTACCTCCGGCGCCAGATAATCTGGTGTCCCGCATAAAGTCCATGTAATATCCTTGACTTCCTTCGCGAATCCAAAATCTGTAATCTTCAAATGTCCATATCGATCTAAAAGTAGATTCTCTGGCTTTAGGTCTCGGTATATAATGTGATGGTCATGTAGATATTCCAACGCCAACGTAACCTCCGCAGCGTAGAACTTTGCAACAGGATTTGGGAAGCGCTGAGGAACCGATATCAATTAGTTCAAAAAAAAAATCTCTTTAGATAGAACAAGCCGAAGGGGAAAGGAAAAGGAGTTTCCCCACCTGCGATTTCCTCAGCAAACTAAACAGCTCTCCACCCTCCACAAAATCCATAACCATATAAAGATTCTTCACATCCTGGAACGTGCCCCATAGCGTAATTAGGAATGGATGTTTAACCCGCTGCAGCATTCTTCTTTCATCATTCGTATGCTCGACCTGCTTCATCTTCACCACTTGCGCTTTCTTCAGCACCTTGATGGCATAGAAGCGCTGGTTATGTCGCGATTGAACCAGGTGTACTCGCCCGAAACTGCCCGTCCCCAACGTCCGTTGCAACGTAAAGTCATCTAGCGAGTATTTGCCCTTTGTCTGCCGCGAAACTGACGGGACAGATTGTTGAACTTGTTGTTGTTGTTGTTGCTGCTGTTGTTGTTGTTGCTGTTGGTGTTGTTGTTGCTGTGGATGCTGTGAATGCATTCGTTGTTGTGCGGCATGTAGGCCATCGCCAACTGGTTGTGGGGAGGCCGCCACTTCATCGTTGAGGGGTGGATTTATAATGTTCTTAATACTGGCGACATTTTGGGAGTGGTGGGATTGCTGCTGTGGTTGCTGTTGCTGTTGCTGGTGCTGTTTGAAATGAGAGGGATCGCCCGCTATATTCGAGGAAGGGGGGCCGGGAGAATGTAGGGGGTTCATGGGTGCAGAATGTGTGCTGTCAATTTTCGTGATTGCGCCAGCTGTTGTGGAGCCAGTGGGAGGAGAGGAGGCGACTCCCTCTGGTTTAGTCGAGGTAGGAATAGCTGTAAGGAAAACGGAGGCAGGAGGATTACTACTGCTACTGATCTTATTGGTGCCGGGGGAGGAAGCGGGGTCTTTGCAAGAGGAATCGCGGGCGGGTGAGGTAAACGCAGGGTGCTGGAGCAGGGTGTTCGTTGTTGGTGCTGCTGTTACGGTAGCTGGTGCGGTAGCTGTAGCTGCTGTCGTCAGGAAGAGAGGGCTACTATTATTAATAATATTATTATTATTATCGCCAGGAGACGACGAGGTTGACTCCGCTACCGGCGAAGCGGACAGATCCAGGTCCCTCGAGATGCGCGAGTCCTTCGTCCGCTTCTTCTTCTTCTTCAGCAAATTGCCTAGACCCCGCATGGAACGCCAAGACAAGGGACTACGGCAAGGCCTGTGGGTGGATGACGGATCGACAAGGACAATGAGAGAGACGTTGTTTCGAGGTATGGTTTGATTTTCTTCAAATGATCTATCGACGGCCTTTTGCGTTGGTACGCTCCCGATATCTAACAGCAGCCTTGGGGTTCAGGGGTGGGTAAATTCTTGGTTGGGGGCGATGGGGTTAGGGATCTGTGGGGGGACCTATTGGCTTCGCCGTCTGTGGCAATAATTAATACATAGTCGGAAACAGACGGATCCGAAGTACGGAGGGAGTGCTTAATGTGGAGGGTGGAGCAGATACCTGTGAGGTTCAAACGAGTGCAGGCATTTGCGTAGACGGGACGAATGGACAGGACCGGAGAGGCAGGGGAATGGAGGGTAAAGGAATTGGCGATGGTAGAGGGGTTGATTCGTTGATTCTGGTGCCTGGGGAGCAATTATAATACTTGACAAAGATTGACGTTTGTTGGTACTCTCGTTCGGAATAGATGACGGCCGTTGTTGAGGTAGTAATGGGACGTTGTAGTAAGCAGACGTCGATGATGCTGAGGCCCGACGCCACTAGATAGTTAGTTATAACAAGGGAATTAGATAACTATGGATGAGGTGCCTGCTCGGAGTATGTGGTCCCGCCCAGAACAGAGGGACCCCGAACTTACATCATAACCTATGAACAATATCTCGCCTTAGTATCAGCACTCTTTAACCGAGAGGAAGACATTGATAGAGAGATGGGTTATATGCATCACTATGCTTTTTGTTCTGACCTATATATAGCAACGTTAGTTAATCCAGCTGCCCAACAAACTCTATTACGCAATGAATTCGTCTACCAGCTCTGGATATTTTCAATGGCATCTCAGCAACGCAATAATATTTTCGTATTATGTGTTAAACCATTAAAAATATAACTAGCTAGAATAGATTATATAGATATATGGTTATTTCAGAAGACAGTAGTTGGTTGAATTTATTCACCTGCACCATGAGAGACTTGTGGATTGGCAGCAGGAGCTCTGCAGGGAGCTGTTGGACAGAGATTAATGAAGAAGAATTCCGGATATCTGGCTTTTGACGACCTGCGTACAGGACTTAACTATGCTTTGGGGGGTTGTATGGCATCTGTAGAATGGAATTGAACCTGCAGACACTCAGCGCGAAGGTCGTTTTTACCGATAAGCTCCTGGTCTTCTACTCATGCTTGAAGGAGTAAAAAGTGATAATGATCTTTCTTATTGGAATGGGCACGTTGCCGAATACAGCTCTAGCACTGCCTACATAACACGCCCGAATTCGTTATTAGAGAAAATAGAGAAAAGAGAGTAGAGAGAGAAGGGAGGGAAGTTAGAGAAGTTAAGGGAAGAAGAGATGAACGGTGGAAGTATTATGGATGTATTTTAGTTATCAGGTGGAAAAAGAATAGTCCGATTGTTTAGTGGCATTAACCAGGCTGACGAGTTAGGGCATAAGCCAGTTATTAGTTAGTTGTTTGGTTACAAAGGAAGTTATCAATCAGGTGCGTTACGCTTATTCTTTACTTCTTTTCTTGCATCTTTACATCTTTTTATTCAACTGTCTTTGAGCTGCTTGACACTTTTCTTCCTGTTACAGTACTTGATAGCAGGTTTGCAATCTTTCTCATATTAAATTTTTTACTAAATGGTATCAGCATTTCTCAACTTTCTAAAAAACATATAAAGTTTAATATAATTTTTATAAATTTATTTATTTTTTAAATGTTTTAATGATATCTACTTATTTTTTTAGCTTTAATTTTTATAAATATAAAAAAACTATACTTAAAATTTAATATTTTTTATTATTTTAATATATAATAAAAGTTTTTTATATAAATAAAAATTAAAAATAAATAATATAATATTTATATAATATTTATAAATATAATTTAGATATTATTTATATTAATTTTATAATAAATTTACATAATAAATATATTATTAAATATAATTTTTTAATATTTTTTATATAATAAAATAATAATTTATTAATAATTTATTAATTAAATATTAATTTATTATAAAATTAAATATATTTAATAAAAATTTTTAAATAAATATAAGTTTAAAATAAAATAATAAAAATATAAAAATTAAATTAAAGTAAAAAAATTAAATTAAAATAAAAATAAAAACTTTAATAAAATTTATATTTTTAATAATATTATTAATAAATTTATTAAAGTATAAAATATATTATTATTATTATTATTATTATTATTATAATTTTTTATTTTATTAATATTAATTTTTAAAGATTTTTATTTATTTTTAAATTATTTATATTAGTAAAAAAAAATTTCTTATTAATTTTAATTAATAATTTATAAAATTAAAATAATTTTTTAATTTTTATTTAAAAAATACTTTTAATTAAAAACTGTTATTAAAATTTAAACAAGAATTAAAGATATAATTAATAAAAACTTACTTTTCTTTAAAAAGCACCAGTATTTTTTACCATTATTTTAGAATATTTATGTGATGCCAAGACCTTTTGCACTAGCTTCTTGCTCTTACATTGCTTACTAAAGCATCTCATGAAGAATCAACACTTAGGATCAGTGCTTTACATATTTCAGAATCAGCACTTTAGAATCAGCACTTAGGATAAGCACTTTATATTACTAATCTCTCATGTCATGAAAGATTAGAGATGAAATCTATTGCTACTCACTGGAGAATAAAATCAGCACTATATCACTCATTTTATGAAAGATTAGAGGTGAAACCTATAGCTACTTATGTATATAAATACTTTGAATTTTCAAATTTTTTCAAGAGATTCAGTAATTAGCTATTATTCAAATCTATATCTACATTTCCATTTATTGCTATTCTCTTCTCTTCATAGCACTGACAGCATCTATATTCCTACTCTCTTGTGATATTAGTTATAATGCTTCTCACACTTTCTTTTGAAACTTAGTTCAGTCATGTCAAGTGTTCTTTTAATATAGTTTTTTCTTAAAAAATTAACCTTATTCTTATATAAAAAGAAAATTTAAATAATACTGAATATATTTGAAATCTTTTATAATTTTAAATCTTCAATTGCTAATTTAATAGCTTCTTTATTAATCATGCTATTGATGAAGAAATAATAAATATTAAAAGTACTTAATAAGTGATAATTCTTATAAGTGATGATCTATATTATTTGCAGAGAGTATTTCAATATAATTTGTTTATAGATGGAAAAGGCCCCCCCCCCCCCTTTTTTTTTGGGAGAATTGATGTCAAACTCATCCAATTGCTATTGTGCGCAATGAAATCTGGCTAAAGATAGTGTTTTTCATCAAAACCTGCTATCCGGGCTATAACCAACCTATTGGACTTCGGAAGACTACCTATATACTAATCACGTGCCATGAGGTCGACGAGCTCTGCGGCACGTGAGCAAATATCGAGCAAGCTATTGGGAAGCTTTTGAGATCCGGAATAATCGTCCTCATTCACAGGCAACATTTACAGACAAGCCCCAATCAATTACATTTCCAAGATGTCTGCTACCTTCCAGCAGACTAAATTGGGGCATTCTGTAAGGAAAATCTCTCATTTGTGCCAACAACTGAGCTCATCCCTTTCACAAATTCCCCAGAAACTCCAACGGACAGTGAGCACCTCGACCACTGTAAATCCTCCCACCTCTGGAGGTCGTATTATATTTTCTGGCATTCAGCCTACCGGAGTCCCTCACTTGGGGAATTATCTAGGAGCGCTACAGCAATGGGTTCGTTTACAGAATGAAGCCCTGCATTCTACGAAATTGATTTTCTCCATTGTGGATCTTCATGCCCTCACAGTTCCGCAGGATCCTACTATCCTTGGACAATGCAGGAAACAGATGTTGGCTGCTTTGATAGCTGTTGGGATTGATCCAAGGAGATCTACTATATTTTTTCAGTCTGCGGTACGGCCTTTTGGTCCAAAAAAAAGATAAACTGATATGATATGGCAGTGTGAGCGTACAATGTGGTGATTCCTTGCTGGCTAACAGTGGCCAGGTTTCAGCACATTCTGAGTTAATGTGGATACTAAGCACGATATCATCGATTGGATATTTATCACGGATGACGCAGTGGAAGGTAAGGCACTTTTACTCAAAATACGGGAGTGCGACTCTTGGTCAGACCAATGAACCCTTTTTTGCTAATCATCACAGAGTAAGCTCCAATTACCAAAAGATTCTACGTTGGAAAATTCGACCGCTCGGTCACGCCTGAAACTCGGGTTATTTTCCTATCCTGTGCTGCAAGCGGCAGACATTCTTGTTCACAGGTATAGTTAATGTGATTCGGCTGCTGCACAAGGACAGCACTGATTGTAGATACTCAGAGCAACCGATGTGCCTGTCGGGGAAGACCAAAAGCAGCATCTTGAATTCACTCGGGAGGTTGCAAACGGCTTCAATCACATATACGGTCCGGTGCTTACCATGCCTTCTGCGTTGATATGTAAGTGTTATGCCCGTGTATACGCCGTACACCCTATCATATTTGTGTTTTGGTTTGCCAGCTGCTCACGAAATAAGTCAAAAATAGCCCCAGCAAAACGTGTCATGTCACTCAAACAACCAACCCTGAAAATGTCTAAATCACACTCTGATCCCCGATCTCGAATCCTCCTCACAGACTCTTCGGAGGAAATCTACTTAAAAATAAAGCTTGCCCTCACGGACTCTAATCAGGGAATCAGTTACGACCCCATCAACAGGCCTGGCGTTTCTAATCTGATTGAGATACTCAGTCATGTTCAGGGACGAGACGGAATCTCATCTTTTGAGGAGTTAGGGGCTGAATACCAATCATTTACCATGCGGGCGTTCAAGGAGCATGTTGCTGTAGCAGTTGCAGATCATCTAAATGGAATCCGGCAAAGATATTTGGAACTTATGAATAATAAGTTGAGTTATCTGGACACCGTTGCTGAGGATGGGGCCAAGTCCGCCACAGAAAATGCTGATACTACACTTAGAACAGTCAAAAATGCTCTAGGGCTTTTATGATTTACTTCTATATGTGTCAAGATCTGTACTTTACTGGCTTTTTAGCTTTCTTTACATTTAGATGGCTGACAATCTCCGCAGTTTTGTTTCTTTTTCAGCACAACTGCTATTGCCACCTCCTTTCAATGCAAGAACTATACTGTACATTACATGTGCTGGTATCTTCTTAATTGATCATATATCACCCACAACAGCAAAGACAGAGGAATTCCAAATGCTAGGACTTCTGATATAGTCAAATAGCGCGCAAGAGGCGGGCGGAACGAGACTCCGATCCAAAACTCTGGTTCTTTTTGTCCGGCTAAGAGAAAGAGAAGCAATTAGGGTAGTGAAGCAGAGGAATGGATAATTAGAAAATGTGAATTGAATACTCACTCGAATATATAAATACGTTTCCGCAGAGGTCCAATTCCTCGCATTTCGGCAACATGTGCCGAGCCCAGTCCCGCTTGGCGTAGCCTGCAGAGGGCTTATCGTGGACCCCTAATGATTCTGACCTCTAGCTTTTCATTGTAAATCCAATCGCAAGGAGGCTCGAACGGCACTCCCATATATGTTATGCGTGGCTACACATGTTGTGCAATCAAGGAACACGGTGACAAACTGAAGATCTTCATTGTTGCTGTCGACTTTCAAAGATTGGTTCTGGATGAGAATAGCGGCACGGGGAATGTGTCACTGAAATAAGTTCCGCCGAATGATTTGCTAAAGTGGATGGTCTTCATCCAGAATTTCTTTTCGTTAGATTCCCCTATATCCACCCTCCGCCTCGATACCTGCTTCAAGCTATGAAAGCTCTTCTCAAACAGCAGCCAGATGGATATCTTTGGTTATTCACACCGTGGAATTTCTGCCATAATGGGATATATAAAATAGAAAAACGATAATATCAAGAGAGATGTTATCACCCAAACTTAAGTAAACACAAACATAATTAACAAAAATATATTCCCTCAAAGGAACCTGACTTTGGTCACATCGTGATATTGGTACAGAACAAAAAGATTTTGCGTCTCGTAGCCTAGCTGACGGTATGTAACAAAACAGAAGACAGAAAAAGGTGATCAAAAATGGCAAAGAGGCAGCTCCAGAGAACACAACACACACACACACACACACTGCCTGGTCGATGAATGAAAAACATGGGAATGTGGAGGACTAGAAGAAACGAAGCCAAAGCAAAACAAATTTGACGCGGAGGCTCAAGTCTTCATTTTCTTCGCGGAAGGCACCTCCTCTCCATCTGTCGGCCTATCCTCCCCGTCTTTCCCTTCCCCTCCACCATCTTCTCCCTCTTCATCCTCATCTTCGAGAACAGTAAATTTCCTCTTCCCTCTCTCCCAACTCCCGCTCCCTTCCACATCACCATTCTCTCCTTCCCCTTCCCCATCCTTCTCCCCCTCAACCTCATCTCCACCTTCTTTTCCACCCCTCTGCCCACCACCCCTCTTAACCCCAAACGCCTTGAGCAACCCATCATACCCCTCTTCCACATTTCCCAAGGTCTCCTCCAGTTTCTGCAATCTTTCCTCGCGATCCAGCTGAATCAACAAGTCACGATGCCGCTTATACAGCCGCTGCTTAACCAGCATGCGCCACCAGTAATACCGCCTATCATGCTCGTTGGGTGCGCGCCACTTCTGCACAAGCAGGCGCGCTATATTCGTATTGCTGGCGCCGCGATGGTCTGCTGGGATTTGGCTTAGGAGGTACATCTCAACTATATGTGAGAATTGCACAGGGGCGATCTTGTAGCGGGTGCGCAGGTCGCGGAGAGTGGTTATTGGGAGGAGGGCGGAGGTAGGCATAAGGCGGGGCCGACGGCGGCGTGGAGCTCCCTGTTGTGCCTGGTCGTCTGGTTGGTACGGGTTGGGGTTTATGGATATTTTGTGTTTGAGGAATTCGGGGTAGAGGGTGTGGTAGTCATTTATGTCGCGGAGGTAATCGAAGGCTTCGTTAGGGTCTTCGACGGTGAGTTCATGAAGGGTGGGGTCAGTTAGGCAGGCGGATTGGATTGTGTGGTAGAGCTGGGAGCCGTGACCGGATTGCTGATGGGGTTGGAGGATGAGGAATTGGGAAATGCGAAGGCGGGCGGGGAGTTGGGAGATGGAGATTCCATCTGTGTAGGGGAAGGGGGTGTCTAAGATTTTTGGCGTTTGACGTATTTTATTGTTGTTGTTGGGGTCTTCGAGGTAAAAGTACCATCGGTATGTGGTTGAGTAGCCTACGAATGAGTATGGTGAGGCTGTGGGATTGGGAGGATCCCTCTTTTCGTAACTATCCAGCAACAGAGATCTTGTTAGTCTGGATGGCTCTGTAAATGAACGCTACCAACCCAATTGAAATGTTATGAGGGAAAAATCCTTACATGAGGTATACTGTCCACCTTTGAAGGGTCCATTCAAAATCGTCCGTTGTGATTGGGGTACCCCCTTCGATGAAGAAAGAGACGAATATTTGTACGCGATCGAGGAAAGTCCGAATTTCGGGATCGGTTAATGAACCGGCCCAAATCTCATAGTTCCTCTGCTTGCTTGTGTAGCTATGGACAAGCTTTCCTGGGGGTTTAAAGTCTTTCGCAAATTTATCGTTTAGAACCGATTCTTCAAAGTCCTCCAGAGGCGCAAACGAAGCTACAAATGGCGATAAATGTCAGCCTCCATCCAAATTCCCACGGCATCCAGCGTCGCGAGTGTTCCTTACACTTTGGCAGCCAGGGATTCAGTGTCTTCAATAGATCCACGGGAGCAACGTCGGCAACTGTCTTGAACTTTTCATCATATGAGATATGCACATTTGATCTGAGATCATGCGCAGCAAAACGCAATCGAATGATCAATCCTTTGTAGCCAAATATGGTTTCCTCTTCACCGAAAATTGGATATGTGAACTCGGGCTGGAAAGTGGAGAGAGTAGCAAGCTTTTCTTGGCCGGGTTGGACAATGGATATCTGAATAGCATCGTTTGCATCGCAAGACCCTAGGTATCGCAAATCAAGCATCAGCCAGTGGGTCAGCTAATTCATCACGGAGCTCCCAAACATGGGAGCAGCTTAAATAGCTTAGATTTTCGAAAAGAGAGGGTTAGAACGGGTGCTTACAAGGGGACTGGTTCTCCATTCTGGCTAAACAAGTCCACTAATGGACTGCAACCTCGTTGGCACTACGTCTGCTTTGCGACGGCGAGGTGTTGGATGTGAAGTTGTCGAGGAATCGCGTTCTTCGCCCTTTGTCGTGTCTGGCTGAGTGAGAACGCTTGAGGTGCTAGGATTGTTTGGGTTAGTTAGTTAGTAGTAAGTTAACTAAGCTAGCCGGTCTATATTTCGACCAGACACTTTTTCGACCACTCTATCCAAACCTAACTCACCACCTTTACCACGCGTTTTCTCAACCACATTATTAAAATGAAGCCTAATAACGAAGCTGCTATAGCTGCTGCTATAGAGAATTTAAAAAATGGTGTTTTTCAATCTGAACGAGCTGCTGCTAAAGCATATAACATCCCACAAAGCACATTGAAGAGCAGAATGAATGATTCCATTCAACAAGCAATTGCTCATCAACATCAACAAAAGTTGACTCCAGAGCAAGAGATCTTTCTAGTTCGATGGATAAAAGAGCAAGATTCACAAGGATTTCCACCCTCTCACACACGTGTACGAGAAATGGCAACCCAAATTCTATGAATGAATCGAGATCCCACTCAGCTGGGTAAGGATTGGATAAGAAAGTTTCTAAAACAAAATCCTATGATAAGATCTGTGGTTGGCTGAAGGATTGAGTCTCAAAGAATAGAGAATACTCAGCAGGAAACACTTCAGCAGTTCTATAACTACTTTTCTGAGACACAACAGGCTCATGGGATAGTCACTGAAAATATATGGAACATGGATGAGCATGGCATTGCTTTAGAAGTATGTATGAACACCAGAGTGCTTGCTGAGCAAAGAAAAGGCAAAACCTACATTAAATCTCCCTCTAATCACGAGTGGGTTTTAATTCTTGAAGCTATTAGTGCTGATGGGTACTATATAGACCCTCTAGTCATTTTTCAAGGTCAAAATGCACAATCTAGCTGGTTTGAGGATGTGAATATACCCAATTGGACCTATACAACATCAGATAATAGATGGACATTGAATAATATATGTCTCAACTGGTTACGTCCGATTTTTCTACCTCAAACATTTAAGGAAGGTCAGCATAGATTATTAGGCTGGATGGTCAAACAGTCACATCACTATCAAATTTCTATGGGAATGTCATATAAACTTGATTCATTTAGTGTTTCTACCTGCTCATACATCTCATGTTTTTCAGCCATTGGATCTTGAAGTGTTTTCACCCATGAAGAGCTACTATAGAGCTGAGATCATTGTCTTAAGCTATCTGGATGATGCAGCTCCTGTGAAGAAAAGAAGATTCATACAAGCCTATGAACAAGCATGTTCAAAGGCCTTAGAATCTTATAATATACATGGAGGGTGGAAAGCAGCTGGTCTAGTGCCATTTAATCCTTCCAAGGGATTAGATTCCTCTCAGGTTTGAGATCAGGGTCAATCTAACCCTAGGCCAGTGACACCTACAACCTCTCTATCTTCTGAACTGCAAGATCCCTTGCTTACAACCCCCCAAGATCCTAGGCATATATATAAGGCTCTGCAGCAGTTGAATAAGGAGAGAATTCTTACAAGAAAGCAGTGGGTTTTTCTTTGCAAAGCTAGCAAGGTGATTGACAAGTTGAATGCTCTACAAGCTGCCAGTCAGTCTACAATTTTTAAACTATCTAATCAAGTAGAGACCTTACAGCAGTCAAAAACCAAAAAGAAGGTGGAAGTTGATCCAAATACCCAGTTTATCAATATAGAAAGGATTAAGAAGGGTCAAGAGAAAGCTGCTGCTCTAGAGGCTAGAAAACAACTACAGAAGCCAGAAATTGAGGCTAAAAAAGCAGCAGCAGCAGCAGCTTTAGCAGCAGGTCTGGAAGCCTGCATGTTTGAATGACAATTAGATTGAATTTGTAGTTAAATATTTACCCAAAATAGGAAGGGTGGTTACTTTGAATAGGGTGGTCGAAAAAGAGTCTGGTCGAAATATAGACCGGCTAGCTTAGTTAACGTAATCCGACACCTTTATGATCTCATTTGATCATTGATATCTTTCATCCCAGGTCATTAAATTATTCAATATGGCAACCACCCTTAGCAAAGAAGCTTCTAAATCAAAGCTAAACTTTCATTAGCTATTAAAGCCTATGAAATGAATTAAATTTCAACTCTTAGAGCTGCTGCTAAGTCCTCTCCTCCATGGATGAGAGAGGACAGTCTCCAAGATATGGCCAATCCATTACTTTCAGCGTGAGAATCTGCTACTACAACTACTCTGAGAGGAAGATGGGTGGAAAGACTTATCAGAGAGCTCTCTGAACTGGAGACTAGATTCTCATGCAAGTATAACTACGAGTGAGCTTTATGCGAGGATTTACAGCTCCTACATGAATGGTTTACATTGGTGGATAATACTATAAAGAATGATGGAATTGTACTGTAGGATATGTACAACTTTGATGAGATTGGCTTTCTAATGGGAGTTATTACAACGGCCTGGGTGATTACTAGACCTGAGAAAGAAGGCAAGCCATCTCTTATATAGTCAGGAAATAGAGAATGAGCAACCGTGATTGAGGCGGTCAATGCCACGGGCTGGAGTCTACCTCCTATGATCATACTGAAGGGCAAGCTTCATCAATCCTCATGGTCCGAGCAACTGCCAGCGGATTAGACAATTGGTCTTAGTGAGAAGTGTTGGGCTACAGATGAGCTTGGCTTATATGGCTGTACAGCTGGCAGAGATAGACTGCTGATTATGAATAGACATGGCAGTCATGCTACAGCTGGATTTGACAAGTTCTGCCTGGATCACCATATCATAGCACTTTATATGCCTCCTCATTCCTCTCATCTACTGCAGCTACTAGATGTGAGCTGTTTTTCGCGCCACTAAAGAGAGTGTATGGCAAGAAGATTGAGCAGAGCATGAGATTGGAGATCAATCATTGATAAGGATGAATTCCTAATCAGCTACGCAGCAGCTAGGCAGGAGACTATAAAACATACTACTATAAGAAATGGATTCAAAGCCACGGGCTTGATTCCATATTCCATTCAATCCAGATGAGGTTCTTACTCAGCTACATATTCCATACTCCTACCCCGCCAGGATCAGCTCATGGATCTCACAGATTTCAATCCTCCTCAAGACCCCCTGCAACATGACCCAATTGGAACGGCAGAGCAGCAAGATTAAACACCGTACAGATGTTCTTTCTAGTCCCACAAATCGAGCTCTCGATCAGCTAGTTAACGGATGTCAGCTGGCCATGCATAAGGTTGCTCTTTTAACGGAGGAAGTCAAGCAGCTGAGAGCTGCCAACCCTAGACACAAACAAAAGAGAGAGAAGCACAAAAGAGAGAGAAGCCACGTATATATATAGCTGAGGAAGAACAGGCTAGGATTGTTCAGGCTCAGGAGTCTAATCAGCCCGCTGAGGGGAGGGTTGAGGACAATTCTGAGAACTAAAAATCGAGCACCACCACGCTGTAGTAAATGTGGCAGTACGAAACACAAAGCTCCTAGCTGCTCACAGACCTAAGAATATATTCTATATAATATCTATATGTAATTCCTAGTGGTTATTGCTTTATTTGAACTTCTGTCAAATAATATGGTGGGGGGGTTGATCAAATAGTGATCAAATAGGTGTCGTGATCAAAAAGGTGTCGGATTACGGGAGAGTAGAAAAGATTAAACCATATAATAGAGATCCACGTGATCTGAAGGGGAAGGGCCGGAGCTGTCATCAAGTGCCCTCGGCCCTCATTTTCACAGGAGCACCGGTTAGGTGCCATGAGGAGGAATTGTGATGTGAGGATTTGAGAGGACGAGATTGAGTTGAGGATGATTCTAGACGTGAGGTGCGTCGGAATAGAACTGTTTGGCCGTGTGAATTGGCTACACGTGATTCTGTTTGCGGACAGACGGCGGTTCAAAACACTTCACAGACGGACTCGGCCGTCTCTCGACCATTTATTTCATGGATAAGTTATATTTTGCTAAATAGCATCCTTCATATTTCGACCACGGAGTTAAACCATCTCTCTTCAAAGGTAGATCCTTTTTAATCTAGCCAAGTTTCCTGCAATAAGTGGTCTCGGAGACCACTAGGGATCCAGAACACGCACACCCCCCTTTATTGACAGCGCGCCGTCCCCCTCACTCCCTTGACAATCCGTTCCTGACATGACCACGGGCGCCGCAGTCCACGATGAATAGATAGGAGGCAACTGTTATATCTGCTCTTGGTCAAAAACGGCGGAGTAATTCCTAAAGTCATAATGAGTGGACTTTTCACCTTGCTCAGCTTGAGCTTGGTGATGGCGGTCGTGTAAGCGAACCTGCTTTGCCCTATTTAAATAATTGCCAAATTATTCCTCGCAATTCCTCTAAACAAGACTCCCGCATGCCATGGTGCGTTAGTTCCTTCGTCGTCGGCTCACTCCCGCTGTCCTTCTCACTCTCCTCGTCGCAACTACGTCTCATTTCCGCACTGGGAATGGGTGTCTTGGTGGGCACGTCGCTGATTGTAATCATCCCCGAGGGAGTCGAGACACTCTATAGCTCGTCCGCTGTTTTGCATGCACACTCCAACAGGAGAGATGTTAATGTTGTTGGCAGAGGTCATACTCTTGATGCACGATGGCATCACAATCTGTCCATCAGTGCTACTGACCTCAGAAGTGAGACACCCAAATTAGAGGATAAGCCGAAAGAAGAGTCCTTGAATAGTAGCCCTGAAGAACTAGGCAAGGGAGAGGATTTACACCAGAAACAGAAAGGAAAGGAAGGGGATGGGAAAATAAGGGAAGGAAACTCCTACCAGAGCTCCCCGCACGCTTGGATCGGAGTTGCCCTGATCGGCGGCTTCATCCTGATGTATTTAGTCGATACACTCCCCTCCCTCGCCGCCTCCTCCACAAAACACCAACAACGCCCCTACCACATATCCCTCGATAACCTAAGCTCCGCTCTCGGCCGCACAGTCTCCCCCTCCCGCACAGGAGGAAGCCTCTTTGATACCAGCGGCAGCTCATCCAGACAAGACTTCGCGACAACAACGGGCCTAGTAATCCACTCCGCTGCGGACGGAATCGCCCTTGGCGCTTCGACGTCCAGTACGAGTCTCAACTTCATCATTTTCCTGGCGATAATGGTGCATAAAGCGCCGGCATCTTTTGGATTGACGAGCGTCTTGTTGAGGAAGGGGCTGTCGACGCGCGCGGCGCGGGGGCATCTGTTGATTTTCAGTTTGGCGGCGCCGGTGGGTGCATTGGTTACGTGGATCATTGCCCATACGGTTTTATCGGGCCATGTTGGCGATGAACAGGCGACGAAGTGGAGAACGGGAATGTTGTTGTTGTTTTCGGCGGGGACGTTTTTGTAAGTTTCCTGCATGTGTTACACTAGTTGGAAATAGGGGATCTAATTATTTCTTTTTATTTTTTTTTTTGTTGTTGTGGCTAGGTATGTCGCTATGCATACGATGCAAGACCCGGGGCCGATGACGGCAGATATGTCCGGACGAGATTCGACATACGCCAACGGATATGCAGGTGAGGGGCGGGAGAATTCGCATAAGTCGCAACAAAAGTCCATGAGAGACGTGATTGCGACCGTCGTGGGGATGATTTTGCCTTTGTTTTTGCAAATTGGGCATGCTCATTAGTCGAGCTTTGAGCAGAATGGTGCACCCCACTACGTTATTCCTCGAAGGTGTGGGGAAAGGAGCTGGCTCTATTCGTCCGAACTATTTCTGGCTTTATCAGACTACGCTGGCACGGGACATGAGAATGAGAATTGGAATCGAGTCCACCTGAGGCTTAATCCTATGCGGGCTTCGACCCAACCACATGGCGCAACCACTCTTGTTTTTGCCTGTGAAGCCAGTTCCTGAGGAAGTCCGCCCAAGGGAGCACCAACAACATGAATATGGAAGCAGTAACGGCGTATCATTCTTTGTCTCTGTAATGATAGCAGTATGTGAATTTTTTGTTGATTATTTGGGAAGATATATCTCATTCTTGGATGCCGTAATAGAAAAGGTCTGCCTGGTTTGATATTGGTTTATTGCAAAGGCAGGGGAAGGGAAATATTTACTTTCCCGATAACTATGTATTAGAAAATTGGATTAACTAGAACCTTTGTCATCTCTGTTGTTTTTTTGCAGCCCAACTTATCTTTGCAATTGTTTCTTTCTGTCTTTCCCCCTCCCATCCAAGAGGATTAAAATTTGATATGTTGATGGAGAATTGCAATTCGGTTTCGCAGCACAGGAAAATATCCGTCGAAGGGGATCACATCTGTTATTCGTCGCCTGAATGTTTTATACATATATGGAGTGATTCCATTGGCAGGTTAACTCCTTGATGTGATCAGGTGTTGAGGTGTGAATTGAAAGTTGTGATCTCAGATTCTTCTACGAGGGAAACCTTGGAAGAGCTCTTGATGGGCTTCTGTCGATTGCTAATCAGGACATTTTTAAATCCATCCGTTTGGCGGATGTCATTGAACTGTGACTGGAACTTAACTCCTCGCGTACATATAGATATTCCGTCAAGAAAGAAAAAGGTACAGAGGACGTACGTACATTAGGCAGATTAATTCCGAGGAAGAAAAATGCCGGAACGGCTATGCAAGGACTATGGAGTAAACATTAATATTATGATCTCGTTTGTCTATCCCTTTCCATTATCCGTAGCTTGAAGGCTCGTGTAATTCGGTGGATCGAAAAGGTCTTTCTCAAAGGGACCCATACCTCCATTCTTGTAGCCTTGCCTCCATGGTAGCCTCTTGATGATGAATTTTGTTGACTCCCGCGTTTAACGCAGTCAGGTTTGGATCAGCAACCCTCCAACCAGTCCTTCGAATTCCGCGCGGACACCATATGGATCGCGATACGGTTCGACGAATCTAAGGATAGTTTCCACAGCAGGTTTCATATCCTTGACCCAGAGTTCCTGCGAATCTCTGTATGCTTCCGTGCGACCTGTGGCAAAGCTCTGTATATCTCTCTCGATGGCTTGCTCATATGGAGGGTTGGCTGCATAGCTTTTAGCTTCCTCAAGACATGCACACATCTCCTCGACCTTTGCTGCATTGTCGCCACCCAACCTTGAAGAAAAACATCGTAAACTTCACTGGGAGGCACTGGTGGTGCTATACTCCAGTTTTCTTCTACTAAAGCTTGAAGAATATGAAATACCGGCTTGGAGCCATCTCGTGTTCTCCTGATAAATCTCATTTTCGCCCAGAAGTTTGCTGACGCCACCAATCTCTTCACGGGCGACCTGCTGGTTACTCAGAAAATACGCACCCTGGGTGATGTCACTGAGGAAGTTCAGATTGTGTGGAAGTTTACGGTAGATATCCGGACTAAACATGCGGTGTAATTTCTTAGACCTTTCAGACACAGTTGTTATTTTCTCTGGACCACCTGCCGATACATACTGCTGGTATAAATTCCTGGTCACCTCTGCCCTATTTCCGTTTGTGAGCGTGCAGTTACAAAGAGAAAAATCCTGCAGCAACGTACGTACTAGTTTCCTATATTTGCAAGAAAAACAGCAGAATACTGCAAAAAATTCTTCAATTACTTCCATCTGCTAGACCAGTTCTGTCTGCGAGAAGTCTCCAATCATCCCCGCATGCACGGTATGTCTCGGGGATGAAGTCAAAAGTGTGTAGAGCCTCGGTCGACACCTGGCGCATGATAATCCGAGAACCATGCCAGGCAGCTCTACGCCAGAAATCAGGGCCGAAGGTGTAGACATCAGGGATAAGATATATAACAGAGTCAACGATCTACCTTACCAGGCCATGTAATGGGCGTAGAAGTTTTCCCGTGGTGACAGCCGCTCGAAAGCGTCTCTGGCATCTAGGGGACACACATAGTCACCGTGACAGCGGCTCTATCACGGACGGACTGGATGACATAGCAACTGTGGTCTTCGAAATGTAAGCAGACTCTGAGCAATGTGAAATATACAGCATCGGCTCTCTACGAAGGTAGAGCAGTAAATATCTGTGATAAATGCCCCAGGTGTTCGTTCAACGGTTGAAAAGGGCCTCTTGGATTTCGCCTGGAATGAGATGCAACAGTGAGCAGATGAACAGGGTATCTCAGCATGAGAAGTCAGAAATACACCCCCTTCACTGGAGATAAATACCATTGGATAGCTGGCCCTGCAGAGAAAAGTCCTTTATCTACTCTGAAAACATAAAATTAACAAAAGGGCTGCCCCATTGTAATGATGAGCAGCAGCCCTCCCGGAGGAGTCAACTGGTACCAACTAGTTAAACTGCGTATTATTTGGCTGCCGGAACAAATATTTACCAGCAACCTCGGGCAATCCTTGGCCAGCCGCATCCTCAAAAGCTCAAACCTCACCCAACAATCCTCGACTGTTTCCACTCCTTTTTCGCCCTCGATGTTTAGGCCCTCCTTGCAACGCTGACAGGTCTTCTGCACACATACATCCCGGCAAGGGGCGTCAAAAGCAAAAAGCTTGTCTAGACTTATATTTGTGTTTGCCCTGTGCCCTGTTTCTCCGGACCTCTGGTTGCCATTTTGATCAATTTAGCCGCCGTACTAAGCTCTCCGAGTTTCGTCCTCCCCGGGCCTGTGATCTGGCAACCGACAGAACTCCATTCACCCAGCCACTCACCCACTACCCCCGACAGATGAGGGATCTTGACATCCCATATCTTCAGGGCTCCTCTTCTTTCGTGCACTTTTATACCCAGCAGTACATAACGTTATTCTACCGCTATTCCCTCCCATCATGGAGCCGAGGTATTTCCCCCGATACTCTTCGCAGCGAGTATCCATGATGGATTCGGACGAGGAGAGTGATGATAACATCTCTACTGCCCTGCCGCCGCCAGTAAATCCTCGCAGAAGGTCGGCGAATGCCTCTATGCCCTCCGTGTGCTCGCATCCTAAACCACTCCACAGCCCCAACAAGTCCATACCGTCACTTCACAATCTGCACGCATCCGCGCCCGCTTCTCCGCCGACTCCTGCCCCGAGTCCAACTCCGCACCAGCGAGCGCCTAGCTGGCAGAGTGCTGGTGAGCACGAGGATACATTTTTACGAGATGCCAGGCACCATTTCAGCCTCCTGGGTCGGGCAGAGGGACAGAGATTTCTGGCGGAAATTCTGAATCTCTGTGATAATCAGCAGCTCAGCTTTGTCTATCACCTTGTCAGTCCACGGTTGAAAAAGGACCCATTCAAAGTGCTGCCAAATGAGCTGTGTTTAAGGGTAAATATTTTATTCTATACTTTTATCTCAACTTTTTCGGTTTTCCATTTCCCCTATCGGGACTAATATTTTGTGCACACTGCAGATCCTTTCCTTTATTGATGACCCGAAAACTCTTGCTCGGGCATCACAAGTATCAACGCGATGGCACGAGCTTTTGAATGACGATATGACCTGGAAGCTTCTGTGTGATAATCATGCCTATCGCGGAGTGCCCGAAGTCTCTCAGGAGGCCCACGAACCATTCTCGTTCGCCCTTCCCCCCAACCCGTACGACACCCGTTCTTCACAACAGCCATGGAGCGGTAGCGATGATATGTTAGCAAGTAATCCAAGCACAGCTACTACGCCTACAACCTCCAGAGCACCCTCGTCGACGGGAAACCATTCGCGGAAACGAAGAGCGAAGACCAAGAGCTACAGATCACATTTCAAGCAGAGATACATGGTCGAAGCAGCGTGGAGAAAGGGTGGACATGTCACCACCAAGCACATCACTCCCGATCATGGCGTTGTTACAAGCCTACATTTGACCTCCAAATACATCGCTGTCGCACTTGATAATGCTAAGATTCATATATTTAATACCAACGGTGAACATCAGAGGACATTGCAAGGTCATGTAATGGGCGTTTGGGCTATGGTTCTGTGGGACGATATTCTTGTGAGTGGTGGATGTGACCGTGACGTCCGTGTTTGGAACATGGCTACTGGGTACGTTTCCTTTCACACATTTTTCCATTTTTTTTATTTTTTATTTTTTTCAATTACCAAACGTACTTTTGTTAACGGGTCATCTACTCATAGTGAGAGCATCCACAAGCTACGGGGCCACACGTCCACCGTACGCTGTCTGAAAATGTCAAACGCGACGACTGCCATATCGGGATCCCGAGATACTACCCTACGGATATGGGACCTTACCAAGGGTGTCTGTAAGAACGTCCTCGTCGGTCATCAAGCAAGTGTACGCTGTCTAGGGATCCATGAAGACTTGGTAGTTTCGGGCAGCTACGACACCACAGCGAAGATATGGAATATCTCCGAAGGCCGGTGTCTGAAAACGCTATCTGGGCACTTCAGCCAGATTTACGCAATTGCCTTCGACGGCAAGAGGATTGCCACGGGCAGTTTGGACACCAGCGTTCGCATCTGGGACCCGCAGACGGGCCAGTGCCATGCGATCTTGCAGGGCCATACCTCTCTGGTAGGCCAGCTGCAGATGCGCGGTGACACGCTCGTCACCGGAGGCTCCGACGGGTCTGTTCGGGTCTGGTCGCTTGTGCACATGAAAGCCATCCACCGTCTAGCAGCGCATGATAATAGCATCACGAGTTTGCAATTTGATGACAACCGGATCGTGAGCGGTGGAAGTGATGGACGGGTGAAGATTTGGAACGTGAGGACGGGCCAGTTTGTTAGGGAGCTGAGTCAGCCGTCTGAGGCGGTGTGGCGGATTGTGTTTGAGGATGAGAAGGCGGTCATTATGGCTACTAGGTCGGGACGGACTATTATGGAGGTGAGTGCGATTAATCGCTTATTCAAATATTTTCGACGGCATTTTCCCTTCTTTCAATCTCGAACGATTAGACTAACATTCTCCTAGGTCTGGTCTTTCTCTCCACCCGATGATGCCTTCAATGATCCCATCTCAGACTCCGATAGCCAGTGCAGCAGCACCGAACCGGCCTTCAACAACTTCGACCATATTCGTATTAATAATATGAAACCTCAACATTCTTGTTCCGTCCTCGCCGGGCCGGAATCATCATCGTCGTCGTCAGCAATTATATCTCCTGTCATAGATACTCCCACCGCCTCATCCACTTCCACTGTTACCCGTACTTCAGCTCCGCCTACCATCGATCTTGATATGCAGGATGTCTTCATTGATGCGAATGGTGGTAGTAGCAGCCATGAGTAGAATAATATGAAACAAATGGCATTCGTGGAGGATGTGAGGAACGGAGGAATTCCCATTCCAAATCTAACTCCCTAGAGCTTTAGACGGCCGTTTGAGATTGGGAGGTGAAGAGGAGGGATGTTCATGTGCAGGTTGATATAGTGATATTCTGGAGCAATATATGAACATATATACATGAATGTATGTCCAGAACCCTAGATAGATAGACGTGTATGAGAGGCTGGTAAACAGCTCTATTCTTCTTGATTTGAACTCCGTGAACTAGGATTTGGCAGATATTCACTATTCCTGACCTGAAGGATCTACCCTTGATCTTAGCTTCAGCAAACTACAGGTTTAAAAAGGAATGCCATGCACCCACCACCTCGTTATTTGTCCCCTCCACTCACTGCACAAATCATCTGTAGATGTCAATAAAATCCTCTGTTCTGTGGTGAATCGAACCCATCTTCATTCCTCTTCTCCCGCGATATATCAATATAGACGTTGATTCCAATCAACGTGGTCGTAAGCCAAAATCCACTACTCATATCTCAGCCACAAGAAACCATGAAATAAAAAGTAAAAGTAATCTCTTCGGGATATGTACGGTGTAGCCAAATCAAGGTGCGGAAATATAGAGGTATATTTATGCCTTAGATAAAATAGTGTAAGCAATAGAAAGGTCATATCTCTTGATTATCAGGGACCTAGGCCCTTGTATTAAAATCCCTCCTAGAACCGGAACTCCAGATGAAATAGAGAATTGAGAAAAAGTACAAATAGAAAAAGAATCGGGAAATATGTGGTCAACATTAAAGGTGGATGCTTCATCCCCCGCCAGCCCTGAAAATTGATATTGAACAACGAAGGAGCCCAAACTGAGCTTGTGTAAAAAAAAAAAAAAAAAAAATTAAAAAAAGGGCACATATTTATTGAAGAGAGGCTAAAATGAAACCATTTGAAATTGGAAATGAAAATAGCAAATGAATACCCCCGACAAAGGCTATCCGCTTACCATGGTTGCCGTTTCAGGATCCAAACTATCCAACGTAACCGAGGAATCTGTCTCATAACTTAGCACACTACTCGTTCGCGGTGAACCGATGGTCGCCAGCGGTGCAACCGATGACGGAGCTGTCGTCGAATCCCGTCCAACAAAGGAGATATCCCGTTGATTCCCCGTCCCTATCACCTGCTGCCGGAGAAAGGTGCTGGCGTTGGAATCATTATTGCCATCGGGCCGGACGAGCTCACCGACGAACTCAAGCACACGGCGGAATCCGAGGATTTCAGCCTGGATAGCACCTCCGCCCACGTTTGATGCCGTGGTAGTATTGTGACGAAGTAAATTTCCCCCTTCACCCTCATGGTGAGCAGGACCTGTGAGTCTTTGTTGCTGGCGCGAATGCTCGACGTCACGCGAGGAAGGAGAAGATGCAGATGAGAAGGAGGGATACAACCCAAAGCGGGTATTCCACCACTGGCGCCATCGATGCCGGCGTGCGGCTATGCGATAGGCGGTGAGAGTGCGGCGTTCTTCGCGGCGTGCGGCTAGGTCGACGCGCCGCCGTCGGCAGAAGAGGGAGTTGCGGCAGTGTTTTGCTAAAAGGAATATTATGGAGGAGGCGAGGAGAAGGATAGCTAGGTCTTTTATGAAGAGTTTAGCTGGGGTAAGAGTTGTCGGGCTGTAGTTGAAGATCGGGATGTGCTTCAGTTTAGGCTCTGCGCCTTCGTGGGTTGGAAAGACGGGTGAGAGTTGGTTGTCGTCAGGTCGGTCTGCTTTCTTCGAAGAGATGTCTTTGGGTTTCAGCTGAAAGGTGGTGGCGTTTTGTTTCGAGGTTTGATTTGTACGGCTTCTGTGAGCGGAATTGGGGAATGGACGGCATAGGCTGTCAGATATCGAAGACGGGAGGGGACCGAATTGATATCGAACGAAACGGAAGACATCCGGGACGATCTTGAAAGATGTCTTTATAAAACAGGATAGGCTTGCGCATTGTTTGAGTCTCGAAGTCATGAAGACACAATCTCGGAATAAATGCTTCCTGATCTCCTGCTCCTTGGCTTTGATCTCCATTTGCAGCTTCCAGACTTGGGCTTTGAGCATATGGATGTTTTTGAGGTCCTTTTCCAAATCACCATCAAAGATAGTCACAGCGGTACAGGTAGATATTGGTACATTGAATGGGTCAGAGGGAATCAGCCAGGAATCAAATGTGTCCTCGTCCGAAATTTCGATGGGGGAAGCCACCAGGCGGAATATTTGCGGCTTTCCGGCCGAATTGAACGAAACCGCGAAGCCCGAAGTTCGTTCGTTGGGGTTGGTATAGTTTGTTGGATAGAATGTCACAGCAAGTATTTGTGCGGTGTATTCCTCTAAGGAATCTTGGGGGCTAGAAATGCAGAGAGCTTGATAATTGAGTAATAGTTGGTGATTCCGAGAGCCATTGGTCATGTCGGAGGGGAAGATGCCGGATCCGATTCCATTGATGCCATCCCATGTGAGCTCCAGCTTCTTATTGTTGAGGACGACATCACTCTCCCCGCACACGGATTGCGTGCTGGAGATGGTTAAGTGAAAGATCTGGCTCCCCAATCAATCAGAATCTACATATAACAGACGTTCGTGGACACTGATCAATCAGCAAGAGATTGTCTAACATACGTAGCTTAAGTCATGGTCATCAAAACACCCGTCACATACAGATGTAAACTTCACCTCAATTGTAATATCATCTATATATATAATTAGTCTAAGATGCAGATACGGCAGCTGGTAACAACGGGAAAGAGGTTTCGTGTCTAACCTCTCCACGTTTCTATAGATAGGGAACTATCTGAATTGTTATTGTTGAAACGTCTGCTGGGAGGGATGACACAGGCAAATGCGACGATGGAGTAACAGGACCAGAGTAACACAGCAGATGCGCGCATACACATTTTGGACCACGGCCGCCCTCAGCCGCCAATCATTGTTAGAGATCAAAAAATCTAGGATTAACTATCTGATCTCGAGTATCTTCTGGAGTGAAAATACGTTCAAACATGTTGAATATCTCCCAAAAAGCTGCTCTGTCGTCGGAGTGAGGCTCAGCCCAACCGCTGATGACTAATATCCAGAGCTGGTCGCTTAGCGGAATCGGATTAACTATTGTCCTGCAGCGCGGGATGAGGTAATCAACTATATCAACCCACGTGACTTAGCTAGCTAAGGCTACGGAGTTGCAGCCCATGTTTATTGAGTATAGATCAAAATACTAGAAGTGAACTGTTGAGGAAGAAGAGGAGGACATCCCCCGTTGATATATCTATTGTCTGCTCTCCAGATGTCTGATAGTACATAACTAGCACCAGACATTGCCCCCATCATGGTACGTAGGCAACTCTCGCCAGCGCATCTCGCCATCTAACCTCCGCTTTCCGCCCCTCTAATCAGCTCCATGACACATACACATGCACTTATACATACCAGAGACACATATACTAACCCCTATCCTTTTTTTGGTCTATAGCTTCCTCTAGGCCTGCTGACCGCGGCCCAAGGCCACCCTATGCTGGTGGAACTAAAGAATGGCGAAACCCTCAACGGCCACCTCGTCAATTGCGACAACTGGATGAACCTGATCCTCAAAGAAGTCGTCCAGACCACCCCGGAAGGTGACCGCTTTTTCAGATTACCCGAGGTATATGTCAGAGGGAATAATGTATGTTTTTTTTTGGTTTTACCTTTTTAATCCTTGTATCAATAATAATCTTGCAACAGATTAAATACCTCCGAGTCCCCGAAGAAATCGTCGATATAGCAAAGGATCAACAACAGAATCAGCCTTCGAATCGTGGCCGTGGTAGTCAGCAACATCGTGTGGATAGCGGAAGGGTGGATCGCGGAAGAGGAGGGGGACGAGGCGGCAGAGGGCGTGGAAGGGGTAGAGCTGGGGCTTGAATTCCATCGCTTCCACTCCTCCGTATCCTGTCCACCTATCTGCTCTTGATACCCAGCGGGATGGATGTGGTGTGGGTTGTATTTTTTTCTTCTTTTTTTCTCTTTTGTTTTTTATAATGAAAGATGTACGTTTGCTTATTTAACAACGACTGTCTGTTTTGCAGGATAGAACAGTCAAAGTAATGGTATGAGATTTAAAAGGCATACCCGCATTTCAAAGAACATGGTTTCCAGATTTATCAATCTAGATGGTGTGATATTGTCTGTACCATAAACAAAATACGGCTGTTTCTCTCTCTCTATCTACCTATATGTAGCATCTGACAGCGCGCATTGAATATCTGAGCAGGAATAAGTTGGCGCTATGCTTCCCGTTTATTCATCCATACATTAATCCTTTGACTCCAAGAAACGCCGCAAATGATGACATGGTGCCCCTTAACACGTGTATACCGCAGAGTCAAAAGAAAGAGATTTCCGCCGCTGGATTTTGCAGAATCAAAAGTCAGACCAAGTTCAGGGCTATATGCAACCCTCTTTGATCTTGTCAATCAAGGTGCTTCGCAATATTGCCCGAGACTGTGGAATTCAGCAGCCCCATCTCTAGCACCCATATTGACATCTGTCTACGTCTTGTTCCCTTCTCCGATCCCACCCTGACCCGGGCGCGATGGCAAAGACTTCTGTAGCAACTCCTCACTCGAAGCATTGGGGTCAATTCCACCTTCTCCCTGCTGCTCCTCACCACGCCAGTCCGCCGCATGCCCTTCAGCAACTGGCTCACCCGGCGCGGGTTCCAGAATAAGCTTCCCTCCAGCAGCTGATATTACCCCCTCATCCTCAGGTTCTCCCTGTGCTTCTGCATAGCGCCAAACAACCTTCAACCTATCAAAGGCCCTTATCCCCCTATTAGACGTCCCCTTGATGCCATCCAAGGCATCCCAATCAACTTCAAAAACTCCTGAATCATACACATCCCCGCCTTCGAAGAATGCGTTGAACCACGTGTGTGCGACGGATGTGACGATCGTCCACCCCGTGTATGTGGACATGGTGCGCCGATGGATGCTGATGTTCACATCAGAGGTAGGGAGAATAACCCTTTTGCTTGGCCGGAGAATTACGGCTGGCATGATGGCGTCGACGTTGGCGGAGTTGGTGATGATGCTTTGCATCATTTTACTCCATGGTTTCGGTGTGGTTACTGGTTGGAAAAACGAAGAGGACCTGGAGGCCGGCGAGAATGTTGAGCGAGATTGCGGAGTGGTTGTTTTTGGATTGTTTGCGCCTGGCAGGGTTTCAGTGTCGTTTAATTTAGATCTATTATCATCCTTACCTTCCTCCTCCTCCTCTTTTCCTTGTTTCATCAACGTCTTCACTCTCTTTGCGTCAATTCTTCTTTTTTGTTTCCCTTCCCCTTCTTCCTCTGTCGACCCATCTCTCTCTTCACCCATCACAATCCTCTCACACCGATGAAACTTATGAAAACTCTTAATCCTTCTGCCTTCTTCCACAAATCCTTCAATCTCAACCTCCACCCCATCCCTCAAACCCCATATATGCACCTCCAAAATTTCCACCGGCCTCTCCACATAAACTTTCCGTAACTCATTCGTCCACTGCTGCACATATCCCACCCACCGCAGCTGGCTGGGGATGCTCACCCCCTGGCCAAACCCAACCCTCATCCTCCGCTCCGTAAACTGCCTCAAGGCATCCTCAGCCACCCATCCACGTTCACTGATCAAAAAGCTGCAGGCAATAGTCCCACTCCGCCCTTTGCCCGCCTTGCAATGCATGACAACTACTCGTTTTCTTTTCGCATCCTCCCGTTCCCCTTCCACTATGGCAGCATTGGCATGCTTAACATCCTTAACATCCTGGCCATCCTTAATATTCTCATTTTCTAATAGCCAATTTCTGATACTCGCCATAAGAGGTGGGATAAGGGCGAAGGGTGGCGGGTGGTGATCTGGAAATGGGAAGTGGTGGATACGTCCGTAGACCTCTTCATCCGGGTACCCCGAGCCCTCCGCGCGGAATTCCCATATTGACCAGTTCTCACCATGCTTCAGGTCTAGAAAGCGAACAAGGGAGTCTGTGGGGTTGCGGTAGGCGCGACGTGGGTAGGTAGAGGACGGGCCAGAGGTAACGATTACTAGGGAGGAGAAAATTGTCAGCGAAGACAACTCTTTTTGACGGAAGGACAGGGGTTTGAAAGTCGTAGAACCGTAGAGCTGGATATTTACTTTCGTCGGTGACATAGCACAAGTCAAGACCAGCTTCTGGATGTCGCAAGCGAGGGCCGGCTATTATCTGGCGGAGAATTGAGGCCTGTTAATTAACAACCATTAGCATTACTTAGGGATTGCATAGCACTGGTCGCCCAAGAACAATGGAGATGATATTTTCACCGCGCCATCAATTGAAATTTAAAATGCAGTAATCATATTGGTGATGGTGATGATGATGATGATGATGATGCATACCATGACCTCTATTGGTGCTGATCAGAATGCCGAATACAAGCTCCCCAGACGTCACAGAAAGTGTGACCCAAGGTTCTCTATACGATAAGGCATATCTTTACCACAAGAGTATGAAGACTTAGCAAACAATAAATCACGAAGGTATTGCCAACGGAGGCGTTTGCACGAATGGGAAGTTTGTTAAAACTGTTTGGAGAATTGCGACAGAAGACCGGAGTACGAAGATGTCGAGATCTCAGCGATGATGTCACGGCTCCGTTTAAAACATAGATTACATATATTACGTTACTATATACATGGAATTGCGCTCTCAAAATGATGCCCTGCAAAGCATCAAGATCTATTATCCTCGGTAAAAATAATACCAACAATTCCGAGAGCCTATATATAGTTAATATGACATAGGCCGCCTAGCAATCGGTTTCCGTATATTGGCATCATACTGCAAGACCTTAGCATACTTATCCTCAGAATCAAAACACTTTGTCCGAACATGAATCTTCGAAATAGGCGTCAACGAAAACCCGCTCTCCATCATCTCAACAAAGTATTTGTGTGCCTCGCGGAACCGCCCTGCATCTACACACAGCAGTATCAGGTGCTCGTACGTCATCCGGTCCGGGAAGATGTCGAGCTGAACCATCTCCTGCACGAAAAAGTTGGCCAACTCATGGGAGCTTGTGACACGGCAGCCGTAGATTAGAGAGTTGAAGGTTGCCGCAGCTGGCCGGTGGCCAAACACCTCTGTTAGCGCCTTGTAGAATTCCACCGCTACCGTCATTGTCTTGTGGTGGACTGCGATTTCGATCACGGCATTCACAGCTGCTAAGGGTACATCTTGGAGGTCCTTTACCTTCAGTTTTACTAACGTCGCCCAGATGTTGCGGGGCGTGATGTTTTTTTCGATACAGTAGGTGACGATCGATCGTGTGGCGGTCTCGTCGAGCTTGAAGGTCGCTTTTTGAGCGGGACATAATATGCGAAGGGCACTCTCAAGGTCGTCAGCGGCGAGGAAGGTGTCAATGAGGCAGAGGTAGTCTTCCAGTAGAAAAATTGCTTTTCGCTCGTGCATAACTCGGAACACTTCGTGGGCTAGCCATGTATTGCCAGTTCGTGATGTCATTATGAGGATATTGTTGAAAACGCCATAGGGTGGGTTGATGAGCCCTTGCTGCACACGCTGTTTCCATATATAGGTCACGCATTTTTCGTGGAATGCCTCGCTGGCTCCAACAAGCACATGAAACCAAAGGTTCGGGGAGAGTTCATTGCCGCTATTTGTCCAGCTAACCATCAACTCTAGGACCATATCGTACTCTTCTGCGTTGCATAGATTGTATATAAACAGACTATATAGCCATGGCTCGATGGGGATATGTTGAGCTTGCATGCGCGAGAGATGGTCTAACACCATTTCGTACTGGCCCTCCCGAATGAGTCCTGCTACAACATTATGCCAACCCTCCGGCGAAATTGTTAGCCATCGATCCCGTAGAATATGAAGGATATTCTGTCGCAAGATGTAATCGGGGTGTATCGCAAGGACCTAGCCATTGTCGAAATACGTCAGCTACTACTAAAGGCAAATTAATGCTCTGTGGGGTTACTTTGAAACTGGGAAGACCCACCCTCAACGCTGCATGAAGAGTCGCGGAGTCAATTGGTATATTATATTCTTGCATCTCGTTCAGCAGCTTTCGAACATGTCTTGGAGACCCCATCAGCGCGTCCGCATTCGCCGATATCATAACAGTGTAATGCCATGTTTGCGGATCACAGCCACGTCTCCGGATCAGCTCTCTCATCAGTTTCATAGTGCGCCTATAATTTGGGCTACACTCAGCCGTCTTGCGAAGCATACTCTCTATGGCCTCATGAGAGTGTAGTTTTCGGAGTGATGGATGGATTTCGGTGAATTGTTTGAACGTTTCCCTCGATATTGGTTTCTTTGGGTTGTTTCTGGAAACGGCATGCTCTATCTCTCTAAGCAGGTCTGCTCTATTTAGTTCATCGGAAGTCCCATCATCCGCAGAATAATCCGATTTCTGTTCTGTCGACAGTAAGGTCTCCTGTGATGTAGAAGAAAAGGGTCGAGCGGCGGAGCATCGTGCCTTAAAGACCGCATCGCCGTGGTGCTGATTCGGCCGCCGCAATGGAAATCTTGACCACCTCAATGGCGCTTGTTTGTACAACGGACAGAGGCAATACCATAGGCCATCTGCGATAAGGGTTCTCGAAGACATGTGTTAGTTGTAAGACTGGCTGGCAATGGCTTGCACGGAGATGTCCACAGGCAAAGGAGAAACTTTTTTTTGGTGTATCTGCTTAGTCATCACATCCGCGGAATAAAAAATATAAATTGCAACGAGAGCAATTTGTAGGGAGAATTCAGAAGTCGTTGACATTCTCCGATAAAATATCCAAAGAATGTTGCCCTAAGCAATGCGCATAACAGCCGTAAAACGAATTGTCAATGTGACTTAAATTAATATTTTTCTTAAAGGGAAATATACATAAGATACAAAACACATACCCAACTACTCCAATCCGTCTGATTCATGCAGGCGCCAAAAGTGAACAGTATCGGAAACAGCAGTTGATCATATCAAGAAAACAAACGCAGCCCTTCCTTTTCTCTTTCCCATATCCTCTGTAATCTTGCTCTCCTCTTCCTCTCATATATACCTCTAACGACATGCTTTACCCGGTCTTCACCCTCAGCGAAATTGGCTTTAGCAAGACCAACGACACAATCGACCTGCTCAGGGGTGTAAACAAAATTCCATGTGCTCATGAAATCATCTCGTGCAGGGTCTATCGGTGCCGCAGTACCTTTTGGTCCAGAACATGTTTTTTCATTTTGTGGGTCGCTAACTGGAGCGGTGGAGGTTGGAGTTGGGGTGGATTGCGTAGGTAAAGCGGACGGTTTAACTGCGGTCGCAGCAGGGTTATTCAGAAGGGGGAAATAAACAACTGCAATGCCGGCGTCAACTTGCATGAGGAGGAATTCCGATTCGGGATTGTCTTTCTGCGGTAAATGGAACAGCCTCTTGGATGGCGGAGGCTCTTCTGTGGAAGTCCTCTCTTGCGTAGTCCCAAGCCAAACAGTACAGTAACTCAAATCGGTCGTGTCGGGGTCTGGACGCAATTCTGCAGAATCCTTGACCTCGCTCTGGATAATACTTCCACTTCCCAAATGTTTCCCTGGAATCTTACTCTTTGACTTCTGACTTTGTTCTTTGGCAGCGGAAACCTTTTCGTCTGACGTTTCTATCGTACTTCTCGCAGCTTTCTCGATGGCTTCGGCCGTTTCTGCAGGTTTAGTCCCAAGTTTTGGCCAACCTGATCCAATGGGCCAGCCCTTTATACCCCTCTGGCGTGCGTATCCTTCCGCCACTGAAAGCCAATTCTCTTCCTTGATGTCGGCTGAAGCATCAAAAACGACTATCATATCTACATGACGGCCGGGACGAAGAAGAGGATAAATAGGGAGATTATTGCTCATTCCAGCATCCATGAGACGGAGTTCTTCATCTTTAAAAACCGACCTTGGGCATGTCTTTGGAAGTCGATCTTGCAATCCAAGAACGAAATTCGGTATTGATGCAGGATCAAAAGGGTGAACACGAATAAGCTCTTCACTCTTTCCCTCTAGGATAGCATCGATACCACTGAATCCTGCGAGTCCCCGTAAAACTGGCCTTACTTCTTTGTAGTAATGAGCGAGAGTGGCACAGAATGCACTTCCCCAGATCCCCATGAGCATTGAAACTCGTAATTCAGGGACAGAGTAATCTTCCGAAAAGGGAATGTCTTTACCATCCGAAAATTTTCTTCCTAACGCCCACATGGGTATCCCTGCGGAAAACTCTTCACAAAACATTTCGTACGGGGTAAATTCGAACCACTCAAACCAAGTTTCTTTTTTTGGCTCTGGCTTCTGTCCATCTGCTATAATCTGCATAGAGGGATCTGGCGCAGCTGTATCGTCTGGTGGTATTTCATGACGAACCGCGGTATATATGGGTAAAGGATTAGCACCATTATCGATGAAAGCTCTCTGGTTTGAGAGCTTAAGGTCGGAGTCGTACAAGTTTAATGGCTGCCATGCCGGAACTAAAAGTCTGGCCGTCAATAGGAGACCGTATATGTCAACCAATCGAAAATCAGTGTCGGAATTAGCCTTCAACTTTTCCACCAAGCCTCTCAACAAATATTTATTGGTTGGAGGAGAGGTCAGCTGTCTAAGCACTTCGGGGGGGAAGGCGATGTGAATTCCAAGTCTGTTCTTCAAATGTTGCACGACTTTCACAAAATCTTGTCCTCCGAGCGACGAATTATAGATCGTCTGCAGCCAGCAGCTCCCGCTAACACCGGCGGTATACATGGCGCAATCCCAAAGACCAGCCTGTTTTGTGGCCAGATAGGAGCCGGCCCCGGCGACTACGGCACGTAGTCCACCACCGGAGCTGCATATTGCGATCACAGGTACATCGTCGGGATGTATATCGTCTTCGTTTAAGCCAAGATACGCCGCAAGAGATTTGACAATTACTTGGCGACGTCTCCATTGGAAATACCTCTCTTCGCGACAGAGATCATCGCCAATGCGAACATGGGCTTCCCGGGTTATTTCGGGATTTAACTCGGCATTATGAGCCTCTGACCAGATTTCATCGGCCAATGAGCCTTTTGCCATTGATAATTCACGTTGAAGAGTTTGGAGTTTCTCCGGAAGTACAACAGCCCATGCTGGGACGATATATTGCCTAATTAACTCTGATAAATCGACAGACATAACAGAGTCTTTGACAAGGGTGATTTTAGAAGTGACTGTGTCCCATGAAGATTGCGAGGTTGGAAGCTCGACTGGCAGGTCGCGAGATGATTTGTTTGCTGAATCGTCTAGAACAGACCGCAGTTCGTTCAGGCTAATGTCCGGAAATATAGATGAATTTCTTCCTGGCCTCTTCAACTCGGGTGGAATCCCGCAGGCATTATGGTTCATCCTCTCCCAGGAGGCGCAGTTCCGATCCGAATCAGTTTTGATAGTTTGCGTTTCTGGGGAGAGATAGTATAAAGCGCCCGCGCTTAAAAGAGCAGTATATGTCATCGGGAGTCTCCATTGTGCGAAAACAGCTCTGGCAGTGCCCATTGCAACTGGGACACCACCGGCCTCCAATGTCCTCCTGTGTTGCTCATGAAACTTCAATCTGGCGCAATGTTGGAATTTTGGTGTAAAATTGTTTTTCGGGAGCAAGATCTGATCTGTCGAGCGATTCCACACTTAATTGGCGAATCCAGGGCTTATGATGTCATGCACGTGATTCTGGGAAAATCGGAAGCGGATGAAACTATCGGATAAATATTCTTCCTTAACTAACTGCATCCGCACTAGCTCCATTATGCTCCTTAAAACAACGTTCATCTTTGATCCAACGACCAAACAACATCCAACCTTTAAAGCTGCACGGAGAGAGTTTGTTTGAAGTATACTTCATTCTTCCAGTTGTCATGGATTGAGTGTTTTCTTTTCAAATATTTGTGTTGGAATGGGACAGGAGGCCCGAAATTGCTGTCTCCAGCTCCCATACCAGGGGCATTTGCCCTGAGCCTGGCTGAGATCGGACTATGCCACTGGAGCTATGGCCGGAATGCGGAACATGGTCCATGCGGAGGAGAGTGCGGAGGTGGAGGTTCTGTACGCAAATCTGGAGAAGCTCAACACCCTAACCAAGAAAATCCAAGGTTCCCTGGCTCGGCTTGAAACCAGTGGGAAGGTGGTAAAAGATGCGATTGGGCCAATCTACAGTAACACGCAATTGTTGCAAGTCACGAATACCAACATCGATAAAATTAATGAAGCCATTGATCGACTCCGTCAACCCCTAGATGTCAAAGGAAAGGAGGAGTCGATCATCCGCGCAGGGTATGGTGACATTATACAACTCCTCATCTCTCGCTCTGTATATCTCTGTCTCTACCTCTCTCATAATCTGGCAATGCTAACGGATTTTAGTCCTCGGAGCGCTGGGTTGTCGCAGTATCTGGGTGCTCTAAAACGAGTGGATCGTGCACTATCAGATCTAAACTCTACCAACCTTCGCTCGAACCAGAAAGCAGTGTCCGAATTTAACGCTTTGCTTAGTACGGGAAGCAGCAAGCTTCAGGAAATGTTCAGAGCAACCCTACGAGAGAGCGTTGCTACAATAGAGCCATTGCATTACATAACAAAACGTAGGTACCTACTCATTATGCCATGCAATTCGAATGGTACTCAACAGTTTTATAGAACTACCATTTCCCACTATTCCAAGCGAGCATATTTTGGAACTCTCACCAGTCTGCGCTGCGATCAGCTCCGCTGCAAACCATGGACCCCAGGTCGGACAAACTGAAAATCCCGCTATCAGGATTTACGCCGATATTCGCGGGCCATATATCACTTCCAGTTTGCAAAATTTCGCCACTGCTTCCATCAACACAGCAAAACGGAGACCAACCGATGGCCCCTATCGACAAGGGACTAACGGTATTGGAATGTACGCTAGTGGCATCGAGGGTATGTTACTTGCGGAGCACGAAAATATTTCCCAAATATTCCCGCCAGAAGAGCAAGGAATGGCGCTTCAAGCGACTTGTCGGCCTGCGATCGCAGATTTTTCGAAAACCCAACGGGAACTCAATACGTATATCAAATCCAATCTTATGACAGATTGTTTTCTCGGCTTTGAAATCATCGAGATCGTCACTGGACTATCATATCGACTCGATGCGGCCACTGGCCAATTGAAACCTCTCTTTTTTGAAGCCATGCGGCCGATTCGGGAAACGGCAAAGTCAGCGCTATCCGAACTGCTAGAGGAAACACGTCGCAAAGCTTCTTCCGTGGCCGTTTTACCCCCGGACGGGGCTTCGATCCCTCTCGTGGCCGAAGTCATGAGCTCCCTCTCTACCCTAACAGCATACTCAAAACCCCTTGCCTCAATCCTCACATCATTGGGCGACGGGAATTGGAAACCCTCCAGCAAATTCAAAATCACCCCACTAGACGTCAGCCCAGACAGTTTCACCCTGCTCTCCCATTTCATCCTTGACATGATCGAAACCCTCCTCTCCGCCCTTGAAGCCCGCGCAAGGGTATTCCACCGTCCCAAACCCATCCTCGGGGCCTTTCTCGCAAATGTTATGTGCGTGGTTGACCGTTCAATCCGCAATAGCAGTGAACTCTCTCACTACCTCTCTACTCCAGAAAATACAGCCCGTCTAGACGTATGGCGCAAGAAGTGTGTATCTACATACCTCGACGCCTGGCGGGATCCGTCCTCCCACCTCCTCGACGTCCAATATACCAGTCGGGGTGGTACACGACCCACATCTGGAGGCCAGGTTGACTCCGGGGCCATTGTCAAATCCCTCTCGTCCAAGGATAAAGATAATATAAAAGATAAATTCAAGGCGTTCAACTCCTCTTTCGAGGAGCTGATTATTCGACATAAATCGCTAAACATGGAAAAGGAAGTGCGTACTTTGTTGGCGAGGGAGGTCCAGGCCGTTATCGAACCGTTGTATTCTCGATTCTGGGACCGGTATCATGAAATCGACAAGGGGAAGGGGAAATATGTCAAGTACGATAAAGCAACCTTGTCAGCCCAACTCGCGTCGTTGGCGTAAGTATAATTCATTTAAATGGATTCCCCTTTGCAGCACTATACCCATACCCCCTATCGTAACACTTTTGTTCATCCTTCGACTCAAAATTGAACCACCCCTGGAGTTCCTTTGGTAAGAGTCAAAACCCTCCATTTCTCTCTGAGCACCCTTACTCATTTCATACCCTTCTGTTCCAATCTTCAATATTCCAATTCCAATGTCTTGCTCATTATTGAGTTCTTGATATCTCCAACTACATATATGCATGTAGCGATTGGCCTGTGTCCTATTTTGGTAATAATTTCTTCCTTTCTGATATCTTCCCTGTTTTGCCATTTTTTTGAACTTTTTATCTTTGTATAATATTTTTGTCTCTCCTTTTCTCTACAGAGTCACCTGTTCCATGTGGCCTCTGCATTTTCATGTGAATATTAAATTAAAAAATCAAGTGAAGATACAAAGACAAATGATTAGCCCTTCATTCATGCTGGGGGTATGTGTTCGCCTTGGCTTGGTTTGAGACTGTGATTTGAATTTTAAGACTTTGATCTATAAATTTATATCTCCACAGCCATCGACAAAAAGATTAATCGTCTTGTTAGATTCATTGAAAATATTGATCATTTGTAGATAATGATAATAAACAAAATATTTTGGGTCAAGGAAATCATTGTTAATGTCTAAAAACAATACCCTGGAACACTTGTGCTTAATATGAAGTACACACAGAACTGATCAAAGTTCAAAATGAAAGCTGAACATCACTACCAATAAAGATGGATACACAAACTATGAATGAAAACATGCAAACATTGAACTTGCATGTATAGAAAATGAGAAGATAACTACTATAGATATATGATGATGGTATACTTCACAAATGCATGAGGCTTGCAAAAAGGAAAAGAGAGGGAATATGTGTGAAACAAATAAATAAATGTTGACAGATGGTTAATCAAATATATGAGAACAAAAGGCTCGAATCAGCATTGAAAAATTAGGAAGTGGTAAAACAAAGAAGAATAATGGAATGTAAGACGTTAGATTTAACTGAAGACGATATATAAAGGCAGGAAGCAGATGTAGAATTCATACGCCCGTTAAAGCTCTGTGTACCGTTTCGCATGTATCCTTGGAAATCGGTAGGCAGTCCTCGTGCTGTGTGGGACGAAACGGGGGGCGTGTGACTGGAGGGACATGAGGGGTCTGTTTGGAAACTTGCCCTGGAGTGGTACATAATTCATGCAACACTTTTAATTTTCAATGCCTTCAATATCCGGGCTGGGGGACGACGTATCGGATACCTGTCAAATCACACCGGGTAGTTCGCAAGATTCAACAAGGCTAGTTTCGCTAGACTTCGCGGCTCCTGGCTATGATGTGACAATTCAAGCAAGATCATCTCCGCTTTCCAGTCAAATAACAAGAGAAAAGGGGGTACACTTTCAAAATTCCAAGAAAGCGACGAAGAGGGGAAGAGGGGCGTTGGGACCTTAGCCATGATCATCCAGGTACAAAAAATAATAAGTTGACTTAAAAAGATACGGGCAAATGGGGGTATGAATCGACAATGACAAAAATTATATGCAAAGGCAAAATATTTAAGCAGCAATCGAGTCCAAACCAAGCTGAAACAAGCCAATCAATTATCAAAAACAATTAAAAAAAAAAAAGAAAGGAGAAGAAGACAGTATTATATCGTATTGTGATTTATCGATCACCGCCTTCTGTCAGCAGCAGGCATTTCATAGATATCCTCCGGTACGGGTCCATTGTGTGTCGCACTCAGCCGGTGCAGGCTTACTGGACGCGAGGTACCCAGCTGAGGACTGGTAGAGTTTGTCGGCGGGCTTCCGGGCTGTATATATGAATTTCCTCTGCTTTGGTTATAGTATTCGGTTGATGCACCTAGAAGAGGCTGTGATTGCGCCTGTAGGGGGTTTTGAATGGGCGAGCCTGCCATTTCGGACGGACCTGGCGGGGGTTGGTGGACCTGAGGAGCATAGCCGGGGCTGTATGGCGGGGCCTTTTGTTCGGGTGCAAAATACCCCGCTCCAACTACAGGTTGGCCGTATTGTTGTTCTTGCATCAACGGTGCAGTTGGTGCTAGACCCTGAGTACTACCGTTCTTCTTGCCTTTACGATAGAAGAATACGATGATTGCAGCGATAGCAATGATACCAACAACAGCTCCGGCAACAATTCCACCAATTGTCCCCCCTCCAAGCTTCTTTTTACCCTTCCCCCCATCGCCGTCATCCTTGTCACCAATAACGTCACCAGAATTTTGGGGTTTTGAAGGCGAGGTGCGGGTAGCCGTCGGCTCTGCAGTTTCGGTTGCGGTGCCAGGAGAGAGAGACATCGACAGAACTGATGATGTACCCGCTAGAGTCTGATAGTTTGGTCCATAACGGGAGGAAAAGTACTCTGATAACAGAACAACCTGTGACGACACACCTACGGATGCTCTGCACCCCAAGAGTTGTTTGCCATTACCAAAGAAGTATGTTCCACAAAAAGGCAGTGTCGTTTCTGCACATCGAATAATTCTAGGATCTTTTGAACATGCCTCGTCGCATTTGTCTTCCCAATTCAAACACTTAGTCGCTATGTCGGTACATTGTTGGGCATTTGAACTTGCGCAACAGCCCACAGCTGTACCGTATTGTACGCAGTTGGCACCAGCAAACGCACAAGTCAACAGGTTATCTAGTAGCAGCATCAAAAGTCAGCACCCAAATATCACACTAAAACGAGTTTTTTTAAATCTTTCCCCTTATTTTTTGTTGTGCAATGAGTCGCTTGGTAGACTAACTAATATCGCCGTTTACCAGACCGCAATAATATCCAGGAGCCGGATAATCAATCGCTGTCCGCACTGCTCGAGCCGCCAATTCCTTTGGAAGTCCACGGGGAACTCCAGGAGGGTCAGTAGGGAGAGGAGACATGCCGAAAACATCAGCCATTAGTTGAACAGTTTCTCGAGGAAGAAGGCGATCTGACAAGGCATCTGCTCCCCCTAAGGAGAGCAGGACTGCGGCCAAGTTCAAGCGAACCATTGTACTGAACCAGACACTGCCTATGCTGTTGCTCAATGCTGACTGTGCAGTGATGGTCGCGGATGTTTTTTTCGTTCAATGAGAAGCAAAAATGGAGCCAATTCAACTACTGTATAATAAAAAACGAGCGAAAACGGCACGAAAAGAGCCAGAACGATCGAGTTTGATCAAATAAAATATATAAATTCTACTCCGTACTTGAAGGGAGCAAAATATTAGCAATTCTCGTCACAGCTATCGTGACTCAGGCAGAAAATGGGTGGATGAATAACAAATGAGACGGAGCAAAGTAAAAAAAAGAGAGAATTGGAAATGGGGGAATAGAAGAGAGTTTAGAAGAGAAAGACACCAGAAAAAACAAAATAAATGGGGGAATGGTCGTTCCAAGTCCATATTTCCAAGCCTCAAATAATGTTGGCGATGGCTTGGTCAGTTTGGAGTTGTTGATTGAGTGCCAGCACAGTGGAGCGAAGTGGAAACAAACACGAGGCTGGTGCCAATGACGGCCAGAGTCCTTCGATCGTTCCCCTCGGCAGACACTAATCCTTGACCTGCTAGGCACTTTAGAGCAGTGTGGCTAAATTATGGCAAGGGTCTGAGCCATCCTTAGACTCTTTTGGGTTCCATGTGTCAGGACTCAGGAGAGTTTGTTGACATGCCAGAAAGAAAATTCCATTTCTGGCGGGACAGTGCATGGCAGTCGCATTAATCATAGAGGAAGTAACTAGTTAGTTAACTAACTGGTTACTTTGTGCTCCGTAAATGGTAGACAAAGTAAAGACGCCTGGAGCTCCAAACGCGATATGACAAAGAAGTCAGTGAGCAGGATGGAAGTTTGTCAAGTGTCCCTCCCTGAGCGACACGACACGACCCGCAGGCCAGACACACGCCGGTTTGAGTTGGAAATTAACAATACCGTATTAATTTTGCCCATAGACCGTTCATTGCCCTGTTAGTAGGTACCTCTCCCTAATTGTTCATCATGCGAACCGGCTGCTGCCATCGAACTTCAACATCCTCCCTCTTACCAGTCAATCACCACAAGTTCAGAGTGTGAAAATGTATTCAAAGCCATCACATTGCGCCACAGGTCACCAAGATCTAGCAATAATCGCGGTAACGCCACCAAGTTGCAAAATCTGCCATCCTGCAGATTCATGAAAGGACTGAGCTTTGCAAGCCTTGGGCTGAAACTGATGAAGCGGCAGTCAAAAGCGAGAAACACAACGAAGACGGCGTCAAATTAGCCTCGACCACGCCTTTCCTCTTTGGGACCGCAGCGGGGCGGGGGAACCTTGGGATCTCAGCCGCATGTCAAACTTCAACATCACGTGGAGGCAAGGCGGCAGACTGGAAGGTATCTTCCCGCTCTTTTTGTGTTGTATGTACTTTAATCAATGGAGTTAAACTGTGGGGGGAAAGCTAGACTTGATTTGATCTAGTGGCTTGACTCTAGCTTGGCTTTTTAACCAATCAGAATGCAGAGTCGCTTAAGCTCCTTGGCCTCTGCCCAATCAGTAATGGACTTCAACCGATGGCGCTTCTCAAAGCCACCACAAAAACCTGTGGGATGCTCGATGAAAACTCCGGTGGGACAATTCGATTGGAACCTGACATGGGAGACCGATATATATTTAGAAACTTCCGCAGCCCTGCTGTAATTTGAAATGAAAACTTCAAAAGTCAGAATATACCTGCATACCCCGTGAATCAATGTTGGTATTGGTCTGCCATTCAACATCCACTTTCAGCTTGAATTCACTCAGAGACCCATACGGAGAACATCTTGTGAAGAGCTGGAAAGTGAAATGAGTATAGACCTCTTGCTGGGGTCATATAATTGAATCCCATGGTTGGATCTGTGCTTCATACTTATACTTACCTCCAGATTCGACTCCCTCTCTTTCACTAGGACTTTATGTCTGGCCGTCTATCTTAGACGACAACGTGACCACTTGCAGCAGAGTCTTGATTAACAGTGTCAAGGTGACGGGGTGCTGTATGTATTGCACAAAGAGCCATCAAGAAGCACGTGCAGTGAAGCAAGTTTTCCACACCAATCACGGACGCCAGGTTGAGCAACTTGGATCTCGCACAGCGCAATGGCTAGATGTCATTGTACCGGGGAATAAAGAGCTTGGACTCGGAAGTGAAAGATGTCATGGCAGCATAAAGCAGCATTCCCATGTCAGAAATTATGTGCGGTCAGGATTTGAATACCATTCAGCTATGCATTTCCTGTTGGGAATTTCACTCAATCAATGTCTGAGTTTCCTAATGATGCATGAAGGAGCGAAATAAAACTGAACGAGAAAAACGGGGGGAAAGTTCCGATTTGAAAAAAACTAAGAATGAGAGAACCAAACCAATTGACCACCTAGATTCGCTCGCTGGTGAACAAAGGAATTAAGCATTCATCACAAATCCAGTCCACCAAACTAAACCGGCACCACCAATGCGCACATTGGCAACATAACACATACAAGCCCCAAATCCTTCTCCCGTTCTTCAAATGGGTTCCGTTCCAACGGTCTCCGGCGCCGCGCTCCTCAAAACAGCAGAACTCCGCAACGGGTTAGTATATATATATAAACCCGCACACCGCCATCCGCCTCCTCCTTTGCCTTACCACTGGCCCACACCGTTCACTCATGGGTGTCTTGGCGTGCTTGTGTTCCCAGCCTGGAGCTGATCCAGGGTGTACATATCACTGCTTGACGACATACCGTGCCAAGATCTCACGGGGAAGCATGTTGGAGCCGGCGTATATTCTTGATGGGGTGCAGTCGTATGCAAACACCATGGAGCGACAGCACCCGTGGGCGATTTGGCAGATTTCTGCGTTTGAGTGCCATTGATAGTGGCAGTTTACGCGTCGGGGATTTTGTAGGGGGTCTAAAAATGCTAGATGAAGCTGGACTTTCTTTTCTCATTTTACCTTTGGAATTTTATTTTATATCTGGGCTGGATGTTAGAAAAAACTTACGGCGGAGAATGAACAGTCCACCATCTCGATATCGCCATCCGTGGTTCATAGAACAAGAGAGAGCGTGGCCAGACTTGCAGATGGTCACACTTTGCTGGCCTCTTCTATGACTGGTTGTGTTTGTGTTTTTTAAGTGAAGTGTCGGGTGGGATGTATACTTCGGAGGGGCCCGTACGACATTCCCGGCGACCCCTGAGATAGGGGGAGGTTACCTTTATTTGGAACGGTAAGCATGAATGGCAAAATGTATAGATATAGATTTCCTGTAGCGCCTCCTAACAACCCTCTCCCATGCAAGAAAGGTAAGTAAACTTCAAAATCAAGCTTACACCTCAACTCCATCCTCCGGAATCTCAACCACGACAGCAATTCCCCAATCAAACGGCAAATCCGCACCATCTCAATCTGCAAAGATGTCCAGAAATAACAACATGATAAACAGAACATGTACATAACGCTAAAATATCCTATCCATACACATGCCGTGATTTTGTATACGATATGTCGTAGGGAGAAGTATTCGCGGAACTTGGAGGTAGCTTCAAGGTTGGGCCCCTAGGTCTCCATTACGCGGCCGCTTTGCCCTCCCTCTTCCTCCCCTTGGCGGTGAAAGAGGCATCGTTTGCCAGCGGAGTCAATGAAGGGTTAGGTGATTGAAGTCGAGTCCAGAGATTGTCCAATAACGTAGATGGTTTGGCGTAACTGGGTGGCTTGCTTCGGGAATCGATATCAATGGTGTTTGGATTGGAGAGGGAAACGACAGAATTTAAGGGATGGATTTTGCCCGTGTATTGAGCAGTTACATGATGAACAAATGGTAATAAAAACGGAGAGTGCAAACATGCAAACAAATATTAGATAGGTTATCATTAAGGAGACATTTTTGGGAGATAAATTTTATTTGCTAGAAAAAGGATACAAGAGAAAGCCCGCACATAAAACAAAGCATCTCCATATCATTCATGGCTGGATTCTGTATGAGATAAAACACACAGCAAATACGAAGGGCGCTGTTGATCCTTGCTGACAGCATTCTCATTTTTACATCTCCCTATTCTCCTTTCCTCTCCCCTCCTTTCTCTCTTTCAATTGCTCTCTTCATCGGCCCTTGATTTGCTTCTCCGTTTCTTTATTTTCTTTGTAGGTATATTTTCTCTTCCATCTGTCCCCAGAGCGGGGCTATTAACGTGGGGAATTAGGGCTTGGCAGCCATGTGACTCAACGATAATTGTGATATTCAGGCACCGTATTGTCACCCCCGTAATAATACCGGAAGCAGGAGCCAACTCTGAAATAAAGTATCCTCTACCTTCTTTCACTGCTGTCCTCCTGCCAAGCTCTAGGTATTAAATACATGGCTGACACTGCTTCCGGTAACTAATACAGCCTTCCTTTTTCCACGGCGGGATGCAGTGGGGAAACCTTCATATCTTCAACTGCTCAATCTCAACCTCATCTCATCTTCTTCTGCTGTATATAACCTATACACATATCTATAAATATCTAGACCTAGATGGCATGTGACCTCTAATCCCTCTCTCGCCTAAACACCCAGTCTCGTCAATCCACGGCTCCCATCTGCCCGACCAAGCTCTTTGTGGTATCCACCCCTCGACCTCGGCATCGCAACAGTCATCATCTGCTCGGTGGGAGCTCCGTTCTTCTCCGAACTTTTCGACGCCGAACGTACTTCAGCCATTCCTTCGAAATAACCCGTACAACTACTACGATTACTCTCCTCACACTTTTACCCTCTCCTCACACTTTTACCCTCTCCTCACACTTTTACCCTCTCCTCAACCCCCCCCCCCCCCCCCCCCCCTCCAAACATCCTAAAGGCACCATTCCACGGTGCCTTACAACCCCAACCATGTGGAAGGCTTCCGACCGTCTGATAGATACGATCCGTCACTATGCTTCGTTTCCCGCTACTGGTGTCTCTCTGAGGCAAATGGTCCGGTTTGGAGAGAGGCCTTCAACGGGTGTGTTTTTAAAAATCTCTTACAACTTATATTTTGAAATTGCGCATGTTGCATCCATTTCATATGTTAGATAGGCTTAGGCAATCAATTGCTAACCTGTAGGGCCCTTGGCTGATTCTCGTGGGCCACTCAGGTACCCTCTTTCGTGCTTCCCAGTTTCTCTCCGAAGAGCTGCCCATACGCCTTGCGCATCGCGTACAGGAACTGGGTGACCTTCCAGATGGCTTGAATGAAATGCCATCAATAAAAAAGGTCCGCGATTGGTATGCACAATCATTCGAGGTATGAATCGCCACCCCCTCTTGACTCATTCTTGTAGATATGGTTGTTTTCCACTTCAGAATAATTCTGAGTAATTTGTGGCGGAATCACAGGAAATCATCACTCTCCCACGACCTACGCTCTCGCAAGAAGTCAGATCTCGTCTCCTCCGCCCAAGCAAGCAGAATGGCCGGGATGCCAACGTTCTGGACGAAGCTACCCCCAACCCAAGCATAACAGACGGCCAATATCGATCGTCCACGACTTCCATTCTCAAAGGAGACGAGTCATGTGCCAATGGAGTCACGAACGGCAGCAATGGAAACGGCAAGAGAACAGGAGCTGGAAGCCGAAGATACTTTGTTGCCACAGATGATGGCGGAGACTGGCCACCAGAGCTCAATGAATACAACAACAAGTTCTCCAAGACGCTGCAGCACATCAAGCGGAGACACGATGGCGTCGTAACAACTGTAGCACAGGGTATCCTGGAATACAAGCGCAAAAGACAGCGCATGCAAATTGACTCAAACATCCAGTCGTTCCTGGACCGCTTCTACATGTCCCGCATAGGCATACGCATGCTCATAGGCCAGCATGTCGCTCTCACCGATCAAATCTACGTCCACCACCCCAACTACGTCGGCATAATATGCACAAAGACAAACGTTCGCGAATTGGCTGAGGAAGCCATCGAGAACGCCCGGTTCGTCTGCGAAGATCACTATGGCCTCTTCGACGCTCCCGAGGTGCAGCTGGTGTGCAAATCCGATCTGAACTTTATGTATGTCCCCGGCCACCTATCGCATATGCTCTTCGAGACCTTGAAGAACTCGCTGCGTGCGGTTGTTGAGACTCACGGGGCTGAAAAGGAGGCATTCCCCGTTACCAAAGTGATTGTCGCTGAGGGCAAGGAGGATATTACGATTAAAATCTCCGACGAGGGTGGTGGTATTCCCCGCTCCTCGATCCCGCTTGTCTGGACGTATATGTACACCACAGTCGATCAGACACCCAGTTTGGACCCGGATTTCAATAAGAGCGACTTCAAAGCGCCCATGGCTGGATTCGGGTACGGATTGCCGATAAGTAGGCTGTATGCGAGGTATTTTGGTGGTGATTTGAAACTGATAAGCATGGAAGGGTTCGTACTAACTAACCGTCGCAATACAATGTCCTCCCTTTAAATATCACAGCCAACTAACTCATTCCTTGTTCTTGTTGAAAAATAATATAGCTACGGCACAGACGTCTACCTCCACCTAAACCGCCTCTCCTCCAGCTCCGAACCGCTCCAGTGACAATTACCAGTCATGAGTGATGGCATCCCACTCGTGCAATCTTCACGACACCTATACTACCCGCTCTACGACGATAACATCTCATCTTCGGCAACAGCTACTTCACGGGCCGTATCACGAGTGCTATCTCAGGGATTGACGCCGATGAACATTGAAGCGATACGAGCTCGCAAGCGCGCGGGGGGGAGCGGTCGAGAGGTCTCCGTGCGCAAGCAAGTTGGGGATGCGGTTAGCTTGGTTAATGAGGAGAGAGGAGGTCGCTGAGGTGGATTGGAGTGAAATTCGTTTCTGTTGGACACGTTACAAGAAAGTCTCTTCTTCTCGATGGATGATGGGGCGGGGGAAACAAGTCTGTCGGCACGGGGCGACAAATGGGGAGAGAGTGCCCGCTGTAGCGTAGGTCTGGTTCATCTGGACGATGCGGATTGTTCGTCTCAGCGGATGCTGACGCCCCAGGGAATGTGTCTGCCTTGTCTGCGGATTCGGAAATCACATCCGCTGCATATTCCCCTATCGTATTCAATTAGCGAATTGCAATAGGAAGAGAAGCCGGACACAGAAACCCCCTGAAAATCCCATACTTCTCATCGACTTACTTCTGCAACAACCGAAACTGTCAGAAGAGCAGGAGAAAGTACATACCGAAAAAAATTCACATAGCGGAGAATCGAGACACGCTTGGAAAGAAACAAAGGCCTTCGCATCATTGGCATCCAGCATATGATGCATGATGAACAACATCATCCTAACATCCAATCTCCAACAAACCTGACCGATCCGACGCCCTCAAAGTAACCTCGCATCCCGATCCAACCAGCAATCCTCCTTACCCCGTAGATTCGCGCTGTTGTGCGTGGAAAGGAATTCTCCAATTCCCACGATCCTCCTATCAGCTTTGCCGACGCACCTTTCAACGCCCAGCTTGTCTCATCCTGACACATGAAGGCAGACAGAGCTTGATTATTTGGAAGGAATGTGAGTCGTTGATGAGGTGATGAATGATCAACTCTTTTCAATTCATCTTTGATGAACCACCCTAAGCACAGTCAAGCAGCATTATTATGCTTCTCACTGTGCATTGTATGTTTTGGTTAAAAGCTCTGCATATACGTAACATACTCAAGGTATTTTAAGAGAGGAAGAGACTGTATACATCTTTCTGAGAAGATGTATTGAGAAAGAGCAGAGTTATGTTTCACACTTGTTTTTGTTAATTTTTTTTTGGTCCATATTTTAGGTTTATTAACCGGAGAAACATATTGTACAGCACATACAATGCACACATACAGTCAACTAAACAAATACATAAATAGTATATAGTGTAAAACCATATTTAATGCCTTCTCTCATTGATATTTTTTTGAAGCTGAGTAAAGCGGAAGAAAAGATTGAATTTACTCCAATGGTCTCATCATTTGAAATAGTGAAAAAATTGAGAAAATGACTCGAGACTGAACTTTGTCATTGAGCTCAAGAGATATTTACCGATCATGAAGAAGAGAAAAAGGAAAGATTCACACCTGTGACATCTTAATCAAATATATCATCATATTGATTTTTCTCTTCACAAAATCTTTGCTCTCTCTCCTGAACAACAGTAATAATAGCCTATGGCCTGACTAACTTCACCCCACTAAGGACAAACTCAAATAATTATCTGGTCCTAGCCCAACAACACCAAACGCCCTTCTACCATATCCATATCCATATCCATCATAATCCCATACTCCAGCCAACTCCGACCTTCCCCTTTCTCCAAACCGCGACCCCGCCTATCCAACCCCCGACCCCGTTGCCCTGCCAGCAAGCCTGGCGCTCCTCCTCATGCCCTGCCGACCACTTCCACTCGCTCCCGCCCCTCTTCCCTTTGCACTTCGTCTCGTCAAACTCCGATCGCCACTGCCGCCTCCATCGCTTACCCCAGCATTATCAGCAGATGCCGATAAACCCGCAGACCGACGCCCGTCATCCCCATCACTCTTATTCTGCCACCCACCATCGACCTCCAGAATATCAACGATAGGAAGCTGTTTTTCGTTTGAATATGACGACATTGGTATGCCCGTTACTGTAGTGCTGGCTCCAGATGTGGCGGCAGGTGGGGCGCCGATATGTCTCATGGAGGTGGGTTTGGATGAAGCGATCGCGGCCCAGGTTGAAGAATTAGTCGGTGTGGAGGTGGTGGCAGAGCTGGTAGGTAGAACAGGCATGGGCATCTCCTTCCGTTTCAAAAATTTGCCTTGCAAGGCGAAGGCATGTCTGTAGTTCTCTGGCATGTTGAGGCCGATGTAATGGTGTTGGAAGCGGCGGCGGGTGTCAGGGATTGTCTAGGTGAGATTTTTATTTTTATTTTAGTGTACATATTACTCCGATTTAATACTTCAATTTGAATGGCATGCATCGCATACGGGAATCATAGAAACTTCGACAAGAATAAGGGAGAATGCATGGGTGGATATGACAAAAAAGAGACGTAAACATACCTCATAATTTGCCACGGCATGGTTCATCAGTAGCTCCTGATTCGTCAATACGCTGAGGGAGGCATGGCGGCGTTCGCGCAGGTAGACTTTGAGGCGCATATGGCTGACAAGCGGCGGATGCATTGGCAGGTCTGCAGAGCCGAAGTGGGGCTGCGGTTTTGGTCTATATTGATCGCGACGGCCTACATAGTGTTATTACATGTATTGTTGGTTGATAACGAGATGGTAATGTCTGCAGAACGACAATACCAAACGAAGAAGGGAGAGAATGGGGTAAAATGCAATTATCCTCGGATACTCCCCTCCCCCTATCCCTGCAACAAAGGGAGAGGTGAAAAGGAGTCAGGGGTTAATAAATACTAACCAAAATGCTCATCCGCATCAACTTCCTCTGCTTCCTCCACCACATTCACAGTATCAGAGTCGCCATGTCCACCCCTTCTCCCACTCGCACTCGCACTCATATTCCCCTGTCCCTGTCCCTGACCTGTTCCAAACACCTGCATCCTAACTTGCTGCGCATAGTCCTGTGCCTCTGCCAAGCGCACATGAGCTTCAACTTGCTCCTGCAAATCAGTAGCTTCCAGTATGCGCGTCCGCGCCTCAAGGACACGATTATACGCTGTTTGGAGGAGTTGGCGGGCCTGCCAGGATAGGTTTTGCGGAGGGGTGTAAGTTGTTGGGTTGGACTGATTGGCGCTCATGGCTTTCGTACTATGGGTGATGTATGTACTGGCTAAATGAAGACAGGAGAATGAATATAGACTGGGTGTTTCAACGGGTTGGAGATATGGAGTAGGTGGTTGATGGGTATGGGAAGTGGGATGAGGGATAGATATTATATAAGTCTAGGTATGTAGGATACACGTAGACCCCTATGACCATTGTCACAAGTTAGCCAATCACTCATTCAACTATGTTAAACCAGGGAACCCTGAGGATGCATATATATGTATGTATGTATGTATGTATGTATGTATGTATAACAGAATCACACGGAGCAACACACCCAGCTCATGAGGACCAAACTCCAATAAGGTATAAACACGAAAAACAAAAGAGATACAGGGAAAAATATATATTTACAATACCAAGATCACCCCGCAATCCACAGTCAGTCCCCTCCAATACCCCGAGCGTCTTCTAAACCTCTTAGCCTGACCTATCACCCCTCAAACCAGGTACCTGGGAAGCCCGAGCGAGGCGCCTCAAGCACGACATACGCTAGCCAAGCAGCAACCGACGCAAGCTCAGCATTGTTTTTCCTTTGCAAACACTACTTGATTTGATAAACAAGAGTAGAATAGATATATCAGATTGGATACGCCGTTTTTGAGCAGACGAAGAAGAGAGAAGCGGTCTCCTGCGATAGACGCTGCTTGTTGTTTTGTGGTGTCGATGATGTTCGATTATGCTCTTGTCAATCGGCGGGGTAAATTAGACTGTGTTGGGCTTAGCGTGCACGGACAAAGTTATGCTTATTGTTAGGTGCCAACTACAACTAAGCTGGAAGATCTGATTGGCTGATGATTTCGAATCTAAAATATTTAAAATCTACATTTACTGAAACGCTTTTCTTATATAGTATTTCTTAACTTTGTACATATATAAAGATTTTGTTACGACGCAGCTGCTTGCAATATGGATTAAGGTTTTGAATCTTGGAGTTGATAGAAGAGACTTGAAAGAGCAAACATCATATGTCTGTACGCCTCGACAGTCACTTGCGTGCTTGAAAATTGCCTAGTTTCTGAAGTTCCAATGACTAGACGAAGCCTATCTTCCCAATTGAAAGCTTGATATTTTGATTTGATGGGAATAATAGACTCAGTGGCTGGAATGAGAACGCAATTCCACTTGGTGATCGCTTTCGTTACAGAGAAGCCGATGAAATTATCAAAAAGGCTACCTCAAGGGGCCACAAGGTAGGCCTACTCTTGGCCGCCCTCCCTCACGATCTGAAAATTGCTACCCCCTGGAAAAATTGTACTTTGCGGAAAAGGACAATATTAAACACGGGGGAGAAGAAAACCCAAACTCCCAGGTGTTGATACACAGGACAGAATAACCCGACGCCTTCTATCCCAATGCGAGCTATACAGCGGAGGCATGTGCTCGCGTATGTGTTTATCCCATATTTCCCACACGCGCTATGATATACAAGGCATGAACAAAGGAGATTGGTTAATATATACAAGAAGAATCAGGGGGAGGGAAACAAGGAAAACAGGAAGCAAACACGTCGAATCGGCTCCAAGAGACCAGGGGCAGGATCAAAATAAACATTAGCATGTGCGTTCGTTGTTGCGTCGATATAGGTGTAGTGTCGGATTGGGTCGACTTGAGTCAAACATTGCATCTATGCATGTATGAATTTTTGGGCCACGGATAACGCGTGTGCTCCCTACCAACAAAAAAAAAACATTGAGCAAAAATCCTTAAAAAAAGAGATGCAATAGGAGGGGGATGGGGAAATACACACCATCTCGTCTTATTCGGATTATTATAAGCATCCAGATGGGTCCGAATATACCTCGTCGTTTCATAGCCAGTCGGATCACACGTAACACTCTCCTTATCCGGATCTTGATAAATCCTGATATAATCAAACCGCATCGTCGCCGGCATCAACTTCGCTAATCCGGTCAAATTCAACGGTGCGAATGTCTTGGACATTCCAAAGTTCAATATAAGCGCCATGGGCTCGACGGGGATGACACGCTGCCCTACGTTACCGTTGGGTCCCAGGGCACGAGCGTCTAGCTTCCATGTCTTGTCGGCACCAACGAACCAACTTATTTCTCCGTTTTTGCCGGGTTTGTATTCGAAGGCGTAGACTTGATACTCTTTGCCGTCGTACCATTTGTTGTTTATATTTGTTAAGCCTGATACGGCTTGTTGGTATGGTCCACCTCGATAGTTGTTTATGGAGGAGATGGACGGGTTGTAGAGTTCGTAGAATTCTGGACAACGTGTGGTAAGTTATGACAGGAGCTAATAAAAGGGGACTGTTGGGTGGGCAAGGGAGGGGCGGGGAGGATAATACCAAAGTTAGGCATATACCACACATCAAACGGAGCGACCTGTACACTCTGCGACACATCACCTATCGTTGACGGTAACTTTGGATCCAGGGCGTGCACACTTGCTTCAATAACATCGATTTCGGGGGCACTTCGCGACTTGCCCGGGTTTGGGTGATCCTCTCCCTTGCAAGTGCAGGCTGGCAGCCGCATGCCAGGCAGCCAACTAATACCATCCGTCGAGCTCTGGTTGGGCGTAATGCCGGCATCGCATATGTCGTCGTAGCTATACGGCCACATTCCTTCCGTAGTCGCAGCGTAGCCTGGACGGCCCAGATTGCCCATTGTCCAAAACCCTGGCCAGAAACCTGATGTGTCGCCACGTCCTGGAAGAGAGATGCTGGCTTCTAAGCGGCCACCAGTAAAACATAGTTTATTCCAGGATTGGAGCATGCCGGAGCGATAATCCAGACCATGGTTTTTGAAAGCATCGAATCGAATTTCGAGTTTTCCGTTTCTCGTTGTTATCGCGTCCGGGTCGTACCACTTGGGGGGAACAAGTTAGCAAATACATATAAAACCGAAAAATTTCTAGCAATTAATTATTTAAACCATTAGACACACCTCTAGATCCTGCGTCACTCCATACCAAATATCAACCGCCTGAAAGAACGGGTCGTCCCCATCGTAGAATGTGCGTCCATCTTTGTTGAACTCGTCGGAAAACTAATAATTAGTGGCAAGCGATTGGTTGGTTAGGTTAGCCTTTGGCGTGATAACATCAACAACTAAACCCACATCGACTCGAAAGACAGGATGCACTCACCACCAACTTCCACTGCTTTCCACTCGAAGACGTAATAGATCTCACAGACTGCGGCGTATCCGGATCGATAAGTGATGTTCGAAGATTTTGAAGATGCGGAATGGGACCAACGTCCAAACACGAGTCATCCGTGCAAGTCGGTTTATCTCCCTCCTTCAGTTTGTCGAAGAACGTCCTAAACAAAAGAAAAAGCCTCCGATCAGTTTGAAATTTCAAAAAGTTTTCAAGAGGAATTTTGAAAGGGATTAAAAAAGAAAAGAAAAGAAAAGAAAAGAAAAGAAAAGAAAGTCCATACAAAAGGGGATAAATGATGAAAAGCGTCATAGCGCCAAGAAGCACAATGATAAGCCCAGCGATATTCAAAATGCCTCTCCGTGAGCACACTTCACAATCCCGATCCGAATCTGACGGGTCCGGGTTATGCAGATAATCGTCCTTTTCCACATCCTCGGGATAAACCAGCAGATTATCATAATCGGGCATTATAGCATATTTCTCCACGACAGTCTGAGTATTTATTTCATCCTCAGCGACACTGCTTACTCTGGAGTGATCCCAATACTTCCCAGACGAATTCAGAAGATGCCCGCGACTCTCCCAACTCCCACCTTCTGAGCTCCAGCTTGTCCTCCGCGAGGAGAAATTTGAATATCCCATCGAGACATCTTTGTCAGTTTGATAGCGACGGGAGTAATGTGGAGGGGCCAGGTGGTCTAGAGAGTCGTTGGTTTGAACTGACGAACCTTGTTGGTATGCGGGAGAGTATGGAGGCTGTGGGGGGGTGATTAGGTAGCAAGGAGGGGAAGGGTCTTGGAACGGATCTTTCTGGCCCTCTCTGGAACTCGTTTTGATTTTGGGTGGATGTTGTTGTTTATGGAGATGATTTTGCGGCATGATGGATCTTTCACTTTCAATATGGAGGAACGCGGGGGGGTTTGAGGGAGGATGAGGGGAGTCGGAGGCCTGATGGGGGGACAAGTCCAATACTCTCAAGGCGGATAACCACCACCATGTCCCGGATAGCAAAGATTCCAAGGGATGCGAATCTTAACGAGAGAAATACAAGTTAACGCGCGGGGACTCGAGAATGCGATGCTGGGCCTAGGTAAATATAAATGAATGGATGACAGCAACAACGTCGACAAAGGGATCGAACAGGAGGCCAATGAGTGGCTAGGAAGCAAGTGGTGATATGTCGAGATAGGAGCCTCGTTATAACCTTAGAACAGTGGTCAGTGGAGGAGGATATTGATGCTGAGGTTGGACTTGGATGTTGAGGATGTGCCCAAGTATGCGCAAAGAATGCAGCGATTGCAACTGCATAACAAGGTTTCAAAAAAAAAAAAAAAAAAAACCTAGGTTAGAAATAAATAAACACACCTCTTGACTGGCCTGGTGCTGGTGATGAGTGTTGGGTATACTCTGAAATCCCGAGTAACGAACGGATGGGTTGAATGATTTGACCGTCCACCGACCGCGCGCGCTGTGCACATCACTCACTTCCCAATTGAATAAACTTCCAAAGGCTTGGGTCAAGCTTGGGTTACCTCAGACTGCTTAACCAGTATATAGCTAATTGCGCTTGCTAAAGATCCTGGATGAGTAAGAGTCTGTTGTGGATCTTCTCCGGAGGGCGGAGATTTGACTGCCCACGGTTCGAGCGTATAGATTAATCAATTGAGGCAGTGAACTGGGTAATGGAACGGGGCAGTGTGAAGGACAGAGGGGCAGAAAAAGGAGATTAAAAAAGAAAATCACCGAGGGACCCAGAGTAGAGAGCACAGCAGAAAGAGAGTAGAGAAAACAATAGAAGGTTAGGAAGAAAAGAGGCGAGGATTATTTAAGACAGACAAGAGCTGGAAACACGAAGTTACATATATACAAACCTACATACATCATCATCATCATCATCATCATCATTATTATTATTATTATGACTCGGGTATTACTTCTACAGCAACCCATTTACTTTTCTACGGAAGTATAACTATGATTGGGATATTCTCTTTTGCCCGGACTTGGGGAGCGTTTTTAAGAAAGACATGATCTATCAGAATACAATTACAACCTTGGGACGGAGGGAGCACCCATACATACATACATACATACATATATCACCCGAAGCACTGCGCACATTACGTATAATCAGTCATATGATAAATCGGCAAACCGTCAACTATCTCTGGTTTTATTATTCCCTGTCTGGATGCCATGTTCTCAACACGCAAAGCCGTGGGATTGCGGTAGACCGGCTGGGACGCATGTCAGGTCAGCATTGGCAGACGTCAGGATTATCATCAAAGCATAACGCCTGTTTCTTGTCTGCTCTGGTCTCTGGCTGGGACAACCTTCTAGAGCTTTCAGTCGGGCGATTTCCTGCAGCCCGGCCACGTGTGTTGTTACTATTATTACCATCGCGATCAAGGGGAACGTCGAGCAAAGGGGGTGCAGACAAAGGGCTTGGAAGACGTGATGTATGATCGACATGGAGTTAATCTGCAGATCAGGCGGGAAGGGTTTTGATTCGAGGGAAAAGGAAATAAAAGCAAAACAGAGAGGCAAAAAAAGCAAGAGGGAGAGATTCTCATTCGCCGGAAGCCGGCATTTCTTTGATGAAGCATCCAACCCACTAACGCCAACAGGTTAATGCGCACGTTGCATCTTTGGATCCGGGATGCAGGAGTGGGGTGATATCCAAATCCCTGGTTGGCTAGAGGAGAGTTCCAGGGGTTCGTCTCGTCTATCCTTAAAATTTTCTTGTTTCAAGCCTCCAGCCAGCGGGGAGAGTGTGGATATAACATGAATAGCCGTGGAAAAATCAAACTGCACAATTTTGTGTTTCTATGTGGGCAGCAAATCTCCGGGAGTAAGTTTGGGTAGACGTCTACAATGGATGCAATGTATTCGTGGAACGGTGACAAGTTTTGTTGGTAGAGAGAACAGAACAAATTCCCCGTCCGTAATCACGCCAACCAGCAGTTAAATGCTCATTCGACGGCCCAACGGATAATTCATACACGTTACGGAAAAGATAATGAACCGTAACTACTTCCCCGTATCATTATTCCCAAATCTCCACCCTAACTTTCAACTGCCTTTGCCTTCAGCCCCACAATTCTCCCCTTTCCGTTCCCACGTTCCAGCCCAAGCACCCAGTACTCGGCTCTGGTCTCATCCATCTGCACCTGATACACCTTCACCTCCGCAGCGTCTGCATCCCGCGGATTGCCACCGGCCACCGCTGTCCTGACCGCGTGCAGGACTTTAGCATATTGGTTTTTCGGATCGAAGGATGCGGGTGTAAGGACGGTTATTTGCACGTCTCTAGCTGCTTCTGTGGATAGATTTGGGAGGATGAGGGATTTGAATTGGTCTGTTTATTTGTTGGTTTATTTTATTTATTAAGTTTTGGTGTTAGATACGGGTAATACGGGTAGTTATTATGCTCTAGAAAGTATGTTTTGAGCAGATCCCAGATAACATGAAAAGTTATTAGGAGAATAGGTGTAAGGGGGGGAGAGAGTTTGTTTGTAAGGTGGTTCGAACGTACCAGGGGTCGGCCACCGTCCCTCCGCCGCCCCGCTCCAGTCCAGCGCAACACCCTCGAATGCCTCGTCTGCGTCGGAGATGTAGTACATATCCACCTCGCTGAGGACAGTTGGGATGCACTGGGAAGAGGACACTGTGGTTGTTTGTATATGCTCTTGCTTTTTGCTGGAATTAATTCCCTTGGAGGGGTCTTCATTTGCCTTGTCGAGGAAGGCTGTGTAGGCGTCATCGGAGGACATGTTTGTTGATGGTGGGAAAGATGGTGATGCAGATGTAAGTGTAGATTTCGTTGGAGAGCTCTGCCTATTGTTGTTGTGCTTGCAGTTGTGGTGCTTGGTGAGGCAGGGAGAAGTGGAGAAGGGGATTTTGTGTCTGGGATTGATGACGTGAGTGGTGTTGGTGGTGGTGGTGGTGGTGGTGGTGGTGGTGAGGGGCTGTACGGATAATAATGATGATGACAATGATGATGGAGGGGGCAATGCAGGGAATTGCTTCGCTCGTGTCTTTGTGGTATGGTGGCAGTATGAATGAGATCGTATATTTGAAGACCTGGACAGTCTTTGATTCCACATTCCTCCTTTCCTTTGCAGGTCCACTTGGAGCCCCTTAAATGTAATTCTACCGTGGAATAGAAATTGCGGATGCCTTGTTTTTCGATAAATTTTGCTTAATTTAATAAAAATTTTTTATTTACCGCTTTGAAAGCTAGATCATGTGATTCATGGGCCATTTTGAGGTTCATCACAACATGGGAAACATAACTTGTGTAAAATATTGCTCATTTGACAATTACCGTTATCTATACCAATCGGCTGTTGTGAAGTATTTAATGACTAGGGAGTCCATGGTTTAAATTAAAGAATAACTGATTGTAGTAGGGATGGCTTTTAAAAGCAAAAGCCTGCTTCATTAACTAACTGGTTATCCAATGGCTGATCGCCAACTGCAACCAGGGATGGAGCTCTCAGAATTTAGGCAAAGCCTTTGATATCCATGAGCATCTAGGCAACTCAGTTTCCAAACCCTCAGGACCTGTTGTACTTCTGCGCCAGCTTCTTCATAATCCCTACAGCCTTTGATCTATACGACCCACCAAACAATGCATAATGATTAAGATAATGATACCTACAAAACCAAACAATTAGCAAACACTCACACACTTCGCCGCTAGTTATATTAAGCAATAAAGAAGCAGAGATGGCATACCAAAGAGAGAAGGAAAAAAAAAAAAAAGGAATATGGAACTTACAACTCATACAAACTAACCCGATCCTCATACTCCTCCACCGGCTCCAGCTTTGGAACAAGCCGGTGATAATCCTGCAGAAACCCACCCCCAAACCCCCCGAACATCCTCATAATCCCTAATTCATACTCACTCTGTCCATAAAACGCAGACGGATCAAATATCACCTCTTCAACCTCTCGCCCACCCAGACTACCCCGCCCCGAATTCCCAGACCACAAATCCCCATGCACAACCACAGGCGTCACGCCCTTCCCACCATTCAAATGCCCATCGCCTAACAACCGTGGCACGACGCGGGACGCAGTCGCTTCCACCAACTGCCGCAATTCGCCGTCCGCACCATTGCTACGCTCAGCGCGCTGGAGGATAAGCTTTAACCTGTTCTCCGCGAAGAATTCGGCCCAGGATGACTTGTATGAGTTGTCCTGCGGCGTGTCGCCGCAGCAGGTCGTGACGGGGAATCCGAATTGGGGCGTTGAGTAACCTTCCGGGATTGGGGCCGGGGTTATGTGTAGGTCCGCTAGCTTTTGCGCAAGGGACTTGTGGGGGAGTTGCTGGAAAGGGGATGGATCGGGGTTTGGTTTGGGGCGGGAGGGTTCGAGGAAATCGACTACTATGAAGTAGGTTGAAGGGGAGGAGGTGAGGGTGCCCCAGCCGAAAGATTGGGGGCAGAGGGTTGGCACGATGGCGTGGATGGCTTTTAGGGAGGCATCTTCACCTGTATTATGGATATGGAGTAGTTTTTTAGACTTTAGCGGAGGGAGGGCCCTTTGGGAAAGCCAGCATTGGCAATTGGTTGTGGAGGGTTGCAGGGATGTAACTTCTAGTTGGTTAAATACATACCTTGAACCATCTCCCTCCCTGCGGCCCCAGTTGCTGTTTTCAGGAAGAAGCGCTTTTCACTGCCGTCCGCCAGTGTAGTCGTGATTTTGGCGGCGGACGCGCTGCTACAGCCACCACCCGTGCGGGTTACGGTTGTGTTCGGCGCATCTAGCTGTAGAAGTTCAATAACAGCGGGGTCGAGCCTCATTTTAATACAAAATGTGTATTCGTATGTCTATGATGTGTTGTAGATAACCTGTATGACTTGATGCGGGTATCAGACGTGGGGGGATTGAAACAATTCAACAAAAAGGAAATCGGGTTCTTAGTCACATTTTACCATATGTTTCTTTGGGGGTTTAAGATTCCTCATGGGATTTGACATCTCCACTAGGATTTGATAGGTGGTTGGGATGTTGGAAGTTGACTGGCTTTTGACGGGTTTGGAGGGAGAATAACTTCCGTATCAGGGTTATGACGTAACGGCATTTGAGAGGAGCTACTTGGACATGCAATCTACGACTCGGGAATGAGACAAGAAGCGGCTGGTGAGTAAGTCACGACATCATCTTCACTTTGGTATCCTGTGCTTGAGGAGGTATCATTTAAATATTTAATATTTTCCATGGCAGATAATTCTCTAGGCTCTTCAGCGCAGTTGATGCTGCATTAGTTATCTGGTATTACGGGCAAAAGAGTGTAGAATCACCAACCCATGACATATGGTAGACGGTATTCCAAGGTAGGTTTAATAGAGCGAAATATCATGGATACTACAAGGGTAACCGAAGATATTAAGGTATTGGGAAGCTCATTACTACACCTATTTAGGTGGGTTTGGCCAGGATTTATCCTCGACCGTCGCCTCCCTTTCACGAACCTAATACGCAACATAGGGGAGGAAAGGAATCATAAGAGTTTTTCTGTTTTCGTCTTTTACGGTAAATCATGAAACAAAAAGAAAAAAAAATCGAAGCAGGTATTGAGTCAAGAGAGAGAGAAAGAACAGCTATGCATTCGCACCGCAACCTACACCGACCGATCGAGAATAAAGAGAAAAAGCAAAACTTTGTGGGGCAGTGGAGCGAGACCAGATTAAGAAATTCATGCAGCAGTAACGAGATCCTTCTTGAGGGTGCCCATGAACGCCCGCTTCTCTGCTGGGGTCTGGAATGCTCCGTGTCCGAATTTCGACGAGGTATCGATCCATTTCAACTCGACCTTCTCCAACGCCTTACGGCTCACCTGTGGGTAGAGTGTCTTCCGCAGAGTGAGAACCCGCTTCTTGACACCTGGGACGGAGCCCTTGAGCATGACGTAATCGTTCTTGACCTCACCGTATCGGACAAAACCGCCCATTCTGTGGGACGAAATGTTAGCATTTGGGTTTTGGTGGTGCTGGTTCAACATTCAAATGATAGAAAACATACGGTGTGATCTGCTTCTTCGAGACGTCAAATTCAGTCGAGGCATTGCCCTCATCCGAGCCTTTACCAATGCGGTAGATTTTGTGGTTGCACGATGTTCGGTGGTGATAACCGTCTTGACCCGCACGAGCGACAGTCCACTGGACGTGAGATGGATGCCAGGCACCAATACAGGCAACCTTTCGGAGACCCTTGTGTGTCTTACGAGGAAGCTTCTTGGTTCCCCATCTGCTGGTGACGCCATTGAATCCATGACCCTTGGTAACTGCAATAACGTCGATCATCTCATCCTGCTCAAACACGCTGTCGATCTGGATGGGTTTCTCAAACAGACCGTGGGCGAAGTCCACCTTGTCCGCAATGCTGCCGCCGTTGACTTGGACTTCCATAAGATGGGCCTTCTTCTGCTTAAGGGGGGTCTTGCGGATTTGAGTGTGGGCAAGGAGACGGACAACGGTGCAGTATTTCTTGATCCGTTCGAGTTCGCGAGAGACGGAGGCACCGGTGTTTTCAGAGTGGTTCTTGGCGTATTTGGTGAAGGCCTTCTTCTTGCTCTTATACCAGTTCTTGTAAAAGCGTCTCTTGACCTCGTCGCTCAAGTGTTCGGCCCAGACGGTAGTGAGAGATCGGAGACCACGGGGAGTCTCGATGTATCCAACAACACCAACAGCGATCATCTACAGACAGAAACAAGAGAAAAGCGATGTTAGAATCATTTATTCCCTGCCAATCGTATAGAAGGAAAAGCTTCAATCCTACCGGAGGGGTCTCAACAATGGTAACAGCCTCAACGATCTCCTTCTTGTGCATCTTGGCACCAGGACGCTCGAGATCACGGACAACAGTGGTCATACCAGCCTTGTAGCCCATGGCAGCCGTGAGGTGGACAGGCTTCTTGGGGTCATCTTTGGGGAAGCTGTTTTTTGGCACACAAAGTTCAGTATTCCATCCCATATCTATCTACGAAACTATCAATTGACTAACCTCTTAACCTTCCCCCGGTGTCTGGCACTGCGCTTCCTGGGAAGGAAGGCAAGAGAGCCTATAAACATTGCCTGTCAGTTAAATTGCACAAATATACAAAAAACTGATCTCACTACGGAAGCGAGGGATGAAATTTTTACGAACCATGCCGAGGCGCTTCGAATTTCCGGTGACTCCTGGAATTTAGACAAAAATTATCAGTCCTCTGGATTTAATAGACCCAATTAACGGCACGCAGCAGCATGGAGCAACTCACATCTTGACCCTGTTTGTGGTTAGTTGACGAAGTGCTGAGTGTGTCCTGTCCACAAAATTCGAAGTCGATGTTGATGATTTTGTCCCAATTGACGAGTGTGGGCTGACCTAAGCGATGTCTTGGCAATACTTTCCACTTCGGGGTTAGCGCCACGGTGCCCACTCAATGTAACCTTAAAGAAGCTCAAAATTTCAATATCATTCAACGGAATTTGACAGCAGATAGAGCCTTCGAAATTACAATTTCGTGTCAATTCAGAATGAAAATGGATAATATAATTGAGCTACATAGACATGGCGAACGCTTTGTTGCATCGGAAGGAAACTCGTCCTTCATGGAAATGTATTCACTTGCATCGATTGCACGCACACAGCTTATCGCCTCAAGAACCATTCGTTGACTGGATTGGCTTTTCTTATAACGAAATTCAACCCATATCCCCAGACATCCAATCAACCCGAAGACGGTCATGGAAGTGACTAAACTAAGGAAAACGGGTGAAGAACTACCCCTCACCAACTCCCATCCGGATACGGCTCACTCTTCGGCCCTTTGGTCCATCCATCAGTCCTCCCATCCCAGTACTGCAGATGGATCTTACTCCAATCAATCCCCTCATCACCCGTATCAATCGTCAACCCATTCACTGTCAAAAACATAACATCGCCATATGATCCATCAACGAAGCAGGAGACCCCACACGTCTTGCAGAAGCGGTGGTATGTTTTTTTCCTACCAAAGGTGTATACAGACAGCTCCTCCAGGGACGCCGGGGAAATCAGTTTGAACTCCTCATTTTCTGCCACTCGCACGGCTATCGAGCCCTTTTTTAGACAGATAGAGCAGTTGCAGCGGCTCGGGATTGCCTTGCCAAGGTCGACGTTCACCGTGTATTTCACGAAGCCGCAGTGGCAGCTGCCGGTGTAGAGCTTTTTGGAGTTAGATTGGGTTGATTCGGTGGCCATACTGGTTTTCTTTCCTTTGAACTTTTGGCTTTGGGGGTCGGACGTTTAATTGTATGGGATTTTAGGCTATTATGGTGAAAGATGGAGGTATTTCAGAGGTTGAAGCGAGTGGGAAATGACAGCCTTACACAGCTAGAGACTTAAGTTCGCTCTGAAGGGTGAATACGAGCCCTTTTAAGTCTGTAAACTTCCCCTCATGCCCAGACGGTGCACTGCGGGGTTGTATATATACGGGAAGGAACTAGCCTTCTGGGTGTTTGCCTGGAAGCCCTAAGGCTCGAGTGACAGGATCCCGACACCCGACCAATTCCGCTCCCGTTATATCAATTGGCAGCACGCACCGTTGCAACCTGGGTGGAAGGCCAATTTTATTGGTTAATTTCCACGATTTAACTAATATGTATAGCTGGTGCGCTTAACATTGGCTTTAGGCTTGAAAGAAAACATCTCATTTGATCATCCAACCAGGAAATATCCTTGCATATTTTTCTGCCACTTACGGGGTTTTCATTATGCATCCCCGAGGGTTAATATCTTCGTTACACGAGGCTGCCCTCAAGAATAGAGCGGGAAATTCATACCCATGTAGTACAAATGTAGAAGAAGGTAAGGGAATCAACAGGCTTGGGCTGTTCATTCCAAGATGAAGAGACAGAAGAAGACAGAGAGTGTAGGTAGTGGGATTGATTACTCCTTAAATTACTTAAAATCTCCTCGTATTCCCATTCATCGTTATCTCTTTCTACCGCAAGATGGCTTTGTTCGACACACCTGTAGTTACCCTGACCATGCAATCCTTATAAAACTAGTGAATGAACATTTCTATACGGAGTAGCAGAATCCATCCCCGAGCCCGCCACAACAGTGAGCCGGCCACCAAATCCAAAATACTTCCAATTGCCTAACCAAACCACCCCAACGTGAAATCATGCCACCAATCCGCCGTAATAATGCTAGAAACTCTATAGAGATAGAGAGAAGACTTGAACTTTTGATAAATACCATTAAAAAGCATGAAATAATATCATTTCATACAGCTGCACATCTATATGAGGTGCCTCATACTACTCTGCAGGATCAACTTAAGGGCAGGATTGCAAGGGTAAGTTGATGCATAAATTGAGTCAAATTAACTAAAGCTAAAAAGAATCTGCCAGGTCAGTGAATTCTTGATCTGGCAAAATGAGAAATACCCCCTCAGCTGGCATTTGTTGAGAATATGACTAATCAACTTCTCCTCTACAGCATTTCATCTCTACCCCTTCTCACATTGGCAAGAACTGGGTCAATAAGTTGATTAAATAATGTATGAAGCTTCATTACTGCTACTTCAGACACTATAATCATGAGTAAGTAAAATTTAAAAATTTAAAAATTATTCAAAATTAGTTCAAAATTAGTTCAAAATTTTGAAAAATATAATTATTAAGTAAAATATTTAATTTAAAGATATTTATAACTTTGATAAGACTGAATTTACAAGAGCTCTATATAACTATCAAAATCATATTATTAATATTAGTATTGCAGCTGAGCAAAGCTTTTATAACTAAGAAATCAAGAAAAAATGATTATGATTAAAATAGTCAATATATTATATTAAGATTTTTTTATATATAATTTTCAAAGATTAAAATCTATAATAAAGTTATTTTAATAAACTTTTAAATAATTGAAAATTTGATATTGATTCTAATAATTGAATTACAAATGAGATTAAACTTTAAATAACTTATTAGTTATTTATTTCTACTATTAATCTATATAAAATTAATATTTTATCTTCTTTTTATTTTGAATAAATATAATAGTAATTTTATCTTAAAATTTAATTTTATTTATAAAAATATTAAAATTATTTATTTATATATATTATTATATTTTATATATATTTTATAGTTAATAAATATAAATATTTTATAATTTTAAAATATATAAAAGTCCAATTAAATAGAAACTATAGAGTAAGTTTAATATTATCAAGAAGATAAATTTTTTAATATTTACTTTAAAATATATATAAAAGCTTTTAAGATTTAAAATATTTAAAGTAATTTTATAGTTATTAAAATAAAATTATTTAAATCTGATCTAATTATTTAATAATTAAATATTTAACTTTAAATCTTTAATTTTTTAAATAATTTATTTTATAATTTTAAGTTATTTTAAATTTTATAATTATTTTATAATTTATAATAATTATATAAGTAAAGAAATAAAATCAAAAAATTTTTAAAATAAAATTTTATAAATTTTTTTAAAAGATTGATAAAAGATCTAAAAAATAAAATATTAATATTTATAAATATAAAAATTAATATTACTAGTATAAAAAGTAATATTAAAATATATTTATTATAAATAAAAAAAAGTAAAAATATAAAAAGTCTATATATAAAATTTAATAAAAAAAATTAATTAAGAGGAAGTTCAGAATCTAGTTATTTCATCTGCTAAGTCTGTCGAACTGTTTGTTTTTCATTTCTCTGCACCTTTACCAGCAGAATCTAGATCATGTATATATGCACTACAGAGATGCAGCAATCGTAACATACTCAGATATACAAGAATAAGATGCCCTGAACCTAGTGTAATTTAATCCAATTTAATTAGAAATTGTTGAGTGTAGATATTTCTGGTTAAAATTTAATTAATTACTGTACTGTGATTTTGGTGGCGGTGTTGCTGGCTTAGAGGTTGGATTATGTTAGTTAACTAGTTACTTATTTGTCAGGGACTTGACAGCGCCGCAAAATGAAAATATAATTGAATTTCAATAATCTGAAAAATTGTCAGTCAAGGAACCTTCCCCTTCTTCCGAACTTGTTCCATCTTGATACAACACCGCCATCTTTAATTCAATTCTCAAGCTTTCAGACTAAGCAATGCAGGCGGTCTGGTAACAAGGAGCCTCTTAAAGAGGTAAATACTCTTATACCAGGCTCAAAAGTGGCAGGACAGCAGGCACTGTTAAAAGAGATTGACTTACATAGCCAGAGTGCAGCTTTCAAAGGTCAGGATGAAAACAAAACGAAAAAAGTATTTCAAATAATCAAGGGCAGATATATATGCAGAAGTCGAACTGTGGATGCAGTTCACTATCTGCAAATGCACCCCTTTTAATGAAATGTTCGCAAAACCTTTAATGGCAGTGAATGTCTATGCTCTGATATTCTGTCTCTGGTCAATTTATGAACCACCTGATGGTATTCTAGAACAATTTGAAGTTGGCATGACTTTCAAGCACGCTCATCATGAGCAGCAAAGACAAAAATGTTTTGTTACACCATTTACTGGCAATTTCAACGATGCTTTTTTGTTTTCGCGCAAAAGAAAGAGAAATATAGATATGATCAGCAGACCATACCATCAAGCGCCGTCCGCAGACTCTCCGGAGTGACTCCGGGTGACGCCTATTTTGATTGCACTGGTGGTGGTGTTGGGTATATTTTTTGTGGCCTTTTCTTTTTAAGCCTCACCGCTTTTGCTAATATTTTTGAACTCTTTGTCCAAAGCGCTTTCACTCAGACAGTACGTTATCAAGACTAAGAGCAGCAAGACCACAGCCAAATTAATCATGGCTAAGTATATACGTAGTGCTCCTCCGTCGAGTATGCACTCTCTGCAGTTTGCAACTTTCTTTAAAATCAAAGTTCTATTTCATCTCTATATTTCTTAGTAGGGAGAGGTCTCAGATTCTTAAAGAGACATCTTCATCTATCACTAGTTATAGCTTCTTATTCATACGAGAAAATTGCTAGTAGCTCAGCTTTAGTAACAAACTAGTTGTTAAACACAGTTGTTTATCTCATTACTTTTCAATCTATCAAGATCATTTAGATAAAATAAAGGTAAAACTTTTCAAACTCTTATAGTCTGTGATATCTGTATATGCTGTCATTACTAATACATCTATCTGAACAACTATTGTGACGAATATCGCGAACGTATCTTCGTTCGGTGATCCTGCCATCTCGGAGTGGGGAGGCTGGCTACGCTAGTTGTACGGCGTGCAGCAGGAGGCTAGCCGGCTAGCACTTATTAAAATATGTAGCTACTCTATTCTCTTCATAGATCAAAGAAAAATAAATATTTTCAAAAAGGAAACTTCTTTTTGAATTTTAAAAAAATTTCAAAAATCAATTAATTTATAATCTTATTTACATTTATAAATATATTGACTTCAATTATTAAAAATTTTTCTTCTTGAAGATTTTTTAAAATCTCTATAATTATCAAAATTATCCTTATAATTCTGAGATTTAGATAAAAGTTAATATAATTATAATTAAAATTTAAATTTAAAGAATTTTTACCAAATTATATTTTATTAAATATTTTATATATATTTTTATATTAAATATTTTTGATTAAATAGCTTCTTATATAATATATAAGTTTAAACTTTCAAGATAATTATATATTTTATATTTAATTTTATTTTTATTTTTATATTTAATAGTTAATTAAATACTTCTCAGTTTTATTTTTAAATAAATATGAAACTTATTTAATAAAGCTCTATTATAATAAACTTCAATTAAAGATTCTTTAATAAATATATATTAATTTAAAAAATCTATACTTAAGTATTTTATCTTCTTATAATGTTTTATAGAACTATATTACTTTAAAGTTACAGTTGTAGAAATATTTTAAATAATACTTTTGTATGTTATTTAAATCTTTATCTTTTTACTAATTGAAGACTTATTATTTATATAAATATAATTAATATTTTATTTTTATATTTTAAACTAAGATAAATATTAGATATTAAAATATATATTATTGACCTTTATACAACTGTATATCATTTAAATTTATTATCTACTTGCATACTATGACTCAAGATTATACTTCAAATCTTGCTTGTATTTTTACATTTCTATAGAGTTTTGATTTTTCTTTCTATTTTCAAAATATAAAATAAATAGCTATATATATAGCAGTTGATATAATATATTAATTTTACAAGCTAGTTAAGTTTCTATTAT